ACGAATGACATTTTAATTAAAAGACAATACTTTAGATTTGTTTAGATTGTACCGTAGCAATCTGTCTTTGTATCCGTGCATGGCTTTATAACCCATGTAATTACAAGAACATGTATATTTCACATTATACTGGTTATTTATGGCCCCAGATATTATGCAAGTTGTCTTGAAATATAATTGGTCCTGCTCTCTCTCTCTCTCTCTCTCTCTCTCATATATCTCTGGAATATAATTCATCATGCATGATATACAAAGCCGTGGCTAATTGATTCATCGACATTGCGTATAGCAGCGGGAAATTTCATCCTCACAATGGTTTTAATGTACAATTTTTCTCTCTAGCGCGCAATAAGAGGTTTTATTTTATAATAGCCCCTTCAATGTACAAGGCACAGCAAGACAGATCAATCACAAGGGTTAGCCATTCACACGGGTTCTAAATACACTATGGGTTGTGGTGCTGAAGTGATTATAGAATGTTTTCAAGGCAGACTATTGTGATTCATGTGAATACTGATGAAAGCAGGGCCTGTGAAAGATATCGGGGAAAAGGTGTGTGTGTGTGTGGGGGGGGGGGGGGGGTAATAAACGTTCCGTTTAACCAAAATGGATTGTGGCCCATGCTTATAAGACTTCGGTAACCTTTAGAAGTACTATACAAATGGGAAAGAATGTTCGGAGTGATATACTTTACATTAATTGAAATGACGATGATACCATTAAAAAATATGTATAACTACATGTACAACGTGGTCACAAACTGAGCTAATAATAGCGAAATTGACAAGATATTAGCGAAAATGTATGGAGCTTCAGTATTATCTAAAATATCTACATTATTCACCACTTCTCGTTGTAACCCCGGGTACACCGCCACACCGAAAGCGGATTTGTACGTTGTTTTTAGTTTTTTTCATTGAAAAGGGGAAACTTAAATGGAAAACAATGAACGCAATATAGCCTTTATTTTATACTTCGCTTAAGAAATCCAGCCATCTGATTGGTCGAAATTGGAGTCGTGATTTTAGCCATTCCCGTAAAGCAACGAAAATTGCCAAAAGTGAGATCCCTCAAAATTCCGGTTACCATGCAAATAGTTAAATTTTGCTGCGATACCCATTGGTTTACGTGTTAGAATGTTCTTTGAGCGAGCGCGGACACCATACAGTGCCTTTTGTTTGCAATTCCTAACCATTCGAAAATTTCAGTCATTTTTCCAGCAAAGATAAACAGACAGTTTCTCAGATTTTCCGTGATGTATTAACCAATCTTTACTCAATAAAAGGATAAGGTAAGAAATTCTTGGTAGATTTGTGTTTGAATTCGGCATATAAAAGAGGTCTGGCTGATTATTTTATAGGCTCTCTGGAACTTGCACATCTTGCCATGACCCCTCGGCGCGCCTGGGTAAGCGCGTTCTCTTGAGCCCATAAAACAGCCAGGCCTCTCGAAGCAGTCGATACATGTATCTCTATAATAATGCAATGCATGGTGGTCTACAGCGTAGCTTTAGAATAATCACAATATTGTGACTGTATAATATTTTCGTTTTATTAGGAACATCGTTCCAACTTCCCCTTCGCCCTCTTCCCCTATGGTGATAACCTTAAAGTAATCAGGGATGGAAAGAAATATCCAACTAGAGACTCGCATACAAAATCGATGATCAAGATGTGACTATTCCACAGTCACTGTCATGCTTTCCACTGACATGTCCCTGTACCTACCTTTTAGCAGATGACGCTATGCATCTTGACATAAAATAATTGAGGCAAATATTTGGAAACATTTTATACGGCTGTCAACGTCTGCTCAAATTCACATCAGGGTTTCTTATGGAATTGAACTCTGAAGAGGTCATCACGACAAGCCCTACTTCACCATGAATCTCTTATAATATAGCCTACCTCAAAGGCTAAGGGAGTGTTTTTTCAACCGAGACATGGAAATTGTTAGGAGTGATAAAGCTTCCCAGGGGCGCCGGAGCGTATTTCAAAGAGGGGGAAGGGTGGCACCAAAAAAGGGGCACTTTCTGAATAAAAAGGAGCATACACAAAGGGTACCTCAAAGCAAAAACAAAAAAAAACAATTTTGTAAGCATTGTAATTAATACATTATGAGGGAGAATCTTCAAGATTTTCTCTTTACTGCCTCAGCACCATACTCTTTGCTGTTGTGTTACTGATGACGATGGTGATTACAATAATAATATTTTTTTAATAATAAAGGGGTCATATTATGTCCGTCGTATGTTCCTTTCCCTTTTTCATGTGTTTCTGTTGATTTGTCTCTTTCTTTCTTTTCATTATCTATTCGAAAGTCTTCTTATAGCTATATGGCTGGTAACAAGGCATCGTTACCACTCGTACCATGACCCTCTATGAAACCTTTGATCATCTTCAACGAGATTGTTGTCCATTGTGCCAGCCAGTTATCTTGAAAACACCTTGTTGGTAGAAATCTTTTCACATACCAACACTTCATACAGGCTTAAAGGATGTTCAATGACATGCGTGGAAAAAAAAAAGATTCTACCATATGATTTCAGTAACACCATCTCTTACGTTCTTTTATTATTATAGCAACCACCTGTTTCATTTCAATTGAATTGAATTTAATTGAATTATGAGCAATAGATATAAATGTACATTTCGGAGCAATCTTGTCTTTCATGGCTTTAAATCTCTTTTTGTTTCCCCCAATACTCTCCTCTCCCCATCCCCTCTCCCCATCCCCTCTCTTTTTTCACCCCTCTCTCTCTCCTTATATTACCCCATTTTCCTCACTCTCCTCTCCCTCTTTCCGAACCTCACATTGCTAGTGTCTTTGGTAAGCCGACAGTCATACAATTAGTTTTGTTCGTTGTATTATCATTTTGCATCTACACAGGAACCTCATTATGACGAAATGGAGCCATTAGAAAATATAATCATGAACATATTAATTATGGTGGCAGCATATAAAATACCAGGTAGCAGTCATAATACATCATTGTCATACATAAATTATAGAGTATACATCCAATTTCCCAAATTAGATCTATCGCGTATAACGAGAAGAGAGATAATATTTCAACCAAGGAGAGCATGAACAAACCTTAATAGTTGAAATCTAAATAGAGGAGAAATCACATTCATAATGATTGGACTTCCATTAGAACGATATTACAGCAAACCTGCAGAATATAAAGCTCTCCCTCTGTTCTTGTTTGTTTGTTTGTTTTAATGTATAGACACGCCTTCATCAGAAGATTACCAATAGGCTAATTACCAATACAGATGTCATTATTCGTGTTTTCGTAGTTTTTTAAAATTAACTAATGAATAAACTCATTCATTTATTCGTTTATTTATTATTATTTTAAAAAGAAACTTAACAACAAAACAAACGATAATAACTAGAATAATGACGATACCTTGGTCATTAGTTACTTTTTAGTCACGATTTCCGGTTTGTAAACGTTTTATATAAATTATGTATCATATATAATAAACGAAACGTGGACAATAAGCAATAAGGAGGAAGAGATATAGAAAATAAATGTAGAGAAGTAGAAGAAACATACAGAGGAAGAGATAAAAAGAGAGAGAGAGAGAGAGAATAAAAGAGAAAGGGATATAGGGAGAGAGCGCGCGAGAAGAGGAGAGAGAGAGAGAGAGAGAGAGAGAGAGGTACAAAGAGAAATGTGATTTGTATTGTATTCAAATAAAGTGTTTATACTACCAGCACTATGAACATGACAGACAATGAAAGCGGACAAAATATACAGTTCCTCAGGTAGACAAAGGAACATCCCTTCACTGCTATTATGTAAAAAGGTGAATATGCATGTGACACCTGTTCTACACATGTTGACATAATAGCAGTGAAGGGATGTTTCTTTGTCTACCTGAGGAACTGTATATTTTGTCCGCTTTCTTTGTAAGTCATGTTCATAGTGCAGGAAGAGTATAGCAGCTGTCACTTGATATTATTTTAGTCATTTTTGTATACAAAAGAGAACGTGACGAAGCGAGCATAAATTATGGATCCATACAACCATAGTTACATGTGCAAACAAACATTCTGTGCGCCATTCATTTCACATAAAAAAATCTGAAATTTCATGGACCGGAATTCATTACATGTACATTTACATTAAATTCCCTGACTGTTGTCAAAATCGAATTTAAGATAACTAATTTATACTAAAGAAAATGGAAAAAGAAGAAACCCGCCTCTTTTAAAAAAGGAAGAGAAATTAAATAGGTAACTTTTGAGAGTATACAACACCTGTAATGTAGGAAATACGTTTTTAAAAGTGACTACCTCTTTATATCTTTAGAGTCATTCCTCGCCTTTTTAAATAAGAAAAGTAAAACAAAATGTTCATTCTCCCCCCCCCCTAAAAAAAAGTATTATTCTTCCCAATCGTTGAATGTTCTTGTATTATAGAGACTCTTTAAGGTGTTGAATATTACCTTTAAGAAAAAGACGAACTAGCATGCATTAGGCCTACTAAGCATTGATATGATTTTAAAAAATAGGCTCGTAACCGCTTTTTGTTGTTGTGGCTTTTGTAGTGAAACGAGAGTACCCCCTCTTATGTTACTAACTTTGCAAGAGCAAATTGTATTTATATTTTGTTTTTGTTAATTATATAATAGGCCTAAAGTCAAAGTTTTGATTTGTATTTATATTATTTCATGCCCGGGATTTTATGTTCACCTTCTCTCTCTCGGAGAGGAAGGAAAGGAAAAATGTAGTGTAGCACTGCACAGTAAATGTATTGAGTCTCGCACCCTGTTCTTGGTCGACTCCTAAATTATTGCCCACACCATCGATCGAACGGAAGCTGTGAAATTCACTGAATCAATATTTGAGCCAGAAAAAAAGAAACAGCGCCATCTAATCATCATTGCCAGGCGGATCAATGTAATCTTTTTCATACAGCCTAAAAACCCAACAACAACAACCACAAATCTTAGCTGCAATTTTATTTTAACTTTTAAACCCCAGCGCATGCAGCACTAATCTACGTCGTGTCTAATGAAGTTGTTGTTCGAGTAAGGTATGCCAACTAGAAATTGGAAAAATGTTTGCCAGAGATGACAATGCTGAGAGACGTTCGTTATTGGAAAAACACAACGGAGGAGTAAAAAATCAACATGAAGGAGTCGGTACAGGAACCAAATCTGAGAATGTTGATGTTGTGGGAGGGTCGCTGGACCCGGCGAGTTTGGGTGCGGCTGCCGGTAGTGATGGCGGCAGTGGCTCAGCCGTGGCCGTGCCAACTATGGGACCCCCGAGCGATCGTGCTCTTGCTGGCAAATCTGTGCTTGTAGACGAAGCTTCAGATTTAGTTATCCATTCTTCTCGGTTGACTGCAGCATTGTATGGTTCACAACGTCCCGATAGGTTAGGTCGAAATCTTTGGTTATACTGTGGGAAGTGATAGAGTCTAATGGGTGCAGAAAATTCATTTTGTGATCATTCAATTCAATTCATAACTTTACTTTCTTTGTTCTAACTTTAAGTTTTAACAGCATTACCATTTGATCGATCACTCACTTGTCATACTTGTACATGTAGTCTAGTTGTAGTAGACTACTGCAAGGTCTAAATTTGAACTAAACCGACTATTTACTGTTAATCTCAAAGTAAAAAGTTATTAAATCAATCAATCATTCATTCATCCATTTAGCCGGTTACACATGAAATCATTCAGTCATGCATTAATTCATTCATTAAGAAATTACAGCATAGAAATTAGAATTTGATCTAGCCTAACTTTTATTTTTAGGTCTTATACTATAGGCCTAGTATATAACATATTTAGATTTATAATTTAAATTTGACACGACCTTTCCATTTTGTGTCTAGAGGTGGATCAAGTTCATTTTATTCATTTGTTACAAAAAAGTTACAAATTAGAGTCTATATCAATGTAGGTCTTGAATCTACATGTAGACCCTAGTCTACATTAATTAAAGGTATAGACCAGTTTTGGAATGCCCCCCTCTTAAAAAATGAAATGGAAGCTCTTATTACCAATCATAAGAAAGAATATGATTTTACGTGATGATACAAATTTTGCCAGAAAAACACCTACTAGATCTATTATTGATATGTTTGGTAAATTATCATATCGAGCTAGCCTGCATAGAAATTGCGAATGCACTTTTTTGAAAATTTAGGTTGAAGTATTACCATCTAAACCTCTGAAGGCAATATTTAAACAATATTGAATGGATATTTTGCACCCAAAACCCTTGAGCCGCAATTTTACCGCTACAGGTCTATTGTACAGTGTATATCTTTAAAGGCCTTGTGTAAAAGTTTATGTCCAATAATTATTATCTTTTTAATAGGAACATGCATACTTATCTTTCTGATAAATATTAAAATTAAAGGTTATTGCACTATTGAGTATTTTTGTAATAAATATACAATATTTTCTCATAAACTATTCAGTGATGGGCTCAGGTTAATTTATATCATATCATTCTCAATTTAGGAGCCCCTGAAGAAAATTGTATTCTAGGAAACTAATGTCCTTACCCCCTTCTCCTTTTACCCACTACAATAGTCTTATTACTTGTAAGTTAAAAATAATGTACAATATTACTTATTAAAGTCCTTTAAAGCATAAATGCACATGTACATATAAATGACTCATTTATAAACATAAATATTGTATACTCATAACATTTGAAGGTTGTAATATACATGTAGAGGCATAGTATGGTTGGGTAAGGTATTGGCTGTGGGATGGAACTACATGTACATGTAGTCCAATCATGTTTTTAGCATTCCAAGCCCACATAATTCATTATTGAGTGCTTCAATCATGTACAAGAGTAAATCAATCATCCATATCATACACAAAAGAATTCCATAAATCTTTTCCTCAGAATTGGACATACTTGAGTAGATCCAGTTATTTTGTATGTGTTTGTCAAAACTATGAGAATCCAAACTGAGCTGATCTCAAATGGATTCAGTGGGTTGCTGGCAAGATACATGTAGCTCCAGCAACATTGGAAATGTAATTTATTGACCAAAGTAGGAAAAGCCTGGCTACTCAAATGAAGACACTTCAGTTTTTTTCCACATTAAAAAAAATATCTCAGTCTGTGTTTGACTGAATATAATCCTGTTGAAAAATAAATATGGAAATTGGTTGAAATAGCATGTACATTGCACATATAGGTACTGGTAGTTGAAAAAACTTCATGGTTTGAATGATGGATTTTTTTTTTTTTTAATCCATGCTCATGCATTTAATCCCTTCTTTAAACTAGATCTTTATGTACATGTGTAGCTCAGAAGGATGCTAAATTTCAGATACTAACAATTTATACCTTAAGTATTCAATTGTTTCAGGTACTACAATGTAGCTGGAATTTTTTTTTTTTAAAGCAAAGTAAAATAAAACCAGAAAAAAGACATGTATTTGAATGCTTTTTGTAAAAAATTCAAAACTTGTATCAGACTGATATTTACACAATGTAAATTTGAAGAATGTGAAATTTGTGTAGCAATTTGCATTCTTTATACATGTAAGTACTCAGTTTACAAATCAAGGTGCCAAGTGCCACAGAATCTGTGTATCAATACTTAATTCAAATTCTAACAGTACTATTATATTAATAGTGTTATCCAGTCTTTAATTATCCATGACTCTAAATTAAGAGAGGTACCCTAATACTACAGCTGCAATGGATGGAATACTTGTTTTTAATTATTAATGGTACACAAAGACTTGTGGCTTGATTGCTATCAGAAATGTAAAATGTGATTAAAAATTGATGGCATTATTTTAAGAATAAGTACATGTATTTGAAGAAATAATATAGTGTACTGAACATGAATTTAAGAGAATTGTTAGAAGGGGTTTACATTCTGTGAAAAATCTGTGAAAAATCTGTGAATGTATTAAGGTTGTAGCCAATATTTCTTCACTTTTCTGTACTTGCACTGATAACATCACTACACTTCATCTGACCATATTTTTGTTCATTTTTTCTTCTTTCAGGCCGCAACAAAACAGAACTAAAGTACCTCAAAAAGTTCCCTTTCTTAGTTTGGTAAGTATTTACATTACTTAGCAGTTAAAATTTTTAATTGAAGGCAATGGATAGTGGATAATTTTTAATGAACGATATAACTGGTATTGTGTTTTAGTAGTGATTCTCCAAAGAGGAAATAATTAACCAGTCTTATAGATTATTGTATAAAATCTGAAAATAAGACTGTATACTCATTGTTGTAGTGAGATTTAAAAACAAAGTAAATCGAACGATATTAAAATTGTATACTATGTGTATGTTTCCCAAATGTTATTTTATATTTATAAACAGTTGTGTGATCCCCATTTAAAAGGCAAGAAAATATGACAAATAGACTACTTCCAAAGATAGGGTTCAAAGAATACATTTACAGATCAAGTAATAACCTTTCAAGTCATAAGGGAAAGTTGAGTGAAATTCACGATCAAAATCAAAATCCATCAAAATCCATTGCTAACATTTCAGTTATTTCTTGTGAAGATCGTTCATAAAATGAGATTAACTTCAAATACATTTTTCCCCACAGAATCATAATCCATTGAAATCCAATTAAAATACACATATGTGATATGATTTTGTCCACATACTCTGGCTTTGTAATTAGATAGATAAGGCTATCTCATGAGACCTTTACATAATGAAAGCCTAATCAATCTGTTGGGTTGACCTCTCTTAGCTATTATGTAACCATTGTATAATTAGAAAAAAAACGGAAATTGCTTTTAAATTATTTCTCTTCACATGTAGCGCAGGTTGCATTTCTGTGAATGTCATTTTTTTTAAATCCACCCTTTACTATCCTGGTATAATCTCCTTAAAATCATATCGTACATGTATACCGTAAGCAATTTTGTTGTTGTTGTTGAAATTTAAAGATACATTAAGTTTTAGTAATGGTCATGTAATTCCATTGTAAAAGAGTCTACCGTACACAAGTTATCATGAGTGGTTGATCTTGTTGTGAATAGCAATAAGTGTCTCTGGTTAAAATAATCATAACAATACTGATTTTATTACATCTTGTGAAGATCTTAAGGAATGAAAACTACATGTACTGTACACAGTGCATATCGTTGTAGGTATATTCATGTATAGGACTTCACTAATAAACATGTATGACATCAAAAACAATGTTTGGTCAAGAATTATAGAAGTTTTCTTTTCTTTTCATGTTTTGAATATGAAGACAATTTAATACAAGCCTACAGTAAGACTTACATGGCATAGTGTATGTGGTACAGTTTTACATTGTGGCAGATGAATTGATACATTGGGGCTGGCATTGCTCTGTACAGAACAACATAACAACAAACAAACATTGTAAATACATGTATGTAGCAATCTAACCTATTGTCTATGGGAGCCATTCGGTCCCTGTGTAAAGTCAGTAATCAATGGGTTGAGTAAAGGAGCTCAGTGACTAGTAATCATAAAGTAAAAATTGCTGGTACTCCAGATGAATGGAAGGACATGGACAGGCATGTACATGTAAAGTATACTGGTAGTATACCAGTACTTGTAATATACATGTATGTAATATAAACATGCACATCTTTAAAGTGGCCTGATAGTAAGTGACCATAATGGCATAAAACAAATGATTTATGACGTACATGTACAGTATCTGTCATTCTGTCTTTCTTAAAGCCCCATAAATTTCACCAAAGTTTTTTTTCTATCTTGTTCTCATATGTACAGGTTTGTATGTGTCAATATCACTTATCTGTTTAAAGGTACAGTTGAATTCTTGACGTGTGATAAAATCACCATAGAGACTATCTACATGTAGATATAAGTTCTTGGAAAGGTTGATTATAATTGATAGGAAAAATTGTGTTTTGTGGGGTTTTGGAATCATCAAAATGATCAAACATGGACTTACAGTAATCTTGCTGAAAACTGCACACAGATATACATGTACATGTTTATGCAAGAATACTTACACATGTGACATCAGAAATTTAGGCTTAACTTTTGATAGAACTAATATGATGGCAGTATAGCAAGGGTTACACATTAGCTTTCATGAACATTTACTAGAGTCATACTGATATTTCCATAATGTGGTCCATCTTTATTCACATTATGTACATGATGTAAATAGTATTTGTTTGGTTGTGATCATGCTGTGCTGATATGTATCCCTCATTCTTGTCTCTCACTTGACAGTACCGATATGCTACAGAACAAGACTGGCTCCTCCTCGTCTTGGGTGCTGTAGCGGCCCTAGCCAATGGATCAGCATGGCCTATCCTATACCTATTCCTGGGACTCATGCTCGATGATTTTATTATGTTCAACACAGCCAATGTAACGCTAACAGACTTTGATAATGCAACCATGCACACTACAAGAACGTTATTACAATTTCCTAGTGGTGCTAATGAAGATGTTCTTATAGTGTCAGATACATTTGAGCAGGGCGTTCAGGAGTCTTGTATACGTTTTGCCTTGGTTGGTCTGTCTGTTATGATCTCGTCATACATCCAGGTAAGTTCAGTGAACAATCCATGGGTTCTTTCAGAGTTGCCATACAAAGTATCTCTTAAAATAAATGGATTTTAACTTTAAACTGCATTTTTAAGACTTGTGTTTGGAGGAGTATCCAAATTGAATTACAACTGTATATGTACATAGGTACAGTATGTGTATGTTTGAACCCATTTTAAGTCAGAAGCGTATCCATTCCTTAGAGACAGTGTTGACTCATTTTTGTCAAGGTGTGTTTGTTTATAATCAGACTATATTGACTCAAGTCCTGATATAAAATGGCAATGGGCCTAGATGAATGATTAGTACACAGATAAGCAGCCGCCCACATCCTACGTACAGCTATACATCTCAAAAGGGTCTTGTGAGGAACAATCTATTAAAACACAAGCATATGGGTGCTTGTGAAATAGAGGTCATGCCAACTTCTTTTCAGTCTACCCTACTCACATAGGTTTGCTAAAAGAGCATAGTTATGTTATACCAAAAATTAACTTGGTCTACATATTATAAAGTCGAGGTCAATAAAGGTACTTAGTCCTAGATTTTCTGTCGTTCAGAACTTCAGATTATTTATGAAGGCCAACCTTCACCAAAGTCAAGTAGACCAAGCTTAAAACCAGCATAGTTCACACTATGGATTTCCATATAAGTTATTAGTCTCTTACTGTAGATGCAATAAGACATCAAAGGCATGCGTTAACTGGACTTCTATTTTTCACACAATTTTAGTGATACATCAGATGTGTTCAATTTGTTCTCATCATCCAAAATGACTTCCAAAATTGCAGAATACACTCAGAGATAAAGAAGGGCTGTTAGTGGACTGGACATGTATCCATGGTTTCTCTTTTCTAACCTAAATTTCCTTGTAGAGTCTTGGTTAATTCAGTGTTGGCATTTACATGTATAATAATAATATTCTGTGTTAATCAAGAAAATTTGATTTTAGTCTCTGATTTAAAAAACAATATAAAGCCATTAAAACCGCTGCTTTAAACCAGAGTAAGATTTTCTTTTGTGGCTGACCATGGACGGTTTAGCTACAAAAAAGAAGATATTTTTAATATACCTGTTTATGAAAATTCACATGTTAACAAGTAGAGATGGAATCATTGTGAGTATCGCTCACTGTTCATGATAAAGTGTAGCTTTTCATAGCGTTTGCTTGATTGCGAACATGAAACTTTAAAAGTTGATTTCAAATTTATTGGTAGAAGAATAATGTATAAGAAATGGTTTGATAAGTAACTTTTCAATATTAATAACACATCTGTCAACCATGTACCCTACACATGTACATCCCAGGGCTTCACAATTACATTTTAGATGGGGTCCAGATTGAACTTTTTGTGTATTTTGTTTTGTATAGCGCCTTGAATAAGTTATTAGATAAGTGCGCTTTATAAGTATTTATTATTATTATTATTATTATCAGGGAAAAAATTTAATATTCATTTTTCGGGGGCTACTTTTCAACTTTGCCTGCATAAAAAATAACATTCTTAAATTTGTTTTGCATTGAACTCTATGCAAATTTTCAGGGGCTCTTTTCTGATTTTCGGGGGGCTCTTTTGGGCATTTCAGGGGCTATTTCGCCCTGAGCCTCCGTTTATTTTTTTCACTGGTTATTATTATTATTATTATTATAATGTGTCTTGGGTCCCCATTAGCTAATGTTCAAGCCTTGCTACATGTACATTCATTTTTTGTTTGTTCATTAAGTGTTACAATAAAGTTGATCCTGTATTTGTGTGTTTTATATTAGACTGCATCATTTGGACTGACGGGGGAACGGCAGACTAACCGTCTCAGGAAGGCATTCTTTCATGCTATCCTGCATCAGGAAATCAGCTGGTTTGATTTTCATCAGACAGGAGAAATCACCTCAAAGCTTTCAGAGTAAGATCAAATCAAACAATCACTCTTAAAGTTTAGCAAAAAACATGCAAAAAATTTCCTAGAACTCATCTCTTCTAAACATACAACACTTTTCCATCTTGGAACTGTGAAAGATACTTAAAGGACAAGTCCACTAAAAAATAACTTACCGTACTTTCAATAAAAGAAGAAAAATCAGACAAACCAATCAAAAAAAGTTTGAGCAAAATGGGATAACTAATAAGAAAGTTATGAATTTTTGAAAAAGTATGTAAAACTATGGAACAATGAAAATCATAACACAAATTGCCAAGATGGTTATCAGTTTGTGACGTCATGTTCTCACTATTTATCAATTGCTCTATATGGTTTAATCGCATTAATTTCTCTTTTTATTCCCCAAAATTTGATTTCCCCATGCCTTTGCCCAGGTTATATGATTTGTATCATATTGCGTGCGTGACATTTCACAAAATCTTTTATGAACTTTGGAGAATTTATACTCTTTTCTTAGTATTGTATGTTCATAATTATTGACTTTTATATAAAAAATTTATCAAAATTCACATTTTTCATGATTTAACTGGAAAAAATTACTTATATTAATGCATCCAGACAAAAACATATTACTATTAATCTAACTCGGATGCTGGCATGAAGAAATATGATTCTTTAGGAGAAAATAGGAGATTTATATCATCAATATAAAGAAAATAATTAGTGGATAGTGAGGACATGACGTCACAGACTCATGAGTGAGTTGCCAATTTGTCTAGTGATTTTCAAAGTTTTTAATGTCATTCAAAATTCATAACTTTCTTATTAGTTATTCGATTTTGCTCAGACTTTTTTTGATTGGTTAGTCTGATTATTATGCTTCTATTGAAAGTAAGTTATTTTTGGAGTGGACTTGGGCTTGGCTTTAAGAATCATGAAAGAGTATTTCAAATTCTTTCAGGAGAGAGAGAACAAGGTCAAATCTGGTAAAGAGTGCATCACATATATTTATGTACATCGTATATGACAGACAATAGTGACTGGAGGCTATTCACCCAAACCGCCTTTGTAATTTCTTTTTCATGATTGTTGCAGATTTAGCAGTTTTTACCACAATGAAGCGTTATGAGCCAGTGAGCATTCTGTTAAACAGGTCACAAAGTGATGTTTACTCTTGTCTGTAAACCTCCAAGTGCCAATGACTTACAAACTGTACATGTACAACATACACATATCATGTAGATGTCAGTGGAATTGACAGTAAAAAAATCACTGCCAACATATAAATCTTAAAAATTACATTCTGTGTATAGTTGGAAGAATCTATAGCTGAAATTTATTCAATATCAGTTTTGAGAAAGTTGGGTTGTTCCTGCATTTACTTTTAATGTACATGTACATGTACCATAACTGTGTATTGGTATTAGAAGATTTACTGCATGGTGCATACAAGCACTTATACCACATTTATACTAAGGACCCATCTGGCTTCAGATGTGGGTCCGAGGCCAAACTGATGCTAAACGGTTTTCAGTTTGAAAGCTCCTCCCCGCACAAGGGACAGTCCCATCTGGCCTTCGACCTGCACAAAACAGAGGCGGTTTAATAGTCAATCTAGTGAGGCTCCAGTCTTGGTAAAACCGAGACTGGAGCCTCTGTACATGTATATGAGATATCATAGAGTCATAACAAAACAGGATATAAAACAAAGAGTAATCATAGCCGACCATAGGTATTCCCATAGGATTTTAACACAGAAGACATCTCCTCACTATCTGAATGCCTGTGCCAATCCACAGTGTACATCAAACATCTAGGGCTTCTAGGCTCATATTGGGCTTTATACAAAATGTACATGTACAATTATACATGGAGCTCCTAGAACTAGTACAAGTACTGTATGCATTAATTCAACACACAGCTAAGAGTTCATTTGTTGAAATTAATGCATGGAGTAAAATGGCAATTCTGGACTTACTGGCAGTGTTCATTTCCAGCAATGCATGAAACCAGAGCGGTGTTTCATTTGTTTTTTTAATTTTCATGAATAAAGCAAATATTAAGTAACTAAAAGTCATTATTTCTCAATTTCTTTACCAATCGAAGAGCTGCAGTCCATGACTGTTTTATGATACACATAGGGGGTCTACAAGTCCTTGTTTGTGTCTTTTCTAAAACACACTAATCATTTTCATTTTATTGTCTGCCATCACTGTCACCTGCTGGTAGGGTGCAGATCAAATTCCAATTCCAATTATACATACTCATTACTATTTCCAATTTGATCTGTTGAATACCAACTCATAGATAATTCTGGCTGAAGTGCTGTACATACGTGGGAAATGTGTAGTACACTTGTATCAGTTAACTTAGCTGAAATAATTGAGTGGAATTTCTATTTAAAAAATAGAAGAAAGTATAGATGATGTGTACATGTATGAGAACATGTAAATGTATGAAAATTAAAAAACTTGTACAATTTTGATTTTCATCATTAGTTCAATAACTATTTATAATGATACAAAATGTGAATGTAATGTTAAAGGGTTGCATTCTCTGAACTTTTTCATTTTAAAAATTAACTGTATTTCTTGTAAGAGATATCAAATTGTTTTATCAATACCATGTACAAGAACACATTGATAATGAAATTGATTTTCCATGGTTTGCTCGTTCATTTTAACACATGTACAAATGGTGAACGCCCACTTTACAATCTGTTTAAAACATTACAAGATATTCAAAGTTATCTCCCTCATATTATGATTGGGACATTAATCCAAGAAATCAAAGCTTTGTAGATGTAATTAAAAAGTGCTCTCATTTTCATCTTCTTTTTTATCCTCTTTTGCTCTCTCTCTGTCTCTCTTTGTTATTGCTTTCTCTTGCTCACTTTCCCATCTCTCTTTGTCTCTCTTCATCCTCCTTTCCTGTACATGTATATGTATGTATATGTCTCTCATTTCTAAATGTTTTCCCATTATGTAACTATCACTTATCTTTCCATTTTGACCTCCTACAGTGATGTAGAGAAAGTGAAGTCGGGTTATGGAGAGAATGTAGGCATCTTTCTTCAATTTTTAGGACAAATCATTGCAGGTGAGTTTTTATTAAATCTTTAATTTACATGAAATCTTTAATTTACATGAAATTTTTAAAGACTCTTTGCTTTACAGAAATGAAACTTAATAATTGGTAACATATATTTATCTGGTTATGTTCATTAATCACCATTAACTTCTTCAATTTGACTCTACCTTTTCCCTTTGAAAATTTTTCTTTTTCTTTAAAAAAAACCTTTTTTAAAATATATCAGGAACATCTACAAGATGATAGGTCTATGGACAAATAAACTAATGATTTTATCATTACCGGTATGGTGCTGGTAACAATATTTATAAATGTATGTTTATGCAAGTCAGCACGTACAGTACACCATATGGCATGCTCTTCATGAATTAAATGAATCCTACAAATATCCTGATTTCTATCCCAGGTACATAACCTTAACGTACCGTCTGTCTGTCGTCTCAGAGTCCATCTCTATGACTATCTGTGTTTGAATCATAAGCTAGGATGAAGCCAACAGCTTTTGGTTTGTAGTTTCAATGTGTTTAAATGAACCTTGAATCATTCACACAAGTTTATCATGCACTGTTCTGTCATGCATACATGAACAATTTCATTCTTTTAAAAAAGAGCTACATTCTACAGGTCATATAATTTGAGTAGATGAGCTTGTGTAGTTGTAGGTTTTGTTTTCTCAGCGAGTTATTCATTTTGTACACTGTAGTTACAGTATATCAGGGACAATATTTATTGGCATTGCAGTAAATTTCTTGAAGGCGCCATTGAAATTTTGAAAACAAAACACAAACAAACAGAAACAACACAATAGAACAAACACCACCATTTTGAGTCCAAAGTCTAAGTTGTTTTGGTAAACAGGGTTTACATGGTTGTGGCTATGGTATGAGATTCTTTGAAATTTCTCCTCTAGATATGGTGACATCTCTAATGGTAGAATGATTATTTTGTACAGAAGTTTAAGATTTTGTACTTGTAGTTGAAAAATTGTTATCGATTGTCCCTTGGTATTTAGTTACATTTGTGTTTATTGGGGGAAGGGGAGGGGGTGGTATTACTCTTACACAAAGTTATCTACATCTACAATATGACCAGGTAAACTGTTAACTAATACCTTCAATATAATGTGTCCTTTGAATTAAACCATACTTTAGTGTACCAGCATAATTCTATCTCATTTTAGGTTGAACGGGTGTGGTGTGGCGTCTATGTGTCCTTGTTGTAAGCTAGACATACCAGCCAATACATTAATGTCTAATCAGTTTATAGCATATTGGGTCTAGCATTAAAAGAACTACATTACTGTTTGTGTATGAAATGCTTACACATAGCTACTGTATATGAATACAAGCATTTAGAATAAAGAGTGTGTTGATAACCATAAAATGTGATGTATTTCACCTTATATAAACATTTACATGTATGGCTTTTGTGCCCCCATGTGTACATGTATGCATATATCTGAATAACTGCCAATTTTTGTTAACATTTACCACAAAGTATGGCAAATAATCTCGACATGATTGTACTCTCATACATGTTCACACTGCACATGTACCCCATCAGGGGTAAGCTCAACTAGAACCAGTACTTGTAGCATGTGCATCTTCAAAGATTATGTAATCTTTCATTTTCCAAAATTAAATGAACTGGACAAATATCACTTTTTGGAGTAAAAATAGCAAAGCCTTCTATAAATGCATTGCTTTTGTAATGATTTAATTTTTTTTTGACTGTATACAATACATGCATGTATACCTTGGAATATCACAAATAGCATTTCAAGAATGAAGTGATTACATTCACTATAAAGTTGTAAATATTAAAGAGGCATGTTCCCCGTATTCCAGAGGGCGTTCAAAATACGTACCCGCTGGCGGACGGTGCTAGCTGCCTATTGACACCAACAGAATACGGCTCTTACGCAGATGGCATGTTCCGAATGCCCGGACAATACCGATTATCGCATACATGTGCCGAAGTAATGCCAATCGCAGTTCGGCTCTAAGATTCGGCTGCTGTTTCCGCCCACTTTCGTGACGTCGCGATCGTCAGCGATCAGCTGGCTTGGCGAAGGCAGGCCAGGCCGCGCGTACTTTGATTGACAGCTGTATGCAAATTAGAAGTCGATCTTCGGAACCAAGATGGCGATGACTAGAGCAGCGATAACTACACTGGCGGGAACGTGCCACTTTAAGTGTGCAGAAATGCAGACGTGAAATATGAATATGACATGTTTCATTTTAATTCATATGGATGATATTATTTTAATAAATTTTTCTGTCTTTTTCCATATCAGGTTTCATACTTGCCTTCAGTGTTAGTTGGGAACTAACTATAGTTATCATGGCGGTACTGCCTGTCTTAGTCCTATCCAGTGGCTTTATGGCTCATGTAAGTATTACTTTCTACCTGTACCATACCTTCTTTCAGAAATGATGGCAAACTATCTCAAAAACTACAGCAGCTTTAATAAGAACCATAAAGAGATCCTGTCAGAAGTGAAAATTTAAAAAGATGAATCATATATCAATGGAAAGCTTATACGCCATAGATTACATTGACTTCAATTATGTGCTATTTTAATGTCTGTCGGATGAGTAAGAGTTCTCTGAAAACTAGAAATCTAAAGCTTTGACAATCAGAAGTTGTTGACTTGATGTCATCTCATGTGGAGTCTGCATATTCACAATAACTTTGCACGGCTCATTGCCTCAGCCATATAGGTGAGCCGATCGGGTCCACATGTTACCCGGTATGTTATATGTTTGCATTCCATGTTCATTAAGCTTTCCATTGATATAAGGTTGTATTTTCATCGGATAGGGTCTTTAAATGAATGACAGGTCACAATTTGTTAGAAGAGAACCAAGCATTTATTGAGAAGAGTAGCCACCTAACCTCCACCTCTGCCTGGGTATGTATCTCATCTGCTGAGAGACAGACAGACCCATCTCATTTTACGCAATTAACTTTATTCTGACTTTATGAATTCTTTATTCAGCACACAATATGTAAAATGAACATTGAAGAAACTTTGATTCTGTTTACATTTGTGATGACTCATTTATGGTTCACCATTGGTTTTTATTTACACTTTGGATTTAATTTCTTTGAGTGCATCGTGGAGGTAGTCTGAGATTAACATCATAAGTGCATGTCTTGAAGTCATTGAGAGTTGCTTAGTGCTGTAAACCCCCATAAATCAATAAAGATAAAGACATGTTACCAATGAAAACATGAATGCTGTAAAATGAAGCAAAGTCTGATGTTGTAGTATTAGATATAGGGTTGTTTTGGCTACAATGGCCCTTACTCTAAATAAAATCTAAACACATTGCTAGGCTTAAGCTTTTGTTCATAATTGGGTTAAGCAAAGAAAGCTAGTCTGAGATCTAAGTGTTCCTTTGTTGAATCTTAATTAGTAGAACACAGACCATTGTATTTTGTACTTGTGTGCTCTTGTTAGCCAGTACAAATGATGAAATGGTTTTCATAAGTAACCCTTGTTAGCAAGTTTTGAATTAAGTGCTATTCGCACATGTTAAATTTCAAGTCAAATTTGTGTGTAAGCAAGTTTTTGTGCATTGCAGCCCGTTGACAGAAAATGTATACCATGTAAAAATGGAGATGGAATGGCATATCAGCCACATTCCTGTTCTATTTTTTGTGCTGGTTGGTAGGATTATGGCACATGCAGTTATGGGACTTTTTGGTTTTCAATCAATAGATCTGATGACTTAGGTTAATGGCTCCTCCTGCTAACGTGATAACGTTTTTTTTAAATTATTTTTAGTAAATCATAACAATTGTATGCCATTTGATTTGGTTAAGACTAACAGAATATAATCAAAATTAAACAAAATAATATACAAAACCACATTCATGTACTCTGAAAAGCACTATAATGACAAGATAGTTTATTCCTTAATTTATCCAATGCCCTTCTCTTAGATACATACATACATACATACATATTGGTATTTATTGAGCGCCTTTACATGAACATGCTCAAGGCGCTTTACATTTTAAAATACAAACACAATAGTTATATACTCTCCAAGTGCATTACACTCCAAAAAAAAGATGACAATTACAAAGAAAACAAATGGGTTTTTAAATGTTTCTTAAATAATGCGACTGAGGTGCAAGAACGAATGCTTAAAGGGAGACTATTCCAAATAGTGGGACCAGAAAAAATTATATTTTGTTGACCCTTCTTTGAATTGATGCGGGGGATTTGCAGAAGAAGGGGGTCTGACCTTGAACGTAATGGATATCTTGATTGCTGGATGGGACAAAACAGACTAGAAATATAGGATGGGATAAGGTTATACATGGATTTATAAACAAATAGTGAAACTTTATAGATTATTCTCTTATGAACAGGTAACCAGTGTAGTTGTTTTAACAAGGGAGACACATGATCATATTTTCTTGCATTTGAAATAATACGGGCTGCACGATTCTGGATTCGTTGAAGTCTATCGATATCAGAAACATTTATATTAATCAAGAGGGAATTGGCATTATCTAGACGGCTTAAAACAAGAGAGCGAATAGCATGATGGCATGCCTCATCAGTTAGCATCCTTCTGACCCTAGATATGTTATATAAATGAAAATTTAAAGACTTACATAGTGAAGTAACCTGTTGAGACATGGTCAAAGAAGAGTCAAGAACAACACCAAGAGTTCTGACTGATTCAGAGGGCTCAACAAAAGCATCGCCAAGTAACAAATGAACATGATCAGGTAAATAATGTCTAAGTCTAGAAGAAATAATTAAAAGAGACTCTGTTTTTTGTTCATTCATGAGTAATTTGTTCTTTATCATCCATACATTAACTTCACTAACACATTTCTCTATCAATAATATTGCATTCTGGAAACTACTTGAAGATTTGGGGTTAAATGAATAATACAACTGAACATCGTCAGCATATAAATGAAATTCAACACCGTTATTCCTCAAGATATCACCAAGTGGTCTCAAGTACATCGTAAATAATAGAGGCCCCAATACAGAACCTTGAGGAACACCATATTTCAAACTAAGTTTATGAGACAAATGATTACCAATGGATACTGCAAATGATCGACCCTCTAAGTATGATTGAAACCAGTCGAGTACGGTACCAGACAAAAAGAAATCTGAGTGCAAGCGACGCAACAACACTGAATGATCAATGGTATCGAAGGCAGACTTCAAGTCAAGCATGACCATTATTACACCTTCTCTCTTATCAATTGCTAAGAGAAGATCATGCTTGACTCGGAGTAATGCCGACTCTGTACTATGATTTGCTTTATATGCAGATTGTAACACTTCATGCAGATCACAACGGTCCAGATGTTTAACTAACTGTTTCGATACAATAGTCTCGAGCACTTTAGAAAGAAATGCAAGATTAGACACAGGTCTATAGTTTGCCAAAACTAGAGAGTCCAAAGTTGATTTCTTGAGACAGGGTGATATAATAGCGTCTTTAAACTTGTCAGGGAACACAGTACTCCTCAAAGATGAATTAATTAATGAAACAAATGGGGAAACCAATACTTCAATATTGTCCTTAACAAGCCACGTTGGCATTGGGTCCAGAGAACAAAATTTATTCGCTGATTTAGAAATAATCATTTTAATATCTGATGGAGAGACATCAACAAACGTGGAGAAACCAGTCTCACATTGATGTTTATCCATGGACTGAACGATACCAGAAGTTTGAAGACCCTGCTCCCTTTCATCTAGAACAGTCCTAATCTTAGAGATTTTATCATCAAAAAACCCTGCAAATTTGTTTGCTAGATCTGTCTGATCATCACAATAAGGGAGGACCTTCTTAGATGAACCAAGAAGTAAATGTAAAGTAGCATACATAGTTTTACAGTTAGCTTCAAGCAGCAGATTAGTAAAATAGCTACTCTTTGATTTTACTATAGCAGCGTTAAGTTCATCCTTATGACAAACAAAAATGTCACGATCAGCTCTTAGATTTGATTTTCTCCATTTCCTTTCAGATTTCCTCTTCTTTCTCTTGAGCAAGTGGATATTATCATCATACCACGGTCCACATGGTCTATCTCTTTTCATCCGAACAGAAACCGGACAATGTCGATCAAGAACATCACAGATAGCCTTGTTGATGAATTCAACCTGTTCATTAACATCACCACATTGTGATATACTCTGTAAAACCGCAACAAGTTCATTACCAAAACTCTCTTGATTGATCAAGCGATAGTTCCTTGACGTAATAAGAGTTCTCTTAGCATCCGACTTCTGTAGATTTAAGTCACAGCTAATGACATAGTGGTCTGATATGCCTTTATCAAGAACCATACAGTTATGCAAGATGTTGTCTGCACAACGCGTAATCACTAAGTCAAGGGTATGTCCATGCTGATGAGTTGGAAGCGTAATATGTTGTTGGAATCCTGAGGCACGGATGAGATCAAGGAACTGCCGGCTGACTGGAAGATCTGGTTGATCCACGTGGACATTGAAGTCACCAACGATAATAGTGTGACCACTAAGCATGGCGCATCTCCCGAAGAACTCATCAATTTCATCAAGAAAAGCTTTCGCAGTGAAGCCATTCACTGCAGATGGAGGTGGTCTATATATAGCAAATATGTGAAGACCCTTACTCTCATCAACCACATGCGCTGACTCAAATGTTACTGATGGAGAGTCCGATTTCATCAGTCTCAAGTTCAGATGTGTCTTATGCAAAATCCCAATGCCACCATGAGGATCATTACCACGTGCAATGTTCATGAAGGAGTATCCAGAAGGTTTAAGTTCTTGAATGACTACTGGGTCATCCTCAGACAACCATGTCTCTGTAATGACTAAGATATCCACATCTTCATCAATAGTATAGTCATAGATTCCTACAGTTTTGTTGCGAATAGATCGAGTGTTCAAAAGGTGCATGGACACGTTTGTGCTCAAATCCACAGTCTTGATATACTGGAGATTGTTAGTGTTGACTCCCCTCTGACCACGTAGGGTCACCTGATGACTCTGCTGAGATGGCATTATCCCAATATTCCTTTGTTTCCTCTGTCCACCCCTTGTCCCTCGTTGCCTTGCTTGAATGCCGAACTCTCTGATGTTACTCCATGTATCTTCATTCACCACCCCCCTGTTTCTTGATGTTCTGTATATAAGTCTATCAAGATTATGATCAATAGTCACTAGGGGTAGATGTGACCAGGCAGGATTAGACAGTAGGAGAGAGGACCGGTCATACTTGATGCACAGTCTCTGTTGACTCGCTGATGCACTCGGGTTTTTCGACGAATGATCACCATATTCTGGTCCAGGATTTGGATTTATGTCACCGGATACTAACAAACACAGTTGAAATGTTGCCGTAGAATTACAGTAATATAATATTCTACACTTTGAATACTTTGAATACTTACATTCACTCGACTTACCTATACTCTCTGTACCAGTCCTCTTCACAGGTTCACGCATTTGTGAACATGTACTTGAATCACATACAGACAGTATAAGTATCACACAAAAGCACAAGTGAAGTGTATCCATTGTATTGTACATACAGCCCTTACAGCTGAGTGAACATGAATAGTGAAAGTTGTCTACACTAGACTGTACACTATAACATGGACAAAATGGCCTGCTCAATACAGGTAGCACAAATGGTACACAAAATGTTACATCAAATATCTAAATAAATACAGCATATTACCGCACAGAACCGGCTCTAAAATATCCCTGCACATAATACAACAAGATAGTATGCATTATATCCACACAAGTACAGAAATCCAATAAAAATAACATGCAACTTGGAGAGCAATAACAAACACGTCAGCCTGTTAGGCGACATACACATACAGATAGAGGTTAAGAACTATTTTAATAATTCTAGGTGGTCAGGTCAGACTTCAAGACTTCTCATGAGCTTAAAGTTACTTCTTTGAATGTGGCAGAAAATGAAGAAAAAACTAACTTGTTGAAATAGAATCACACTCCTGGACCGGTGTATCCATTTGTGAGATATGATCCAGGCAACTCTCAGGACTATGTCTGTGTCCGTATGTATGAGATACTGAATATATACTTTTCAAAACATTTAGACTCCCAAAATGTCCTAGGAAAGGTTTTCTCTTTGTTTTTTCACTTCATGTTGAATATGTTAAAGTGTTTGAATGCAAATCGTTCAGTTGGGTACTTAGTTCATCTAGATGGTAACCCTGATGATGATCACCTGAAGTGCAAGAGACATATCTTATTAATATTTATCCTGTAAGGTAATACTGTTGTATGGCTTTGACAGGTGATATCAGTGATGACCACACAAGAAATGCAGGCATACTCCCAAGCTGGTGGTGTTGCTGAGGAAGTGCTCTCATGTATACGCACCGTGATGGCGTTTGGTGGGCAGAAGAAGGAGCTGGAAAGGTGAGCTCAAACATCCTACATTATATTCCTTAATCATTAGGGACTTTAAGATTCGTGTGGACTGATACATCTGACGTCCATTCAAGGCAGTGCATTAAAAGGACGTCGTTCGTAGCAATCCACGTCGTTGTGCAAATCTAAAAGTCCCTATTATAAGCATCTGACACGACTACAGGGGGGGGGGGGGGGGGGTTGTACCTTTATTTAAAGGTGATCTTACAATATGTGAATGTGTTGAGAGAAAAGGGTAACTTAAATGAATGAGCAATTTAGATCGTGAAGCAGTTATGATGCAATAATGCTACATTATCATGCTATAAGCAATGAGGTTACAGTCTTTTCTGCACTCATTAAGTGATCATGAAATATAATAATGATAATAATATGTCTTGTTTAGGTAGGGTAGCCTCATCAGTATTATTACTGTTCTCCCTGAGTGCCCTACAACCGTATTATTACCCTGGTTTTAGCTGAACTATCATGATAAAGTGCTCGAGCACTCAAGGAATTTCTTCCTACCAGGTACCTATTTGCTACACCTAGGTGGAGAGTTGCAAACTTACATTAATATCTTGCCAAAGATCATTAGTGCCACAGTGGGACTAGAACCACCAACCAACGTATTCACCAGACCACAAAACAAAATATGAATTTGGTACATAGAGCTAAATTATTTTTGTCCTCATATTTGCCTGCTTCTCTTAAGGTTTGCAGCAGCTTTAATCATAAATACATATATAGTACTAGAAATTAAAATCAAGGAAATGTGACGAAATGGATTTGGAGTTCCCTAGAAGTGTTCATGGTCCTTGTGAGTTGTTTGAGGACTAGTATGTATTCTATCTTGGTCCTTGTGAGTTGTTTGAGGACTAGTATGTATTCTATCTTGGTCCTTGTGAGTTGTTTGAGGACTAGTATGTATTCTATCTTGGTCCTTGTGAGTTGTTTGAGGACTAGTATGTATTCTATCTTGGTCCTTGTGAGTTGTTTGAGGACTAGTATGTATTCTATCTTGGTCCTTGTGAGTTGTTTGAGGACTAGTACGTATTCTATCTTGGTCCTTGTGAGTTGTTTGAGGACTAGTATGTATTCTATCTTTGTTGTAGATATGAGAAGGAGTTGTTGACTGCGAAGGCTGCAGGAATCAAGAAGGGGATCACCAGTGGATTAGGCATTGGGATGAGCTATCTCTTCTACTCATGTACTTATGCTCTGTCACTCTGGTAAGTTTAAGCTTAATTCTTACAATTAAAGGAATTTGTTGTAGAGAGTAGTGATCTATTTCCACACTGTATTATCAAAATGGGAGCTGCTACCAATAAATTTTTTGAACAGAAAGTTATGCAAGATTCCATTTTCCTTTATTGCGAAATGTATTATTTTACCTGTGCCTGGGAGATACTGTTGTAACATTTGTAGGCTTTTTATCCTTGAAAAAAATAGGTTTGTTCTGTAATCAGCTATCATGGAGCAAAAGAGTCTTGTTTTGATAATATTTGTAGAAAAAACAAATTCCATTTTTATAAGCATTAATTTCTTTCAGCGCGCTATCTGGGCCACCAAGTTTACAAACATGTATGACAAATTTGATATCATGAAACAAAACAAGTTTTCAATCATGTAGGCTTCTGTCATTGTTCATCTTAATAGACAACCTTTTCATGATTTAAGACCTCGTATTTCTTTTTACCGGTAAACCCATTTTTAATTTCATGAAGAAAGAATGATGAAAGACCAGCTTAACCCCTAGTCTCCAAAATTGTATACAACATTAAAATTGAATGGGTCAAAATGGTCACACCAATGAAAGGGTTAGTAATGTAGCGAATGTTGTTTGTTTTTTACAGGTATGGTCCGAAGATGGTGAGTGAAGGTCGAATTTCTGGTGGTGATGTTGTGACTGTATTCTTCTGTATCTGGTCAGGATCAGCGTCTATAGGTAACTTGACGCCTTCTGTTCATGCCATAGCATCAGCTAGGGGAGCAGCCGTCGCCATCTATGATGTTATCGACAGTGTGAGTATTTATCAAAACAATTGACCCGGCCAAGTAGGAATGGAACAGGTTTTTAGTCCCTCATGTAGCACTGTATCATGTGCTCTTAGCACGAAAGGCGCTAACTTGGTTCATGAATATAGTGTTAATGCTCTTCTTGTTTTCTGCAGTTGCTATGAGGATTTTTCCATCATATGGGCAGTTTGCTTAAATGGCATCTTGCTCCATCATTTTTGTTATCATTTAATAGCAATATACATCCTTAGGCCTTGCAGGCTCACTCTTGCTAACAAGGTACTGATTGCTCTTTATAATTTTTTTTTCTTCTTAAGGTATTAAGATCTAAACATATGCATGATTCATCCTATTTACTTCATTTACAGACGTAAGAAAGTACTTTTTAAAGCATATTTGGAAATAATATTAAATTGTCTCCAATGTTGTGTCTCCCACAGGAACCCGAGATTGACAAGAGGAAAGACAAGGGAATGAAGCCCAAGTCAATAGAGGGTAATATTGAGTTCCGTAATGTAAGATTCAGCTATCCAATCAGACAAGATGTACCTGTCCTTCGTGACCTCTCCATGAAGGTCAACAGCGGTCAAAGAGTTGCCGTGGTTGGGTCAAGTGGGTGCGGCAAGTCAACCATGGTCAAGTTGCTGCTACGCTTCTACAATCATGCATCAGGCGAGGTAACTCTCTTCTATTGTATTTTTCTTTCAATGGGAATTAAATTCTGTTGTGCTTAAACACAAGTCCATGAATTATATATTAATGGTTTTATAGAGATGATTTTGAGATGGTTTGATGCCACAAACTGGATCTCCTTGCTTGAAAGGTGCCTTTGACAGTGAACTCTGAATATTTATTATATTGAATTGCTTTTATTGTATTTGCACAGACCCTTGTTATGAATTCAATGTCTGTATTGATCTTTCATATAATATAACATTTTCCTGATAGCAGTCAAAAAGTCAAGTTAAGATGCAACATCCTTTCAGGTGGTCTTACATTGAGATAAAAACGATTTAGGAGATGTACTGTTCACATATTAGACTCTCAATAGGTTGTAAAATGTATGTGGGGGGGGGGGGGGGAAATGTGTTATCCTGGTCTGTTGTAAAACCAAACATTTTTGCGAAGTTTATGAGTGTTGCCAAGGGTAAATGCTGTACAATTTACTGTAAAGCTAGAAACTTTTATGAGTGATTAAGCTTTTCAAAAGAGATAATGCCAAAAGACTGCTGAATCGCAACAATGAGTTTGACAATTTCTGTCCACGAAATTGGCTGTTAACATTTTGTAAAAGTTTCATGTCACAGGATATTCTGGTTTTACAGAAAATGACATTGTATATTAAACATCTCCATCTCCCTCTGCTCAATTTCTGTACAGATTTGCATAGATGGAATTGACATCCGTGACCTGAATGTGACCTGGCTGAGAGAGAACATTGGTGTGGTGAGCCAGGAACCCACTCTCTTCAACTGTAGTATAAGGCAGAACATTGAGTTTGGACATGAAGGCGTGAGCGATGCTGAGATAGAAGAAGCTGCCAAGAAAGCAAATGCTCATCAGTTTATTTCATCTCTACCTAAGGTATGCTCTATTCATAGAAATAAATAGAAATGTCCACATGCATTCTTGTTCCTGTGGTATCTTACTGGTATGGGCCCCAGGGAGTGGAGAATGCACCGTGTGCCGAGTCAAATGACCAGGTTAACTATACTCTTGTGTAGTATTCTGATCTGAATTGGAACAATACAGTGAAATAGTTTTAGTTAAATATTTCTGTTGAGTCTACAAAAGGATGCAATCAACATGTTCACTACAAACAGATGGTCTATCCAGACAGGTTCTTTAATACATTTACTACAGGGGGCTAACATTATACATGACCACAATGTGAAATATGTATACCATCATAGGTTTTCTATGTCTGTTCTATGTTTTCTCCCATTCCAGGGCTACGACACCACGGTAGGAGAGCGTGGTGCTCAGCTGTCTGGAGGCCAGAAGCAGAGAGTAGCCATCGCCAGAGCTCTGGTCAGGAACCCAAGGATTCTACTCCTGGATGAAGCTACATCAGCCCTGGACAGTGAGAGTGAGAAACTAGTACAGGAAGCTCTAGATAAGGTAAATAAGATATATGTAGTAACTATTAGATAAAGACATCGTTCCTCCATTGCTATCAGATGTCTGGAGTCATTGTTAACTCAAATAGAAATACAAGTATTTTCATTTGAAGATTGGGCCAATCATAGGGATTAGAGTTAAGCTAACCACAGTTTAACCACCAACAAATATCTAACTTTGATATAATCATCTGGTAGATTACAGAGAGAGAGGGGGAGAAAGAGAGAGAGAGAAAGAGAGAGAGAAAGAGAAAGAAAGAAAGAAAGGGGGAGGGAGGAAGGGTGAAAGAGAGAGAGAGAGAGAGGAGAAATTCAGTGTAGAATGTTAGATTTACTTGTAGCCTTATTTCCCACTGTGTTTAGGCCCAAGAGGGGCGAACGACCCTGGTGATTGCCCACCGTCTCTCTACAGTCCAGAATGCTGATCTCATCTTTGTGATGAAGGAAGGTCATGTAGCTGAGTCAGGAAACCACAAGGAGCTCATGAACAGAGAGAGTATCTACCGGCAACTTGTCACACTCCAGATGTTCAAAAAGCAAGATGAATCCATTCTGAGTGGTACGCCCTTTACATCCCTTTATATAGTATTTTGTAGTGGCCAGTTACAATTGTCTTATTCCAGGGTGTCAAACTTTGAACGATCTAGTATACGACCCCCACAATGTATATTTATCCTTTAGCATCCTATATGACACATTGATGCAATGTCTCTTTAGTAGCATTGATCCACCATGATAGTATGAATGTAATCCCACTGACTAGTTTAAACGTTCCTCTTGTAGATGGCACTAGAAGAGACATTGGCCGTAGCCATGACAATGTATTAAAATGTTACTGCTAAAGATAAATGTTTTGGAAAGCTTGGTCATTACCTTGGCAAAAGGATACATGTATGTGCCCATTGATAGAGTTTTACTATTTCAGATAGAGAGTATGATATTTATAATAGTAATAACTATGACGATGAGGAAGATGACAACAACTGTAAGTTCAACAATGACAGCAAACGATAACAACAACAATAGTAATGTGTATTTATAAAGCACTATTTCAACTTTTCAAAATGAAAACAGCATGGGTCAAGAGAATTGTTTCTTTGCTCCACATGAAGAAAAGAAAAAGGCAGCAAACCTTGGTCATTGCCATGAATATTTTCTTGTTTGTGTTTGGATGTTGTTTCAGATGATGATGTAAGGAGCCTTGGTCGTCAGTCTTCTCTTAATGATTCAGTGCCTTCATCACCATCATCTGACTCTGTTAAGTATAGCAGTGTTAATGATGAACTCATTGTTCCAGTGAATGGCAATGGGAAAGTACACATGGGAGAGGAGGAGCCTTCCATTAAAACCAAGAAAAAGAACAAGAAACACAAGAAAGAGGTAAATGCAACGCTGTTTGTTGATGCTTTTGAGTCGCTGCTAAAAAAACCCACAGACTACATAATAGGGACTTTTAGATTTGCACGACGGGATCGTGGACTGCTACATGTGACATCCTTTTAAGGCACTGGCAGTGCCCGAACGTGCCTTAAAAGGACATCACATTGCCGTAAAAGGATGTCACATATAGCAGTCCACGTTCTCGTCGTGCAAATCTAAAAGTCCCTAGTATACCTACGTTATTACATATTTATGAATGAAATTTAGGTATGTGTTTGTGTTTGTAATGGCCTTATCAGATATCACTAGCCCTTTGAGCTGTTTTTTCCAATAAATATTGATATTTTAAGAAAGGGCTAATTTAAAAAAATGAAAACTGTTAAAACTGACTTTGAACTGAAGCACAATTATGGTTTTCTGTTCATTCTTGTGTTTGACTATGATGTGTGCTAGACAGAAATCTTTGGTATGTCTAGATTAAAATTATAGTTTTACTTTGTGTCTTTCCCTGTATTCCATGGCTAGAGGTCTACATGCATATCCCTGTGTAATGAGGACTTCTTGCCTTTCTTTCAATATGCTTTTAAAGCATTGGGAATTCCAGTTATGCAAGAGAGTTGAGAGGGTGTAATCTGTTAAACCAATATTGACTACTTTGATTGAGGGGTAAAGGTTGAAACCGTTCCCCTGAGGTGATCTCATAACTGTGCTATACCTCAAGATGAAAGTCAAGTGTCCTGTTAATCAGCAGAACCAAGGAATATTTTGCTTCATATACTGCATCATGCCTGTGTATCCACAACACAGCAAACTGTGGTATGCATATCGTTGCTGTTTTCACGAAGTGACGGTAGTGAAAAAAAAATTGCATTCACTTTGCGTGACGATTTTCCTCACTACCGTCACTACGTGAAAACAAGGACGATATGCCCATTCAATACATAATCATGTAACTGCAGGGATACTGCTTATAATAATGATGTTGCTTACTTTCCTGCACAGAAAACCTTCACAAGTGTGCCTAAGCTCTCGTATTGGGACATCTTGAGACTGAATAAACCTGAGTGTCATTACATCATCATTGGATGTATCTTTGCTGCGTTCCTTGGTGCAGCTCTACCCACCTTGGCTATTCTTCTTACTGAGATCATTAGGGTAATTGTCACCATAAACCTTTTCAAACATAACCCCCTCCCCCCCCCCCCCCCCTGGGATTTGAACAGAGATCCGAATGTCACCTCTTATGGCAGTTCACATGTAGGATACATGAAATCAATTTTCTTATCTCACTTCTGCTGTCCTTGGTTGTAATACAGAGTGTCCCGTTGACTTTTGTTATAGCAAATATTCTTTAATTTTTTTCAAAAACATAAACACACAATAGTGCGATTTAAATTGTGATCAGAAATTACAAATTTCCTGAGATTTTCATGTTCACACAGGAAAATATGTTTAATTCTTATCTTGTTTCTAAATCGTAGATTGAATTTAATAAATTGCTTTGTTTGTGAAAAATCTGAACAAAGTACATGAATCTACTTTGTGTTTTGTATGTAAACATTGATATACATTTGAGCACAGTCTACAGTTTTAAAAGAAGTGGTTTGTTCTTAGCCAAATAGTGAATCAAGCCTTGTAGTACAGGTAGGAACAAAAAGTCATTCATAATTGTAGTAAGGAAAGAAAAGAAAAATTGCCTCTAAACAGTTTTCTGTTTTCTCTGCAAGTTCTGAAAGAGTTGCTAGAACCTTTGATAAATTACACTGTAAAATTCATTCAGGTTTCTTGCCTGTGCTCTTACACTTTGGAGTATTTTTTTAATGTTCAACATATGTAGTTTATTTTAAGCAGGTTTGATAGTTTCCTTTTTTCTGTTATCCATTTTAGTCCAAACGTTGTCAAATGGTCGAAAATATCTTTACAAACCCTATTTTAATTTCGAGAAAAGTGATAAGCTGTATTTAGTCCAGTCTTCAAATTTTGGCAGTATTTACCTCCCAAGGTACTTCTTAAAGTTAACTATCAATGGAGCTAAACCAAGATTTAATGGTATTAAATGGAATTCCAGGAATATCACATAAATGCTATACAAGAAGCAGATTATTATAATATTACTAGTATTACCTTCTGGACCTTCTGACCAAGTACCTATATATAATTTGATTCTTACAGATATTTAGTTTGCCACCCGATGAGATGGTCGCTGCAGCTTCTTTCTGGTCCCTCATGTTCATTGTATTGGGTGTAGTGCGAGCTGTTAGTATCTTCGTCAGTATGCTCATGTTCAGTATCTCAGGAGAACTCCTTACTCTCAGGCTCAGAAAGAAAGCATTCTGGGCAATCTTGAGACAAGTAAGTATCCCCTCAATACCTTGAAATACATCTTTATAAGTACTGTATTATTTAATGAAAATCTATTAGGGTGTTCTGCCTTCCAGATTTTGTTGGTCCGTACATGAGTGTGTATTTTTAACTGCACTAGAGTGGATTTGATATAATTTCAGCTGTCTGTGCATCATCATATATAAGTAAAGAAATTACATTGTGTGTTTATCATACTGGTATATACATATTCATGAATAAGTTAGACAAAGAACTTAATGGCTAGTTTACTACATGTATTTTATTTCACAGAAAATAGATCAAAACATCATTAACAGTCTATTAGATGTTGGTTTGATTCATATCCTCGCCCCCACCTTTTTTACTATGTTAATTGTTGAAGATGTTTTCACATTTCTTGTCTTTTCTGTTTGTTGTGAATAGGATGCAGCGTGGTTTGATGAACCTGAGCATAACACAGGTTCTTTGGCTAATGTACTCGCTACTGATGCTTCCAATGTTCAAGGGGTAAGATACCATATCATCTTATCAGAATGAAAAGAACAAAAAACAATGTTGATGGTGTAAAGAAATGAATGTCGTCTTATTCAAAAAGTGCTATTGTTATTGCTTGGTTTTTACTTTGAGCTTAATTAACAGATGGGGGGGGGGGGGGGGGGGTAACGGCTTGTGTAATACGTAATTATGATTTAAAATGGCATGTATTTTTTACTGGCAATACTTGAAATGCTCTTCTGCTTTGATATGTTTTTATTGGATTTAGCAGCCTAGATCATGGCTTGCAGTATGTATGCAGTAAAGACAGCAATCTATGTTCATTCTTCAATTAGATCTATAGACTTATCACAAATTCCCCTTTCACTCAATCCTACCCAAAAATCAATCTCTGTACATACCCAAGATTTATTTTCTTATGTATAAGTGTTGAAATCACCCTTCAATTCCACATATGGCTTTACCTTACAGGCTACTGGTCTTCGCATCAGCACCCTCATGCACGAGTTTGTGACCGTGCTCATCGCTGTTATCATTGCATTTATCTATGGCTGGCAGCTGGCCCTGTTCACATTATGTGCTGTTCCTCTCATGACATTCTGGGGACGTATTCAGATGGCAATGTTAACAGGCACCCAGAAACAAGACTCACATCTTCTCCAAGAAGCATCAGAGGTAAACGAGGGGTGTACAGTTTTCCCCAGTTCAAGCTTAGAATGTATTTCAAGTCTGTTGTTGACTATAATGATAATAATAATAATAATAATAATAATAATAATCTAATAGTCCACTCCAAATTTATTAAACCGAAACGGAAATTCTTTTTGCCCAATTGATCGTGAGTTTGACCCTGATACATTCAATGAGGGGATGTTATATTATATTCAAAAATGAAAAGAGTTGTATCGATGTTAAGGTGATCAGTTCATTAAAGAAAGATAAGCTTTAACAAATTATACAATGTATTACTAGGAGGGGGGGGGGGGGGGGGGGGAGGTGAGGGCATATTGGTAGAATTTTAATTTCTAAGATTTGCGTACAGTATTACATTTGTCATACATTATAGGTACATGTATGTATATGAACAGAGTAAATTTATGAAACCATTTCCCTTTTAGAACTAGAAGATTCCTGTTAAAGCGTAGGTGATTGGGAGAATCAAGTAAACAGGTTAACAAAATCTCATCCAGCAATGTTCAGGGTAAGAAGTAAATCATATGTTGCATTCACATATTCAGAGAATGATATCAAAGGTGTTATTTCTGTGTTTCCTAGATTGCAAGTGAAGCGATAGAAAACATCACAACGGTATCATCCCTCAATCTGGAGGAAAGAATATATCATTTCTACTGTGAAAAACTTCGTGAACCTCTCAAGTAAGTTATAACAATATACACTACCAATCTCTTATAGTTCTATTTTCTTGATCGAAAGTTGTATACTAGAGGAATGATGTCATTGGTCTGTAATAAGATTGGGAATATCTGATAGATGAAAACAAGTGTTGATTCTTAATATCTATGGACTCTTAGCTGTGTTTTCTACAACTTCCATCACTGACTATTTGTCAATCTGTAACATCATGTTTGTGCTCTTATTACCACAGGAAAATCCAGAAGCACAAGTTCTTCTTTGCCTTTGCAGTTTGTTGCTCCCAGGCATCAGTGTTCTTCCTCTTTGCAGGGGCCTTTAGGTTTGGTGGTCATCTAGTAGCTATCGGTCAAATGTCCTCAGATGCTATGTTTAAGTAAGTGTCACTGACCCACATTATAGAAATATTGCATGCTCTGGCATTCAATATAACAAAATATATGAACCAAAAAATTCTACATTTTCCTGATTGATATTATATTTCACCCAAGCTGCAGGCCAAGGTTGAAATATAATGGCACGAGGAGCATGCGGAATTTGGAGGTTAATATATGTCTTATTGAACAGCATGCATGTATTATTTTGTTATGTACAGTTGTGGGTATTTACGATCTCATTCCTTGATCTTTTGAGTTAGGCTCTGTTGATTATTTGCCTTCATGATGTTTGTATGTGTTTGACCATGCCAAAAGTATTGTTCAATGTCACATGAAACCCTTTTAGTCAATAGGATACTTGCTAGCAAATACCATTCATGATATCATATAGAGGTATCATGGTTGAGTGGATACATCATGGACTGTGGATCACAAGGCCTGCGGTATCGAGTGCCGCAGCGGCACTAATGTCCTTTGGCAAGACATTAATCTACATTTGCCACACTCGACCCAGGTTTTTTTGCATTGCAGGAATATTTCATACCTTATAATACCATGATGCAAAGCCAACTTGGCACTTTGTATGATCATGATCATGTTTGTCTTTGCTTTTTGTGCTGTCCATAACACTCTGTATATATTATACAATTATATTTAATCAAGCTTATCTTTAGAACTAGTTTGCAAGCAAGCAGAATATTTTGATCTGCCATACCTTGTAAAGATATCGACAATGATTGAAGGAAAACACAACTTTGATAGCAAACGATTCTAAAAAGAAGTCAGAGAATCAAATTGGTGAAAGTTTGAAAGAAAACAGACAAAAAATATAAAGGTTACACATTTTTGAAGGTTGTAATCACTTTACGTATGGGAACTTCATATTGGCTAAATCTTTTATGTCACTGTCATGTAGTGCTGGACAACTTTCCCATTTGTTCCAAAACACAAAATGTAATTTTATTTTCTTCAAAATGTATGACTCTAGAAGGTTTTTCACTTTAGAAGACTTTCAATAATATACTATCCATAATGTATTTTGAGTAGTCCCCCTGAGGTAGAAGGCCCTTTGAGGAGAAAAATCAATTTTATGATATTTTTACATAATAAACAGAGAGTTGTTGGTGACCACGTCGCAACCCACTGACAGAATTGCCTCTTTGAGATTTGCATAGCTCTCGCGATCTCATATTTCAAAGCTTCATAACTTTCTTATTATTGGTCTGATTTATTTCAAACTTGTGCCTTGTGTTTCTCATATTTTTCTGCTTTCATATAAATAATTCATTACATGGGCGTAGTTTCCTTTTAAGATAAGGAGACTGTATATTGTGAAATGATGCTATTAGCTTTATATTTTTGCATGAATTTCTCTGTACTTGAAATGTAATATTTTTCTATAATTTTATACATTGATATTTAAACATTCCTTCATCATGTAGGTATGGTTTTCTTTTTCATATTGATATTTGTGTATAATTGTTTTCCCTTTTGTGTCTTTGTCCAGGGTGATTATTGTGATCACCTATGCAGGTATTGCATTAGGCCAGGCAGCAGCATTCATGCCAGACTTCAGCAAGGCTAAAATGTCAGCAGCTAAGCTCATCACACTGATTGGTCTCCAACCAACCATCGATAACTACTCCACAGAAGGACTCAAGCCAGTAAGCAATAACCAATGTGCCAATAACTGAAAACACTCATTTGTATACAGCTAGAATGCATAAAATCAACCTAAAAGACTTTTACCGGCATTCTATGGGCTAACAGACATGTAGTAAGAAGGAAATAAAGAATAATATAAACCCACGTCCACGGAATATAACGTTGGACTTGGATTCCGTGCAGGTACTATTTTATGCAAGAGTGTATGGGTGTGTCAGGTAGTCTACTCACAAGTCCTCTTTTGGGGGGGGGGGGGGTAATTGAGAGTGGATTTAAATTTGCAATATCTCCTTATAGAAGTCATGTTGTTTGAAGTTCTTGTTTTTAATATAGTGTAGGGACTTAAAACCATTAACATATATAGAACGCTATACTTGTTGGTGGTTGGTACTCTTTGATCTTGAAGATATTCAATGGCCCACTCAGCAGCTAAGTGTTTACTAACCCCTGAAGTTCCTCCATTTGTTCTTATTTAAAGACCAAAAGCAGCCCTTGAGACCTTCATTTTAGTGTCTTTATAAGTCAATATTATGTGAGGCATTTAACCTGTTGACTACTGAATTATCTTATCCCTATAGGCTTAATACAGGGAACACCCGGTTCTAGTAAGCAATGGGGTTAACATGTACATATATGCACATCATCATCACATATGAACACATAACTAGTCTATTAGCTTTGATCTCTCAATAAATACCAAAAACCATTGTTTTGATTGGACAGCTAAAGATTGATGGCGCCATCAAGTGCAATAACCTGACCTTCAGATACCCCAACCGTCCTGGTAGCACTATTCTGGACAGTCTGAATCTAAACATAAAACCTGGTCACACAATGGCTTTGGTTGGTGAGAGTGGATGTGGGAAGAGCACCATGGTTGCGCTGATGGAACGCTTCTATGATCCTAACTGTGGATCCATTGTGAGTACACATTTTCTCCTTAAATTTTCTTTGTGTAGTCCCCAAACCAAGTTATCATGCTTAAGTACCTCTAGGTTTTGATGATGGAGTATTTCATTGTTTTATGGGCAATTCCAAGCTATTTTGTCCCATATGCTACTGATTACATCTAAGATTTCAGAATTTCTGATGACCAGCATTCTGATAGCCGTACTAGAGCTCTAATCAAACAAAACATCAAATGAAACAACATTCTGATGTCAATTTGAGTTTACAATTCCATAAAACAAACAAGACATGCCATTTGATTTTGCATAATATTTGAAATATAGAACATCACACCTTTGCTTTTTTGTTTTCTAGCAACTTGACGGGAATGACCTGCGTGACCTGAACATCGGGTGGCTTCGGTCTAATATGAGTATTGTAAGCCAGGAGCCAGTGTTATTTGCTTGTTCTATCCGTGATAACATTGCCTATGGTGTGGAAGATGAGCTCCCTCAGGACGAAGTGGAACGGGTTGCTAAGATGGCTAATATCCATGATTTCATCATTTCTCTGCCTTTGGTATGTAAACAACTGCACTCATTTTCTGCTTAAAGTTATTCCGCATTGTTTATCATGTAGAAAGTAGTGAGTTTCTTTACACTAGCAAATTACCAACAAACAACAAAGTTACATTCATCTATTAGCATATTTTACATTTTCACATCGCTATATAAGTAAAAGTTATTATTATTATTATTATTTTGTAGCTAGAATTTCCTTGACTAGCTTAATAATAATGATGTTCTGCGTTTATATAGTGTTTATGAATCAACGATGTCTCTAAGCGCTTGACAGAGATATAAATACCCAATCGTCGGATTCAAGCTCACCCGCACACATTGTGTGCACATTCTCCACTCCCTGGGGAGTATTTCAGACAGGCACCATTTTACAAATGCTCACAATGCTGAGCATACTTCATTAACGTTCGCATCCTGCCGGGTACCCATTTAGCACGTGGGTGGAAAGTGGCAAATGTCTTGCCAAAGGACGTTAGTGTCGGGCTGAGATTTGTTTATAAACTTAAGTATCATGCAATAATTTTATGAACGTTTAACTTTTGAACTATTTGGTAATAGATAACAATGAAAATATTAATACAATACTAAATGACTCAATATTTGATTGTTTGCAGGGTTATGATACTCTAGTAGGAGAGAAAGGAGCTCAGTTATCTGGAGGTCAGAAGCAAAGAGTAGCCATCGCTAGAGCTCTGGCTAGAAATCCTCGTATCCTTCTGTTTGATGAAGCTACATCAGCACTGGACACTGAGAGTGAACAGGTAATGATACTTTTTATTCCCTTGAAATTATCCATACACCACTTGGATCTGGTTGCAATGCCCCTAACTTTGACAAAAACAAACTTTCAATTGAAATGTCCCAATTTCATGCCTTAGCTGTGGAAATTGGTGCACTTTATATTTATCTGCCCTAAAATGCAAGGGATAACAAATATTTGAATTTCAAGAAAAGTCATCAATGGTAGAATTTGAAAAAATATGAAGAAAAATAATGTTAATTTTTAGTAGGGAATCTATATATACAACTGTACGAAAACTACCCATATTTGTGCTACCTTATATCTGTAAACTAGTTGAGAGGGCCTTCGGTCCCGAAAAGCGCTATATAAAAACTAGCTATTATTATTATTATTAAATAGAGGCAATGAATAAGTAAATATATATATAGAGAGAGCACTAGCAGGATATGATAAGGAGCTGATTTCCATGTTCATCTTGCTACAGATTGTACAGAAAGCACTGGACAATGCCATGGACGGACGAACCTCCATTGTTGTTGCCCAGCGTCTCAACACCATTCAGAATTCTGACCAAATTGCTGTTATTCGGGATGGAAACATCGTGGAGCAAGGACGTCATCAGGAGCTGGTCTCAAGAAAGGGCCACTACTACACCCTCACAATGGGCCAACATAGCTAGACACAGCACTCTCTTTCTTTCATCTTTCACCTCATTATCATTGATGTGTATATTTATTTACCTGACTGCAAAGATAAGAAATGTATGCTTGTAGATGTAATCTATATCTCGAAACCCTGCCATAGGGAATTCATTATTCAGTATTGTATGGCTCACTTTAAGAGCTTTAAAACAGCAACTCAGTTCTGAACCGTAGGCGGGCAGAGGGGTTCCGAGACTAACGTTCTATTCACTTAGCTAATACAAAGCAAGCTGATCACCTTATTTGTGCCTTGGATGAAGGCTGATGAATCCTTTGAGAAAGCTACAGAAAGAACAATACTACTTCTGAGAGACTTCCTTAATTACTTTTGATGTTTTTCTTTACTTGGACTGAGATTGTTATTGTCAGTCTTAATGTATCCAAAGAGCACACCTTCGTAGCGAATAACCTAAATGTTCACCATATTGTAATAAGTAGGATGTCTTTGTAAGGTGTGATGCTTGTTGATGATTCATGCTAATACATGTATTGTTGAAATGCATCTGCATTATTGATGTGGCAGTATGTACCTTTTAGAGACCAAGCCATGAAGCTACAGTACTACATTGAGGTACTTCTGAAACAGCTCCCAAGATCATATAAACATATCCGTGGTATATCACCAATATCTGGGATCTGAAACATTTGGATCATCATCTTATATCGAGACCATTTCAATAGTACTACAGTGATAATGCACCATTGGCACCTTGTCATATTGTGACCTTTGATGCTCACGCTCACAATGTTCAACATCAAAGATTTTCAAGCATACACCCTATCAACTCTGGATATTAGAACAATTGTTAATTTTGTCATTTTTACATTATTACAGCAAATTTGAGTTGTACTTCCAAAGCTCTCATTATTAATATTTGACTCGTATGATCAAATGTCTCTACACAAACACACACACACAAAATAAAATTTCTTATTTTAAGTTAAGAGAGGAAAACATGGGTGATGGATTTTTAAAAGATAATTAAAACTGCTTGATGAATAACTGAGAAATGATATTGAGTTTGGATCTACAGATAAAGATGAGAGGGGATTTTAGTTATAAATTGAGAGTGGAAGAAAAGAAAGAAAATTCTGGGACAGATGTGACTAGAGCAATATAATTTTAAAATCTGAATATGTTTTTTCTTCAGTTCTAGAAGATGGTGCAAATTCTCTGTGTAAATATGTGTTTCTTTGTAATGTGCAAATAGATCATAGTACAAATATCACAAGCTGATTTCAAACATGATTATGAAAATGATTTGTTATATGAAGCCTGTGAATTCTATCTATTAATATTGATATATATATATACCAATATGTTGTTTGTGATTGTCTATGCACCAGGTATTATGTAATCAACTAATCAGCCATGAATCTGCTTCATTGTTAGCTGGCTTAGAAGACCTGTTTTAATGATAATAATCTTATAGGACCAAGAGGTTACAGATGAATTGTGGCACTATGGTCGTCCTTGTGGGTACTACAAATGAAACTGCAGGGAGATACAATGATGAATGGTTTCAACTGATGTCATGCACAATATCTTTACAATGAATCCTGTCCAACTTGTATAGATATACTCTACAACTCAACAGAAAGAAAAATTTGATGTTGATTATGTTTTCTGTTTATTGTTTGTTGTTGTTGTTGCTTCCCGGAAGCTGTTACAGAGAAATGTTTCAGAGGAAACCAAGAAAAGAGACTGGGGTTACTAGTTGAAAGGGGGTGGATGATGGGGGTGGGGTTGCTACATAGGTTCTGACTAAACAGGCCACTAAAGGTGAAATATTATGGTAAAAAATGTTGGTTTATTCCTTAGGTTTGATTGTATAGTGGTCACTTGAAGAAAAATGAGAAAGAAGTCTATTGCTGACAACCAAGAAGGTTTGAGCTGTGCATTAACAGATATGGTTTAATACCTTTCTACCTTTTCAACATTCATGCATGTTAGGTAACTCTCTAGCCAAAGATATTGATATAGTTGGTTTTATTTGCTGATTCTTTTTCTTGCAAGTGTGCACATTCTTCCCTTTTGAAAAAGCCTTACCATTTGAATGTATGAAAGTTGTATGTTTTTTCTTCTATCATTGAATTATGTGTTCTAGCACTTCCTGAGAGAACTTCTCAAGTTAGATTATTTATACATACCACATGTAAGAATTTATTTCTTGATTAATAGATTCATTAAAGATTGAAGATTGAACAACTAAACTTCTGCTTTTTTCTGAACATTCCACTGTAATTAATCAGTAATTCAGGGAACATTTCAGTAAGCTGTTAAGTCCCATGTACTTCATATTGTGTTGGTAAATATCTTGATGTTTTTGTGGTTTGAACAGCAAGTTGATTCAGGCTTTTTCTTGGTCTGAATTTATCAGTAAAATGTTTTCTCTGATGATCAAGCCATTACATACACAATACGTACTTGTTATAAAATTTGAGCTTAAAGCAGTATTAAGATGTTGCCATCTTCTAGATTTATTGTGGTTCCTTAGATCAGAATTTTTCTGAGGTATGTTTAAATAGGACCACTCATTTGTATGTTCAATCTTCTCTCGCTTCTCATTGTTCTCTAGAGTTTTGTATAGTTGCTGTTGTTTTGCTTGCATTTCTCTCTATTTCATGATAACAGTGAAAATTACATCAGTATCTGTTAACGTTCTATCTCAACATTATCTGTTAACGTTCTATCTCCGTCTTTAATAGTACTATCTCTTAAACATTTGCTTAGTTTGTAAATATTTGACAACATTGTAAATATCTTCAAAGCAGAAGTATTTGTAGGAAGTAAAAATATGGTTTAAATTTTATAATTTGAATCGTCTTGCTATGTATCTCGATGCAATGCTTAAAGATATATGCTTTATTATCATTTTCATTATTATTGTCATTCACCAACAGTTTGCCAATAAAATATTTCATATTACTGCATTGATTTTAGACGTGCATGTAGATGTAGTTCTTTTGAAATCACATCTTTATACATCACTTCTAACTATACTGACTACTGCTATATGATTTTATATTATTTCTCAATCGTTAAGTATGCATGCAATGTAATTAGTTAATGATATTTATGTTTTGTTTTTTAATTACTCTCAGTTTTGATTACCAGCTGCTGTAGACTACATATACAAGTTAGACATTGCTCAACTTAATGTGTTGATTTGTAAAATACATGTGTGATCAATATATAAGTGTGTGACACAGATATCTAGCCAGCAATTGTGACATAAATTATGAAATGGGTATTTATTTTAATGGTCTTTAAAGGGATCCGGTAACTTTGTCTTAGATCCTTTAATAAAATCCTTGATTTAGCTCAGGCTGCAATGCTAATTATAAACCTTCAGGTCAGTCAAGAACCCCATGACTTTTACAAGCCGATCGCCTGTCTGATTACCAAGATATTTATGATTGAAAATCAAAAACAACTTTTGCGTTTGCCAAACGGTTTTCATTACCCTCCAGTCTATTGGGGAAAACAAGTATGGTAAAACCGGTCACTCAAAGTTTTTTTCTTTTTTGATGCACTTCTTGATCATTTTGAAGCGCAATTTTATTAGGGCTTCAATATAACACCATATCACAGACACTAATAACACGTAGGGCCGTGCATCTCAAATTTAACATTGTTAAACGATTCTAGCATGAAACACAATATGGTAATACATGTACAATAAAAATGGACATGGTGTGCAGAAATAATGCCCTTTCTACTCATGTATCTGGTGTAATTTTTAAGGCTCTGAATCGTAAGTTATCCGGTGACCCGGGTTCCAAACCAAGTCGATGCGCTAGTGCCCTTTGGTAAGGCATTAATCCTCATTACCAGGTGTACTCTTGCTCCATTTCACAATGTTTTTATAATTTAATTTTGTGTCAATTTCCCTGTAAAATAAATCAAAAAGGCATGTAAAGCTCCAAGACTGTAATTACTTTCTACTCTGTATGCATTTCATGTTTTGAAGTACCTCTCTTTAAATTATTATGGAATGGATGGACTCCATGAGTCCATGTGTAACATCTGTTCCTTTTATTCTATTTATGTGCATGAAATTTGAATGTGAATAAGAAAGTTTCCAGAAAGACTTGTAATGGATACAGTAACCGTGAAATTACTTGTACATGTATGATACTAATTATCTTCCATTTTGTGGAAGTCTGTTTTATGAATTTGTTTTTATTATTTGTAGTATTGATAGTAGTATTATTGTTGTTGATATTATGATATAGAATATTTAAAAATAAATCAATAATGAGAAGCTGAATGTGTTTGGGATCAGCTTTGAGATGTAATATTGTGAATTATTGTATAATATTCTGTGACAAAATTTTATAAAGCCAGCATAATGTTGAATGTAAAATATGATTTAAAGAATGAACTGAAAAATGGGAAGCTGCAGATTTTTAGATGATTGGATGATCAGGGGTATTTGTGACTTCAAAGGATGAAGGGATGGCAATCATTAATTTGCTATTATTCAACAAATATAGTGCTCTTGTGTAGCTTAATGGAACAATTTTAACTGTTTAAAAAAAATCAAACAACTTGTGTATGATGTAGAGGACAATACTGAAAGAAGTATCAATGCAATATATGGTGTGATTCTCAGCTAGGTGATCATCTGTTGTGTTTCAAAATTTCATATGCAGCACAGAACAATTGTAGTTGTTTTAAAGCTTTATTTTGTGTTTCTTTTTCATAAGAAACTGTGTGCAGTGATACTTTAGTTACAAATATATAACAAAGGATATTATTGCAATAACAGTACCAAAGACACTATTTGTGATTGCATTTTGATCTGGAAGTGGGAGATTTGATTTATATACCTACAGTGCTTATACAAGAAATTTCTTTTAACCCTATGACGTTTTTGTGCATGGTCGCTGTAGAGTGACAGTGTTTTTTGGTGATTGTCAAACTATGAAATACAAGAGGAATTTTCAGAATTGATTAATGTGATCCACTAAAACGCTGATTATCTGTACCATGCCAGTGCCTTATATGGAGAATATCATGCATTCCAAATTTGGAATATGCAAGAGAGTCTTTCACTTGTGTGAATGACTTGGCCAATTCCATTCCAATTAAGGGGGTGTTTATTGAGGTTATTGTGTAATTATGTTAGTAATTACTTGACTTTTGAAATGAATGCTTTGATCTTCAATCATGGCTTAGCTTGGTATTAATTACCATTTGTGTATAGCATGAAACATTGGAATCTACCATTAAAATGATGGTTGTGTGTTTATATTTAAAGGGCACTCAATCCTGATTGATAGGGAAATCTATGTAACAAATTTATCTTTTTGTGTTTTTGTTGTAATTGATATTTTTGCACCGGTCCTGCCGATTTTTCTTTGTGTGTTAGAAAACAGTTTGATTATATTACTAAGCAGGTTTATATATGTATACATGAATATGAGATGATATGTACATAAAATAGTTCAAGGACATGCTCATATGCATGTTCAAGTCTAGTATGCATATGCTCGTACATGACGTTATATTAAAATGTTACTTAACCATTCTTTCTAGTTGAAAAAAAAATAAAGAAAATGGAATATTATAGAAAAGCATCTCAGTTTGTCAGATGTGGAATACTTTTGAGATCTTACTCCTCTTTATATCTCTTTCTCTCTGTCTCTCGCCCTCTTTCGCTCTCTTTGTATCATTTTGTGGAGTTAAAAGAAAAGGAACCCCTATCATGAAAGCCTATGGTTTTTCACATGCACTTGTATTATCTTCTTCATCAACAAACATTGATAAAACATGTATAAACAAACTCAAAGCAACATTCATACAATATTCTACTCTATAAATAGTAAGGTATAGTCCTTCGCGAGGTGGGAGAGCTGTAATTTCCACGATTAGGATCATTCAGCCCAAAACATAGATGATAGATTAATATTTATATCCAGTTACAACTGAATATAAGTGATTTAATTTAAACTGGAATATACACCTGATCACATCAGACTTTGATTTTGCTGAGAGATTAATCCACTTAAAAAAAGAAATACAAAGAATAACAACTCAAGTACATGTATTCTCGTTGCACTATGACTCCTAAGATAATGAAAACGAGGTAGACACATAGATGAAACAATTTTGCTATAGGTATACATTATAAGACTAATAATCTGATAGAATGTACATTGATGTCATGCTACGGTGAAGTGTGACCATTCGATAGTGAGGTTTACTGAAGCTGATATATGTAATTAAAAGAGATAAGCATAATATTTATAGTATCCTTTTGTTGCAAAAGTCCTTGTTAGAAAAGGTTATAAATAGGGTATGCCATTAGTGTTATATCAAGTGACAGAAGGCAATTACTGTTTCTGTTTTTTATTCTTTTGATATCGTCAGTGTTTAACTACATGTATAACCGAAAATGTAGTCTAAAATTAAATTTATCGGATAAATAATCGTGTAACATTCATGTGCAACGCCACGTATACTAAACTAAGTCGGCTTAGCAAGTAAGATCGAGGCCTTATTCAAATCAAGACATGTACCAAGTGAGTGTAAACTAACATTACAAGAACCCAATATTATTATTATTATTAACAACAAATATATAGACTTCGCATTTCATACAAAATAAATAATCTGTCATACTGTATGTCATACATTGTCATAATTACATAGGAAATAGTAATAATAAAATTGATAACAGTTATGTACACATAGGGTCTATTATTTGGTCTACATTAGTAATATTTGCACTTTCTTAAATTTGGTAAGATCTAAAGAGAAAATTCAATAAAGTCCATATGATGTTATCGTGTCGTCCCAATGAATTTGACTTCATGATCGAGATCCGAATTCCCGATCTTCTTGTTTTACATGAGAGAAATGTTTTATGTCTTTACTTATAATGACCATTACCACCATCCTGGTCATCATCGTCGTCACCCATGCAGGATCTTTTCTAATTACAAAGAAGTTAACAGGAGGAAAGTCTGTATTTAGGGATCCCAAATCTTGTCATGATCTATCAAGGAAGTCGACAAGATCTGGTCATCTTGTAAGACGTGTTGGTGTGACAGGAGCTGCATGTCTTAATGCATTCTTAAGATCTTGTCTGTCATGCATTCTCCTTCTTATACTCAACATATTTCATCTTTCATATATTGATATCATGTTGTGTAGAACTTCTTCATGTGCATTCTTGACAAAGTTGTTTCCATGGTTACGTTTCTATAGGCTTCCCATCTGAGCTGGTTCTCCAAACTGCGCTGAATTTCATCCTCTTTAGCAAACGGCATCATCTGAAGAAAAACATAATAACACAGGAGATTTGAGAATAATAATGATATTAAATATTGATAATGATAATACATGTTGTAGTATTAGTAGTAGTATGGTAGTACCAGAAGTATAATGATAATAATACTATTTATATTGATAATAACAATGATAAAAATGACAATAACTACAACAATAATAGTAATAAATACAAATAATAAAAGTATCATAATGATAATAATAATACTAATACATTCTTTAAGCGCTTTACAGGCATATTGTTACGCCGGTCATCGGATTCAAGCTTTCCTGCCAATGTACTACACTCCCTGGGAGCATTTATGTCGGGCGTCACTTATTCAGACGTTTACATGTGGGGGGGGGGGGGGGTACTCAGATTTGATTTGGAAGGGGGTGTGCCGCTCAAGCCTCGAAAGCCCTACCCAATTTCAAGGGTCACTATGGGGGATTTTTCTCTAAATAAAGCCCATTTTTTACACAATTTTCAGGTGTTTGCCATCAAACACCCGAATAAATTCTGAAATTTTGAAAAAGCGGGGGGGGGGGGGCAAAACGCATTTCCGCCCTCAAACGCCCCTCCCCCGAAAAATTAGCAGTAAAGGAGTAAAATGGTTTGAAAATAATAAAATCAGATTTGAATCACATACAAATTATATTCCATTCAAAGAAAAGTAGAGTAAACAGGAATTAAATTTCCTAAACATTCTACACGCCCCTATACTTATCAATGAAGGATAATAGTGATACGCCCATATCGTGGAAATATTGTGCGAGGATGGGAAAGCATGTGTGTTTTTTTTTTATTATAGGTGTGAGATGACGTAAGTCCTTGAACACTGGCGTACTGATACGAGTCAAACATGGTTTATTTCTAATTCGATACCAATGACTTACAAATGTTAAAATGACATGATTAACTGGGATATTTTCTCAATTTCTGTTGTAAAATATTTTTTATGCGTTGGAAAATTACAAATTCCCCAATTTACAGTCAGGCAAAAAATATGCTTTTTTTAGAAGCCTGCACGTCAGGGCCTAAAAAAAACGGCGGGTCTCGGGGGCTCGAGCACCCCTCACTTTTTTTTTAAAGTATGTAAAAGATAAGAAAGAAAGACAGAACGAAAGAACGAGTGATGTTCCAGTGTCACAAATGAGGTATCAAAATATGCACATCTGACCGTAATTAAATGCTTACAACCCCTGAGCTTACGGGGGCTCCGCCCCCTCGACTCCACCAAGGGCCCTAAGGCGGGCACCTGCAGGTTGCTCATCTGACCATAATTAAATGCCTAAAACCCCTGACATTGATGGGGTTCAGTCCCCTGGACCCCACGCCAATTATTGACCTGCCAGCTTGTCACAAATAGGTATCTAAATATGCTTATCTGACCGTTATTTAATGCCTAAACGACTTGAGCTTACGGACCCACGCCAATTTATGCTCAGCTCGCTTCGCTCGCTATACTCTTCCTGATCGTTAATACCGTTATTATCGTTCCGCGGGGCCTGCATGTAACATGTAAGAGTGGTTGTGATGCAGATTTTTCTTCTGCCCCCAAACGTTTTTGCTCATTACGCCATGGCGCGCCACTGCGCCTGAAAGGTGAGCCCCCTGGAATGTTTGCCCCCCCCCCCCCCCAATCCCAAACTGCTTCCGGCGCGCCTGTCCTCGCACCATCATATCTGCTCGGAATGTACATTCGATTTATCAATAACAACTATTCCTACAATACTATATAAGTTCCTGGAAAACTGTAACGATACATTAACTGTAACGATTTTATAATGGTAACCAACTTTAAGATTGAAATAAAGATGATATTTTTGTCGGTGGTATGATGATGAGGTTAGTTGTGGCGGTTAAGCTCATGTGAAGATAATGATCATGAAAGTGATAAGAGTGATGATGATGATGTTGAAAACAGGCCTACTGATTAAACGATGATGATGATGATGATGATTTAAGATTTTTAAATGGTGCCAATTTAATACCACATGGGTGTTTTGATGATATAATTCTCTTAACATGTCCAATGTTGGCAATGTACATACCGATATCTTGACCCTATGTAGCATATCATCGTTGGCGTGTTGAAGGAAGAAGTGTTTAGACATGACCATACACTCTGCTCCATTACTTATCAGGCTCAGGCTTGGTTGTTCACTGAACAGAACATCTACCAAACCCTGCAAACAAGTATACAAATAAAATTAAAGAAATTACAAAAGACGATCCTATAAGGGCTTTAGGGAATGAAAAACGTAACAATACAACTTACAATTCTTTAATTTTTATAAGAGTTTTCCAGAACAATTATGAAGCTATTCGTGATTTTTGAACTGCGTAATTCTTGCACTATATATATTCACACTCAAAGTTTAGCGAACTCGCCGAAGTGAATGCTATCTTGAACTGCTTTCGGTCCTTTGGTGCTATAAAGGACTATCGGCTGATATTCATAACAAATTCTAACTTTAGATTGATACCCAAACTAAGTAGGTAGATTACTAGATTAGCCTTCAATGTAAAAGGTCCTTAAGGTATTAAGCATTTAGTCGTTCTCGAAAAAGAATTTCTGATCAATTTTCTAATTTTGCATACATTGCATTAAAAAGGGGAAAACAATCCTAAAGTTTTGAATAACTGAATCGACAATTAATAGGGGATATCAGAATGTTCACTTAGAATGATGATAAGAATTATATTGTACCAAGATTTTAATATAATAATTAAAAAATATAATCGTAGACCTCATAGTAACTAAGAATGTGCAGCCATTGCTAGAACCTACGTAATACTGCTAGGCCATTAGATTTTGGACTGATATTTTAAAGAGAGAACATGGCATCTGTTTTGTTAACGTTTTATTGAAATAATTTTCATACTGTGGAATAAAGATTCTACCAACAAAATAGCAATCATCATTCTAACGTTAAGTAGACATCTAAGAAACTTCCTGAAGTAGATCCAGGCCGGGACAGAACAAGATAATGTACTTACAAAGACTCCTCCTTTTTGCAATGTCTGGATACATACGAAGACAGGACGTGAATCGGTCGTAATATCTGAGCTCAGTCTAGTTGACTCCTATCAAACGTACCATGCGTCATCAAAAGAAAATATTACAAAATCGAGGCGTCATCAAAAGAAATATAACAACATCGAGACATATTATATGAGCTATAATAATAATGGATTGCGCTATTATCTACGTTAACGAAACGTGAAAAGGAAATTAGTGTATGCGCTAGTTTAATTCGACACAATGTTTACACTCATCATTTTACATTCACTTATTGTATAGACTTTCCCAAGGCGCATCAAATACCACATCAGTCGCTGGCGCAGTCCTACGTCAGCAAAATGACGCCTCGTGCACGACAATCCTAATGATTACAGAATAGAGCAAAATGACGCCTCGTGCACGACAATCCTAATGATTACAGAATAGAGCAAAATGACGCCTCGTGCACGACATTCCTAATGATTACAGAACAGAGCAAAATGACGCCTCGTGCACGACAATTACAGAATAGAGCAAAATGACGCCTCGTGCACGAAAATCCCAATGATTACAGAATAGAGCAAAAATGACGCCTCGTGCACGTCAAGCGCTACGGTAAACCACGTATGACAAAAATAAAATATAACAACGTAGACGTTCACGATTCAGTGCCGATCAATCAATATTTCTCTCAGATTAGATAATTAAAGCCTTGAAAAGTATATTCCACCGACGCAAAAGATATTTTTTTAGACTTTATACACCAGCCTTAAATCCCAATTCACTATTTTTTTCACCCTGTACATAGAACAACTTGAAAATCAAAGAGAGTGCGGGACACCGATGGCATTGATAATTTTAATTTTTCCCAATCTAATTTTTCCCAACTTAAATTATGGCATTATTGTATGGGGTAATTTACACAATCTTATCTTCATAGAATACTACTTCTACAAAAGAAAGCTATGCGTGTATCTGTAACACTTCCTGGAGATCCCATACTGATGTTTTGTTTATCGAAAATGATATGTTGAAGATAAATGATTTATATCGTAATAATCTCGATCAGTTTATGTACCAGTTAAATAATAATATGCTACCCTCAGTCTTTTATTTATTATTCATCATAAATATAACTATACACAAATACCCCACGCGCCAATCTGACGAATTCCATCTGCCATTAAATGGAACTATACTCGCTAAATCCATATTTATGCAGGCCCAAAGCTTTGTATTATTCTCGATGTTAGCATCATGAATGCCCCTAGTTTAAAATTCTTTTAAAATTCTGCGTGATTATCAAGCGTCAGCTCTCCCTCACTAAATTTTATTTCACTCAATAATATATATAATATTTTCAATCATTTCGTACTGACATCCGTATTCCGGTCTGTCCGTGTTTTGTTGTGTGTGTTATAAGTAAGAGTCCTATCCTCTCTCGCTCCTTGTCTCCCTTTTCCCCTGTCCCTTTCACTCATTTTATCAGTGGCGGATCCAGGGGGGGGGGGTGCGATTTTTCAAATTTTCGAGGGCCCAAAAAAATTAGTGCTCACTACCGCCATCCCCCCCCCCCCGCCCCCTGCACTGAGCGAATTCTCGGCCGACGCGATTTGCAAATTTTCGGGAGAAATTAAAAGAAAAAAAATAGTGCTCAATACCCCCCCCCCCCCCCCCCCTACTTACCGAATATCCAGATGTCCTATGTACAATGCAATTCCATGTACCTTATTTTATTTTGTTGGAAATGGAAATAAAACGAAACGAAATGGAAGCCATAATATTTGGGCAATTATCTTGAAGAATAGTTTCTGAAGGGCAAAACTATGACCTACCTTTCTTCGTAGAGCACGCTGATTAAGGTCATGGGCGAATGTTCGCTGTGGTCCATATCTCGGTATAACATCATCTAAACATAAAAAAAAGTTGCTATTGATGGGTGTATCATGATTTATTTATCGGTCGGTCTATGTTTGTATGTAAGTGATTATGTATGTATTTTTAAATAAATGATACGCATGCGCGTAAATCTGGAGCCTGCATATCGAGTATGGCTTGCCCTAATTTGGGGGGGGGGGGGGCTAACTATCCAAAACGAATACAAAGAGTACTAACATATGCGAACCGTAGAGGGCTGAGATATGTTTCAATTCAGTTTAATATCTATAACCAGGTGTGTTTATTCTGTAAGCTTATAACTTTAATAATCTATTTGTTTAATGCATGTATATCGCATCATTCGAATCCTCTATTACGTCAAGGAGTCATATCTAGCTCATTCCATTCGTACTATGTTCGATGCCGCCAGGAGAAAGTATGTCAGGCAAGATGTGCTTAACTGGATCTTCCTTGCGGATACGTAGACATGCGATTCCTTGGGCCCTAATCTGACATATAACATCATAAACATGATCATGAACAAATTCACTTTTTTATTTTCGTGAGCCGGAAGTAATCGGAAAAGTGTCAAATAATTGTAGGTTTTAGGATTGTCAATTTTTTTTAAAACTCCTATTATATAGGTAAGCACATTTCTTGACAAAATTAGGCTTTTGTATTCATATTTCATCCCCTGTTCGATATTCCCTTGTTAGTTCAAATAAAAAGTGAAATATTAACGATATTTCTTTGTGAACAAAATCACTATACTCAAGCTTTCCAATGATACTTGGCGGCTTCGAACCTCGGACATGTAGATTATATGCTGCAACCTTAGACAACGGCAGCTGCTTGGATTGATTTGTTGCCAATTTGGACTCCAGCTCTTAAAACTCCTTTATCAGGTTAACGAAGAATACGTAGTCTTTAAACATATGTTTTATCAACATAATGATATTATACAAATAATGAATGGTTATGGAAAAACATTCATTTTTTGTTTTATACAACATCGAAGAAGATATAATAGAACGTTAATCAACAAATTATGCTTTACTCCTTATATTAAAGATAAATTAAATTTGGAGTCAAGCCTTCTCGATTACATTCAGATTGCCTTCGCGTCAGATACACGCAGGGATACGGCAGAGAGGTACGCAGTCTGCATATAACCAAAAATGCACGGCGAATATAAGCAAAATCACGCCCGTGCAATAGAACATCTATTGAATATCATGTGACCAACAATCCTCCAATCAAATGACAAGGATCCACGTAGGTGTTGTATGAAATAGTTTAATTGTGTATTCTTTTTCTACAAGACTAAAACATGTGGAACTTCTTTATTCATGAGTGACTTCACATCACGTGATATTCCTAAAATAGTGTTTTTTCTTCTTTCTTTCAAGAGTTACATAGTGAGCGATTATCATACCTTCGTCTTTCCTCTCAACTTCAATCAACGGATACAACAAACTCTCCTTCATGTCGTTGAGGGCGCCACCTTCTTCCAGCTCTTCCATCCATTTCTCCTCTCTCTTTTGCTCTTCGATATTGTCCGTCCCATCTTCACCCTATAGAAAGGGGAAAAAACAGGTGTTGAGACTGTCTATCTCAAAATGAGTTTTGACACCGATTGTAAATGGCCAGCCTATTTCCACTGGAGAAAAAATAACATATATTTCTAGTTTTATGAAATTAAATTATGCCTATAAAGCTAGTTCCTATACGTGTAACATGTATTATATGGTCACGGGAGGCGGTACTTAGCCTACAAAACAATGTCTACATGGCCTCTTGCGCTATTAAAGTCGTGTTTTTAAAACAAATCTAAGGCTCGCATTTTACTAAAAATTAAACCCGATTATAATTTTTTATAATTTTGTTCAAAATCGGGTTTAACAACGGAAGGTATTCTGCGATCTTTGTTTTCCTTGTGATCACGTGATCACAGACCAAAGGAGGGATTTAACTGGATTCGTAGAATATGGACCTTTTAGCCAGTGCAAGTAAATTTTTAGCCCACCATGGCTGAAAGTGTATTCACGATTTGCCTTTGATTTTGGAAGTTGCGATTAATTGCGGCTTTCAAGCAAAAGGTCAGACAGGGATAGATAGAGAGACCGTGTAACACGTTGCCGAAGAGGGAACCGGAGTCGGTAAGTTTCTTTTTATTTACATATGACATGAGTGTACTCACAGCAAGAATGGTGGTACTCCTATTCCTGTTTGGTGCAAGTCCTTCCGTCAGCTCCTCGTTCATCATGAGATAGGGTAGATCCATTCCTCGATTATACAGTGATTCCCTCTGCGCACGCGCGGCAATCATCCGGCGATTCGTGAATGAACGTTCTCGATCCAATAGGAGTTGCTTGTGCCTTGATGACGTCGCTCTCTCATCTAAATATACGAGAGAGAGAGAGAGAGAGAGAGAGAGAGAGAGAGATGAAATTCACATCAACCAGATTATTCTATACATAGAAACCTCGAAAGTATCATAATATGTATATGGCTTTCTTTGACAATGGTGTCCAGTTTCATGTACTGTAATAGCATCCCATACTCTCTTATTGAATTATTTATTTATTTATTACAATTGATCAAAAAAGTGGAGGGTAGTCCGATTCAGTTAAAAGAAACTGCTTTCAAACGGAGCCCTCTTAGAAACATTAATACAATAAATAAGTTTTTCGTCTGCCTTAATACAAAAACACCACTTATTCCAAATGAAATGAACTCGGTAATATATTTTTTTTCTCTTTGCTTTTCTTTTGTTTTTCTTCCCAAGCGCATAGCGGCGCTATTATCATGATGATGATTATTATTGTTATCATCATCATTATTATTATTATCATTTTAATTCATTATTGTGTTTTGAAAGTCTTTGCCTCTTTTTCCCCTTTAATTGTTCTCTCAAATAATTTAGAAAAAGCATATTATAGATGAGGGAAGATCTTTCGATCGGGGGTTTTGTTTTGGAAATGTGATATTCCAACCACTTTGGATGGATATTTCATAATAACCAAAAACCACCCCCTAAAATAAACAACAACATAATACAGGGCAATGGCCATTCCTGACCCAAATTTGGTTGGAATAGTATAGAGAGTTACTAGTCAGGAGAGAGTCTTGAGGTCAAATACTTTTAACCTATTAACGTAAAATGATCTAAGTTTGGTCACATTAGGACTAACGGTCACCAAGTTATTTGTCACTAGTCACCAAGTTATTTGTCACTAGTCTTGCAGGTAAATTAAATCATTAGTGAGGGATAGCAGACGGGAGGACACCATTCAGATCATACAGTCTCGATCACACCTTCAGTGGGGGGAGGGGGGGGGCAAAGGAATAATCAAGTAAAAGTGATATCAAACAAATACAATTTTTGTATCCTCGAGATAGACCGCCTCATCAATTTCCCTTGGTATTGTAAATTAGTTTAGATTTAGATTTAATATCGTGAAAGGAATTTAACAACAAAAAATCATCCATTTCAGTTCATACAGTAAAATGACATACCTATTTATAGTGGTTTAAGAACAAATGGAAACGGAGAAAGAAAAGCACTGAGCAAAATGAAAAAAAACCTAACCTTTACTTGGTTCCCGCTTCTTAGGATAAAGTTCGGGTTCGACGTTCTTTAGTTGCTTCAGAACAGAACAGCTTCCCTAGTAAAACAAATGTAATGTAAGAAGAACAATAGAAGACCCAACTAAACGGTATTTATGTTTCTGATTGTTTAGGCCTAGTAATCATTACGCACACCATTTAGTACAATTTCAACACTATTAAGGATTCCTGTATCGTTATATTCAGATTTTTTAATTTTTTGCTACTTTTGTGAATTATTTAATCCTTAATTTCCGATAACTTATAGTGAGGTTAACCTAACAGAAAGAATTTCCTCGCTTTATTAATGGATGTGATGATTAGATGGAAATTACGATAACTAAGAAGCTGTATGAAAATTACCAGTCATCGTATAGTATACATATATTATGCATTGACACACCAATCACTTTATGACTTAGGGCCTATATCCGTTCAGTTGACAGTTTAGTATTGGTTATCGTAGGGTGTATTCGAGTAATGTCTTTATAGTTCGTAAAGATTTATAGCAATCGCATAGGACCATGGATATAGAATTAGATGTCAGGTCACATCATTCGATATGAAATATATTCTAAAACAACACAATAGTCGCCCCTAACTATAACAAGGAATATCATGATTGAAATTAGTGCTTGTATGATGGATAGAAAACATATTAATTCAACTTCCTACCGATTTGACGACATAGATCCATTCAGACAACTTGCTATCTCTTACGAGGACCGTGTCTTTCCTGTAATGTAAATCATCATATATAAAAATGCATGTACTACTAGACATCATTACACTAAACAAAATCATCATCAATGTACAGGGAACATGGATTCTTACATTATGGTACAAGTACAAACAGCAATAAAAGACAAATATGTAACATTCAAGAACATATGATATCGTCACATATAAAACTTACAATTGGACCAGCTGATGCAATGACTTACACAATCATATAGTAATAGTACAAAAGATCAAATACAGCAAAATCAAGTAATTCGGAGCTCCTTCTTGGAGGGCAGCATAAGCATGTACATGCTCGTACGCTCAACCCCTGGAGGTTGTTGAACAGGGGAATTACACAAGATGTCTGCTTATTTCTTTGGGCATTCCTTCAATGAGTCCCGATCACCCTTGAGGTTGTTGAACAAGGGAATTACACAAGATGTCTGCTTATTTCTCTGGGCATTCCTTCAAAGAGTCCCAATCACACTTGAGGTTGTTGAACAGGGGAATTACACGAGATGTCCGCTTATTTCTTTGGGCATTCCTTCAATGAGTCCCGATCACCCTTGAGGTTGTTGAACAGGGGGATTACACGAGATGTCTGCTTATTTCTTTGGGCATTCCTTCATGAGTCTTAATCCCCCTTGAGGTTGTTGTACAGGGGAATTACACAATGTCTGCTTATTTCTCTGGTCATTCCTTCAATGAGTCCCAATCACCCTTGAGGTTGTTGAACAGGGGAATTACACAAGATGTCTGCTTATTTCTTTGGGCATTCCTTCAATGAGTCCCGATCACCCTTGAGGTTGTTGTACAGGGGAATTTCACAAGATGTCTGCTTATTTCTCTGGGCATTCCTTCAATGAGTTCCAATCCCCGTAAGAGGGGGGGGGGGGTTGCGACACCCAAATCTATCTGGATATTGTCGGTAAAATTGCGCTGCCGTCGGGAAAAATGAGAAAACAGGGATGGAAAAAAGAGAGGGAAAGAAAAAGAAAAGAAAAAAAGGAAAGGAAAAGAAAGGAAAGGGTGAAGAAGAAAGAAAGAGAAAAAAAGGAAAAGAGAAAAGAGGGCCAAAAAGGAAAAAGAAAAGAAAGGAAAAGAATGAAAAGAAAGAAAAGAAAGAAAAGGAGAAAAGTAAACAAAAAAAAAGAGAAAAATGAAACAAATGAAACGGGGGATAAAAAAAGAGGAGAGAGAGAGAGAGGGGGGGGGGTAAGAGCACGAGAGAGAGGAGCAAGAAAGGTACGCATAGATATTTTGCCGTGTCGGGTCAGCTGTTTCGGTATTTTCGCTCGGTCCTCGTGTACTATATCAATGCAGAAGTTTTCACTCGGTGAGATGTATAATGTCGGTCGTCCAGCGAAATATTGTTTCCTACGAACTGTGACTTTCCATCCGCTGTGACGACTTCGAGAAAGACTACAACTATAAACACTTCAACATTAAATAAAAAGCTTAATTTTTAAGAATCCAATTTATCCAAATTAATATATTTAAAAAAGTAAATTTAGTTTGAAAGGAAAGAATCCTAACAGAAGAGGCGTAAATATTCACTCCTGAATGATAGACGCCTATAAACCTAAACCTCGAAGTTTCACCAGCAATCATGAAAAGTATTGTCAATTGTCATTGTCAACCTAACTATAATATCAGCAAAAGAAAAGATGGGTTCAAAAATCGCCCCATCGAGCTTCGCCCTTTCCGATTACGCCACACCGAAAAATTGAAGTACAGGTTGCACATTTATGTATGTAGCAACGATGCTGACTAGGTCTTGTCTTGACGAAATAAACCGTGTATTTATGAGGTCAAGCAAAGAGACCATGTGCGCATGCGCAGGTATAGAAAATTTCGTAGGAAAATTTATTAGCCCCCGGCCCCGGGTTTATATGTTTCAATTTATTGGCACGTTGGCATTAATGTATTTGTCGGTAATTGATGGCTAGTTTCGTCGGTAATCGGTGGCCTCTACACCCCCCCCCCCCCCACTGAAAAAGATCTAGCGACGCCCCTGCATGTGTGCAGTCTACGATATTACATTTGTTCATGTATATCTCGCAATATGTTATTGTCACACGTTAAACATTGTTTAAAAATCATACCTGAAGAAGTTGAAGACGCATTTCTTTGGATTGTTTTCGATTTTATTCAGCGGCCATTCCTTCAAGAACTCAACACTCCTTCGAAGAAAACAAAAATATGAAATAGGTAAGGCTAAGCGCAACTTGTCATCATTATTAAAATGCAGAGGTGTCGTGGTATACTGAGAGGTTCATTCACTTGACTATCAACCCAAGGGTTGAGGCAAGGGTAGTCCAGAATCGGGCCGGTTCTTTATATTCCCTACACACTTGATTCAAACCGCCGAAGATGGCGTTATCAACGAACTCATAATTATGCTCCTGAGAACCTTTTCGCCGGGTGTCCTAATTTAATGATCATGCCATCTTCGGCTGGTAGCAAGGAAGTAGGGGCAGGTAGCGTGTGGACGTGGTGGAGTTCAAAATTAAATAGGCCAGATTCTGGAATAAGGCAAGGGCGGCGGAGCGTCTTTCAAAAAGGGGAACACCAACAAAAAAACACTTTATAAACAAGAGAAACGCTTTCGGCGGTCTCGCATGCATTACGCAATTCGACATGATGAAAATTTGAGGTTGGGATATTATTTATAGGCAGGGTGGCCCATTAGCAGCATCCCCCCCCCCCTAAAAAAAAAAAAAAAAAAAAAAAAAAAGAATTCTTTGTATATAATCAGCATTTTTAAGTGAGTATTGGCTAAGAATCATCAGAAAAATTATTTACTATAATTTGTACCAAGATTTATAACTTTAATGGAATATGAACAAATATTAAAAATAGATTTATTAATTCTCATATTAAGTTGTGAAAACATAATCCAACTCTACTGACCTAAAATGACCTTGGACCTGGAACTTGTGACCTGGAATTTGCGCCATATGATTTGTGATACTTGATAAACTTGATAACCCTTGTGAACAAGTTACATGGAATTTGAACAACCGCTTTTGAAATAATGCTAAAAATTCAAAATCTTGAGGTTGATACCACAACAAAGTCTAAGTTTGCAGACCTTAAATTACATTTGACCTTGACTTTGTTACCTAAAAGACTAATCAAATGATTTATGATACTTGATAACCCCTATGTTCAAGTTTCATGGAATAGGAATCTATACTTTCAAAATGATGATAACAATTGAAAATTGTAACCTTTCGTTAAGTTTTGATGTCGATGCTGCAACATAGTCTAAGTCTAAGGTTCGAGTCCCGCCGCCACACTAATGTCCTTTGGCAAGACATTGATCTACATTTGCCACACTCAACCCAAGTGAGGTAAATGGGTACCTGGTAGGAATTTATTCCTTGAAACGCAGCGCGCGTAACAGATGCACTGCTAAAGCCAGGTAGAGCGCTTAGAGACTTCTGATAAAGTAGTGTAAGGCGCTATATAAGCAAGGATAATTATTATTATTATAAATCTATCGTTTCAGGGAAGATGATGGTGATACAATCATGTTGTAAAAGTTATGGTAATCATGTCTCTTTTTAACACGAATGACATTTGGTCAATATTGTAAGTGCAGTTACTACATGAAGCTTTTTCGATTTTTTGAAACTAGATGTGGTAGGGCGCACTATGGGAAATATAGGTAAAAGAGGGCACTTAGCAGAGGGCAATTTCTAGTATGAGAAAAAAAGTGGGCTCTTATAAGAAGTAAGAAGGACACTTATTAGAATTGAAAAGGGCACCTGTAAGAAAAGGAGGGAGGTTTTATTTGAAAAGAAAAGGAGCACTTGTCAAAGTAAAAGGGGCACCTATGAGATTTGAATAGAAGCACTTATCCGAAGTGTAAAAGGGCACTTATGAGATGGAGGAAAGGAAATGGCTCTTCTTAGACAGAAAGAGGGGTTCCTAATCTGAAGTGAAGGCGGCACATCTCCTAAGTAAAAGGGGCACTTTAGGGTTACTTGATAGGGTTTGGGGGCACTGTGCCCCTGCTCCCCTTGTAGCGCCGCCTCTTGGTTGAGGGTTCAAATCCCAGCCCGGCACTAAGTCATTTGACAAGACATTAATCTAAATTGCCACTCTCCACCCAGTTGTAAATGGGTATAGGCTTTTGCTTGGTTATTAATTGCAGTGCCCTCATGAAGAATTGCATTTATGCGATGAGGCTTCCCTAGGTAAACTAGTATTACGTTGACAACGGTTTCCTTTGGTTCCACAGCGAACTTAATTTCTCCTTACAAAAAGGGCCTAGCATACTTCTTGAGTGTGATATTCTTTGGTATATAGCCACACAATTTAAAAAATGGGAACAGAGATACTAGAGTTTTGTTTAATGGTATGTGAAGGAAAAAGAGACGTGTTAAATGAAATTAGGCTATACCACATGCACATTTTCCTTTTCCGTGCAATCTGCAACAGGTCACTTATTATCACCATGAATATGCTGATAATGTAGAAGTAAGGATTTTATCATTTACAATTATGTTTTGGTAGTCATGCATACCTCATAAATGTCGCTGTTCCCGGATCTTGAAGCATCTTACTGTTTCCAGACATCACGATATTAGTAAAATCCTGTTCAACAAGTCAAAAATCAACTAACATAACATTTCAAATCATATGTTTGAATCTTTAAACGAAAATCCAACCTTATTAGACAACTACTCTAAAGGAAAGCATGAAGTTCTGCGGATCACAGTTATTTGGTTAACTTTTTCCATACCGGGGCAGCTCGACCGGATGCAACTGCTATTGCAATATTTATATATTCTCGCTATTGATTTTATCTCAATTTTTGTTTGTTATATTGTTGTATTTATGTGACTTGATTTGCCAAATAAAATAATAATAAAAGCAGAAAAAGCAGAAAAGCAGCCTGTCAAAAAGTTTGAATGAAATCGGGCAAAAATAAAAAAATTATTAATTTTTTTTAATTTTTTTTTTAATCACTATACGCATAATAGTTAATACGTATATGGGCACTTCAAATCGGCTGAATCGGTAATGAATCATGACGTAGTGCTGGACATTTATTTCAACGCACAAAATGACTAAAATGTCAATTTAAAAAAATGTATGAGTCAGGAGAATCTTCTTTTTAGAGGACCTATAACTATAAGCAATGCATAGTATATTTTGAGTAGGAAGAAGGCGCCAGCGAGAAAAAAAAAGAAATTAATAATATTTTTGTACACGGCAAAAATGTAATTATTTAGAAATTAGTCCACCATCTGTAAAAGCTCTTAACGAGGTTGTAATTCCAGGGAAATTCCACCTGGTATTTAGTTGGGTTCAAAATAGACAGAGAAATAGGTAAAGCAGATAATAAACTTTGAGCAAATCCGATGAAACATAAGAAAGATATTATGTAAATCAATGAAACACAGAATGACAACTAGGTGACGTATCCTTCGGGGTCCTGTCCCGTTCGGTCATTCTGAAAATGTGATATTCTTTTCTTTTTATTGATGAAGGAATATAATTGTTTCTTCTATATTTGAATGGAATAAGCTAAGAGAACAATTGTTTCAACAAAGTTGTAATGTGTAAATAGCTCAGCCGAAAAATAAACTGTGTTTATATTCTGTGATATTAACGTGACTTATTCACATAATTGCGACTTAGTCAATACTTTTCTATTGGCATCACAGTTGAACTAGGTTACTGATACATGATTGTTTTGCAAACGAGTATGCGTTTGTTCCACGTCTATTATTGCTGTATTATATCTTTCTGAATGTACCTTGGAATTTTATTTTAAAGGCAGCCTGTACTAGTTTGGCTAGGAGGGATTAGACCACCTGGGTGGTGGTCACTGACAAGTGGCTATCTCATCAACTCAGCTCTCAATCAACATAAGAAAAAGAGGATCATGGAGGACCAATGGTCACGGATTAGGCATTGTTTTCTATATAGAGGGAGCAAGTAGCTATAAGTAGTACAGTGGGAGCTGTAAGTGTTCTGTATAAACGTTATGCTATTTGATGTAAATATGTTCATGTTTATTCAGGGCCCCATGGAGAATAATATACTTATTGGTGAATGGGCTACCCAGACAAAAGATTTGAAACAAATAAATACAATGATTATGTGCAATGATTATTTCGAGGGTGTATGTGTGATTGAAATTCAATTTTAGAGAAAAAAGAAATTTATGAATATTTAGCGAGAGGGCCTCGTAAGATAACATCACAGAGTTGCCAGTTTGTATTTAATCGATTGCAACTTGATAAATTCATACTTTTCTGATTTCTAATGCGAATTTGTTCAAACTTTCACTGATGGGTTTTTCTGATATTCTGCATCGATTAAAGCGAAAAGGTGGAACTCCTTTTTTAAGTGTCCTAATGGTAATAATTCTAGATGATATTTTGTCCTGGGATGGAAGTCCAGTAGATATTTTCCTGTATAATGAAAATAATTTACTTACCTCTGCAGAAATGACGAACATCTCGACATTCTCCCTAGTGGTAACTGTTGATGTACGCTTGCTTTGATTCAGAATAGCTAATTCCTGCAAATAGACGAAAACATCGGAATTATACTTTCAAACAATATGTGTAAACTTGTATGTTTTTTGTGCCGGAATGTTAGATTCTTTATTAATGTTGTGGAGAAGGGAATGACGCATACGAGATTTTATTCAATCTATTACTGTGTTCCAAGACTGTGAAATAATATAACAGTTATTTATTTTCCTTTTCAGAACAATCTAACAAATGTACATTGTATAAACAGTATCTCAAACAGATATTGATATTTCAAAAATTCGAGATTTTGTAGCCCTTATGTCTAAATTTCGATAAATATTTAGATTCGATTTGTACGAAACTCACCCCGAAACTGTCACCTCGTAGTAAGATGGCCAATATCTTAGGTTTGACTTCCCCGGGCGTGGGTACACTCACCAGAGCTGAAGGGAACAATTATATCTACACTAATGATTGTTTTATCATATTTACCAGTTAATTAATTTGTTACAAGTGACTTTATACACGTTTAAAAACGTGCGTAAATATAATGTACATTTTTATTGATCGTGCTTTCAAAACTTGTGATACTTATATGGTTAATAAGATGAGAATTAATAAAAGGAATCAGAGAGGATGAATGAGACATTGCAGGTTCAAAAGCTATTTTTAAAGCATTATGCTCAATTTGTATCAAAATAAGGGAACCCCGGTCCCATCGCTCTATAATGCTTGTGCTCTATTATATTCATATTGCATTACATCATATAAATCATATGATATAAAATCATAAGTTTTATCAAAATTCATATCATGTCCTGAAATCAAATCATATAACAGATCACATCATATCATAGCACATCATATTTTATCAGAGCATACCATAGCATAGTATAATAATAATTGGATTTATATAGCGCCTTTTCCAAAGGATACAAGGCGCTTGATATAGCATATCATAATCATATTTATTTACCTCTCTTTATAAATCTAGCCATCTGATTGGTCGAAGTTGGAGTCGTGATTTTAGCCATGCCCGCCTACCGGTCAATAGTCTTTTAAAAGATGCCCGCATGCTCCAGTTAACGGCCCGCATAAATATATTTTGGTTTACGTGTAAAATTGTTTTAACCAGTCTTTACTCAAGAAAAGGATAAGGTAAGAATTCTTTGTAGATTTTTTTGTGAATTCGGTATATAAAAGATATAATATTAGAGGCATATTTGTGTTTATATAGGCTCTCGGGGACGTTAAATCCTGCTTTCACCCCTCGGCACGCCTTGGGGTGATAGCAGGATGTAACGTCCCATTGAGCCTATAAAAACAACTATCCCTCTCATAGCAGTAATTATATCTATAATATCATATGATATATCGAATATCCAACATCTATATCATATACAATTAAATATCATCTCATCACATCTCATATCATACCATATATCATAATTATTATGATACCCATGTAAATTACCCATATATATATATATATATATATATAAAACTGCGAGAATTCAGAACCTGAAGAAGGCCTCACAAGCCGAAAGCTCGCAATATAATGGTAAAGTACAGCTACGTCTCACTTTCCTAGACCATTTTCTTCACGCATATATAATGTTTCGAACTTCATTTATACATAATAATGTTGTTTCCATGTCAACTTACCCGAACCGGATAGAATGAAGTAGAATGCATCAGGCATATGACCCTCTCTTACTATGACTCTATTAGGTCCATATGATTCATACCAGCCTACTCGGGCTATACTCCGTTGCATTGACGCCGGGTATTCCCCTAAAGCTGACATCTCGCGTAGTGTTGTCTCTATCTAAAAAGGAAATTCATGTATTTTATTATTATTGTTATTTGGGGTGGAGGAGTGTTGTCGGACCAACCAACAAAAATAAATGGTTCTTGAATCCACTTTTGCGATTTGTCAAGAAAGCTGTAATAAGTGGAAATACGATGACGTTAATTGTTTCACTGAGATGAGTGTGTCATCACCCCACGGGTCGAGTGCCCCCCCCCCCCCCCCCCACTCAGAGGTCGGAATGACCGCATGCGTGTTGCCAAAATGTCCGGTAAAGGGGTACTTTTCGTGCGACAAAGTCCGGCCCGAGAATTGTAAAAAAAGGGGTGTATTTGACTCTTCACCCGGAGATTTCTTTAAAAAGGGGGTGTTTTTCTTTTTTTCTTCTCATCTCTTTGGACTCCTGAGAAATTATTCCGAATTTAGGGGAGTACATTGAGCATTTTTCCTGATTTAGGGGGGTCTCCAAGGCAGGAAAAGCCCGCGAAAGGGGGGTTCGGAAATGTTGGCAGTCCTCAGATAGGGGGTGCTTTCAAAAAGAGGGTACGAGCATATGCGTACCCTAAATAACACTGAGTGGGGGGGGGGCGGGGTCGAGTGATACCACTTATACTTACATGTTGTATATCATGTTCGCTTCGGGTAGACTTCTGTAAAATGCGTTTAGTTTCTGACATCAGCTGCCACTAATATAGAAGGAACAAAGTCGGGATTTGAAATCATACCTAGATAGTCCATTAACCTAATGGCTCTGTTCTTCAATGGAGCACTGATAAGTGCCCCCTTCACTTCCGATAAATGCCCCTATGAAAATCTAGTCCGTACCTCTTTTTTCAACTAATGCACTTTTACTTTTATTGTGAGCGCCTTTTTTCATTCCCGTAAGATGATAAGTGCCCCTTTTCATATCTGATAATTTCCCTTTTAACAATGATACGTGCCCCTTTTCCTTTATAATAAGGGCCTTATCCCCTTTTCACTTCTTATAAATGTCCCTTCCACAATCAGATCGGGCACCTTTTCCGTCGACAAATGCACATTTCCTATTTTCATAAGTGCCTTTTTTCATCACTGGTGAGTGCAGTCTTTTTAAAGGTGTAAAAAGTGCCCCATTTTCACCTCTGATAACTACTCTTTGTATTTTGACACGAGCTACTTTTCTTTTCTGATAAGTGTCCCCTTTACCTCTCATCATTAAACGCACCTCACTCGCATTTATTGATGATATGTTTTAAAGGCCTTTTCAGTCTTCCGTTATGAGAATGTGCTTAAAACACCAACAAAACAAAAAATTGATAACGTCACACTTCACCACTCCCCTGTGCAAGAGTGGCAAATGTATATAAATACCAATTGGCATTAGTCCTGTTCCGGGGTCCGAACCACGGATCTTCGCATCTCCAGTGAATCACTGGTCTAGAGAATATCTAATAACTGACCTTCTTCTTTGCTTTGTAGTCTGTGACGTCAAACATTAGGTCTGTTCTCTGCCTGGTGGAGACTAGCTTGGCAAACGATATATCGACTTCTTCTGTCCTGCTAGTATTAAACATAATGGTTATGAAGGTTGTTCGGACGGTAGTGGTCTTAATATACTATACGGTTTCACAATTTACCAGTACAATATAAATATATATATATATATATATATATATATATATATATATATATATATATATATATATATCTAAAACACCTCTTAAGAGTTTGAATAATTATATTGATATACCTGATTACTAATTATTGTTTAAACATGTTTAAAGTAAAGATTGGCCACTTATGTCTTTTAGTTTGTTTGGGAAAGGTTAATTGCTGCCAAGTAAGCTCTTAACCAATTGGCATTTTCTTTTCATGCATGACGTCAAGTACATCTGGTAACAACAATCAATTTCCTATACATAGTAAATATAATATCCATTTTCAAAAACGAAAATATTTCTCTTTTCTCGAATTGGTATGAGGTCTAGTGATACTTTGAATATCCCCATAACACAAACAGTTGACATTATATCTTGGCACAATATCCAAAGACTTGTCGTTGTTGTCGTTGTTTTTCATAACCACAAAGTTATACAAGATGAGGTCACAATGCGAGTACACGAAGAAATTTTAATTACCCAAAACCTGCTACATCATATCAGGCTAAGTCACATGCAGTATACCACATTGTAATAAGAACATTTATGTATGCGTAAGGAATACGATGAAATAGTGTTATTTTCAATTATTTTCTCCATGTTCGTTATGCATATCCCATGGAAGCAAGTATGAACAATAAATACCAAGGATTACTTGTTTAACTCTGTTGTGTAACTGCGTGTTTGAAGGCGTAGATTAATCACGTTGATAGTCATGTTGTCTCAGTATGATAAGACGAACGTGGATAATGTTGACGTGTTTCCAGACAATTTCCTACATAGTTTAAGGAATCACATGAGACAAATGAAACATATATCTATAAACCATGTTGTTCTCTCATAATGGCTCAAATTCATATCTTATTCAAATTGGCTTAAAGGAGAAATGTTACCCTCTCTCGACGAAATGAACCTCACAGATACGTCTGATTACCACAACAAGACGGGCTACAACCCTGAACAGTCTGGAGAGACGAAACTGTAGGGGTAGATAGACACAAAACAAAAACTTGGTATCAATGATTGTAATACTGTTTAGGAAAATTTAACTCAACTCGACTTTTTCTTTTCGAACCCGATTTTTTTTCCTTTTTATACTTTTTATATCATATTTACTCAGCCCCCCGCGTTTTCGCTAAGTATATACCTTGTGTTCACATCGTTTACACAGACTCGACTTTCATTTTCAGTTTTTATTCATTTAATGTACAATGATGATAAGCACAAAATATATACTTGGCTTTTACCGCATAGGCATAGTATTAATTTTGATTACAACGGAACAAATTTAATGTAATATTAGGTAGTTGTTCATATTGTGAAATAAGTGTACCATGTGTTCATGATGGGTTTCTTCCAAATATAACCTGAAATTTTATCAGAAGAAAAGAGAAAAATAAGTTAACAGATAAAATAGATGAATAGAATGTAGAATATAATTGAAAAATGAAATTCAATTTCCCCCATGTCTCGTCCTTTTATTTACTCAACAAAAAAAGTAAGTCTAATGTATATATATATATATATATTGAACATCAAGTAATGTAAGCAAAATTGTATTACCAGCATTTTGAGTGGCTATTTTTGACCCGATTGATAATGATTTCATAATGGAATCCTGGTGTTTCTTGCAGTTAATGCTCAACCAAAAATTTGCATTTTGCCTTCCATGATGCAATACAGGGTGGTCAAAGCTTCCGCTAACTTACTAGTTGAGTGTAGATTCCGCTTTGCGCGGGAGGGGAGAAACTAAATTCAGACAAGGATTAAGAGGCGAGAACGGTACAACGAATCGCCTTCTTTCTCTAATAATTAAATGAAACGTCAAAGCTTTCGTGCTTCGCGCGGGAGGGAGGGAAAGTGAAATCAGACAAGGATTAAGAGGCGAGAACGGTACAACGAATTTTCTTCTTTGTCTAATAATTTAATGAAACATAGTCATTCCGCGCTTCGCGCGGGAGGGGGGGAAACTGAACTCAGACAAGGATTAAGAGGCGAGAACCGTACAACGAATCGTCTTCTTTCTCTAATTATTTAATGAAACGTAGTCAAAGCTTCCGCGCTATGCGCGAGAGGGGGGTGGGGGAGGGGGCTGAATTCAGACAAGGATTAAGAGGCGAGAACGGTACAACGAATCGTCTTCTTTCTCTAATAATTTAATGAAACGTAGTCAAAGCTTCCGCGCTTCTCGTGTGAGGGGGGTGGGGTGGGGAAACTGAGTTCAGACAAGGATAAAGAGGCGAGACGGTAAAACGAATCGTCTTCTTTCTCTAATAAATTAATGAAACGTCAAAGCCCGTAGGGATCGCGCTACGCGTGCTTACTACCGCCCCCTAAAATAAAATCCTAGCTACGCGCTTGACTTAAGTCAGTCCCGTTTCTAGTTGCAAATTCGCTGCTACATTAAAAGACCCCCCCCCCCCCACCCTTAGAAGACAAAAAGATTTATTTCGTATATTTTGACAGTAAGTGATTTGTCTTGCCTTCAAAGATGTTACAGGATATGTCCGTCGTGATTACAAACCTTTCGTTCTTCTCGTAGTATTTTGAGTTTTTTTCGTTTGAAGGCTACTGTAGCACCGATCACAGTTGATAGATGATTATGGAAACCACCATTTTCTTTGTCCTTATCCAACTCGGATGAGCTTTTCCTGATACGACGAGCCTTCATCTTGGTTTCGACGACTTCTGCGACTCTTGGTGTCGTGGCGTCACTGACTAGCTTCAGAATCAATCGCGATTTCACAACTTGCTGCCATGTTGAAGTTTTGCTGGAAGTAGTATTTTCCGCGATAAAATCCATCTGTTCGGTTTGCTCAGGGTTTTGCTTGGAATCACTATCATTTTCTGTTCGTATAGGGAAAGGTTTACAGTGCTTCCGATCTAAAGATGGTATCAAGTGCTTTCCATTTTGGACAAATTTTGCATCTCTAGGTCGTCGAGTGTCTCCTGAAGTGCCATGCTGATTTTCAGTAAACTTAAATGTATCACGTCTTCTTTGAAAGTTGTTTGGCCTGTCTCCTCTCAAATTATCTTGATCGAAAATAGAATCACTGTTTCTTTCTTTTTTCCAATTTCGTCTTTCTTTACTGCTGGAATCCGTCACTATTTGAGCGAGGAAAGTAGAGTATTTTCCCACCATTGTCTCGTCATTTTCTCTAGCGAGTATTTTGGGCACCATCCTCGTTTCTTTGTCACAGGACAGGGAATGATGTGTCTTTAACGCTGATGAGTAGGTCGGGTTACGCAGGGATTCGCTTTGCCTCTTCCCCAATATCTTCTTCTTGATCTTATTTTTTCCATCTAATATTTCGAGAGTGGATAAGATACTCTTAATTCGATTTTCACTTTCGATTTCAGTAGCCATTATTCATTTTAAGGGTTATTGCAACCGGAGCAATGACAGTTTGACTGGTTTACTATTTTAGCCATATGCTACGACTCTTATCTTTCGTCAAAAACTACATCACTAGTATTAGAACTACAAGGCAAAAAAAAAAAAATGAGTATGGCCCTTAAATATAGTTCTCATAAAATAGAAATTCCAAGTATAAACTTGACTGAAATCATGTGCGACCATGAAAGTACCATTTTCGGAATCCTTTTTCTTTAGAACTTTGTAAACGCATTCCACTATATTTCCAGTTCTCCTATTCGTTTTCCGCACAAGTTACTCCATACACACCAGGACATTATACTCTTGTTAGCTCAGCTCACAACTGGAGTAATAATGACATGTTTGTATCTTTAAGAAAAACGAGAAAAGTAGTCTCTAAACTATCCTCTTAGCGAACAGATTAAGTTGCACGTTGTTTTATTGATGTCTCCTCCTTGCTCGTAACATGTTCTCTAAATCGAATGAAAGCTATGATATCAGCTGTTTCTATTAACTGAATATCCAATACCCGATGTATTTTTAGGGGGGATTAGTTGGTTATCATTTGACCTTTAGAAGCTAACGTATACCGAGATAAACTAGCACAGGTTAATTTGATTTAGGGTTTAAGTTGTCAAATATAAACAGAGACGGGATTTTAGCGATAACAATTTTGTCGTAATTCATTAAGATGCCAAAATTAGTTATCGTTACATATTACGTAATAGTGTAGCAATGATAATTGTTCCACTGAGTAAGCAACATTCATGTGATTTGCACTACACTCGAGATGTCGTAGTCGAGTGGTTTAAGCACTCGGCTTGAAATGCAAAGGTCGTGGGTTCCATTTCCGACAAGGCACTAATGTCCTTTGGCAAGGCATTAATCTACATTTTCCACTCCATACCCAGGAGAGAAATGGGGACCTGATAGGATGACAAAAGCCTTTGTGTTAGAAAATACCCTAACGTTGACCTACGGTAGGAATACTCCCCAGGGAATGGGGATGGTACACATTGGGCGTGAATGAATCCGATGACCGGGGGGGGGGGGCGTCATAACATCTGCAAAGCACATAGAGACGGTATTTCGTATTAAGCGTTATATAAATCCAGACTATTATAACTATTCTTACACTCCATTTACAATATATTAAAGATAAAGTTGAGTTCTGGTCATGCGATTGTGTTGTGAAAGAAAAGGTGTGGAATGGATCAAAAAAAGTTGATCATGTAGCATGTAAGTAATGGTGTGTACTGCAGGGTTCTGGAGTCATCAAAATCATAATGGCCCGAATTCACAAAGGAGGTTTGTCGACAAACCTTGGTTTTCGTACGTCATATGACGCGTTTCACGCGTTTTTAACAAACCTGGTTTGTAAAGAACAAAAGGAGGTTTGGCGAAACAAAAGGAGGTTTGAGCTCAAACCTTGGTCTGAGCTCAAACCTTGCTTTGTGAATTCGGGCCATTAAGTTTGGCCCAGTCTTGGTAACAATTAGCACTGTACAAAGAAAGATGTATATGGGACTACACAAATGGTGTTGGGCCTACTTACCTTGATTTCCTTATCTTTCTATGCTCATTACTCAGCCAGTAAGCAATGCCTCTTCATGCGATGTCGATGACGGCAGCGAAGATGAAGCCTCCGACATTATCTTTGGAATCACCCGAGTTGCCAATACGCCGAGTGAAAGATGATACAGATAAGCGTAAAAAGAGGAAGAGGAAAATAAAAGAGGAGGATCTAAGCTTTCCAAATAATTATGTGCCATTTATTAATTATAATTGTGATTAAGTTATGATAAAACATCGATAGTTCTCGGTTTCGTTTTTTCTGGGACGCACTGTATATCCTGTGCAAATTGAAGAGGAATGGAGTTCCAACTGATCTTGTGCTCATTATACACAATGTATATCTTACCATTGACGGAATATTGTGCACCAGTGTGGAGCAGTAGCCTGACAACACAGCAGTCAGATAGCATAGAGCGGGTACAGCGTAGGTCTCTCAGGATGATATCCCCTGATCAACATCACTATGAGGAACTCCTGAGCAGTTTCGGCATTCCATCTCTTGCCAGGTGAAGACATGACTTACATATCAACTTTGCCAAATCAATCCTTGTCTCCTCGCGACACCGTGATTTGCTTCAGGCTGAACGACAGCATCTCTCGCGAGGTGGACTTAGGAATTCTAACCACCTACACATTCCTTATGCAAGAACTGAATGATACAGAAAATCAAACTGGTCAATGCTCAGTTGTAGACCACACTATGAACATGACTGACAAAGAAAGCGGACAAAATATACAGTTCCTCAGGTAGACAATGGAACATCCCTTCACTGCTATTATGTAAAAATGTGTAGAACAGGTGTCACATGCATATTCACCCTTTTACATAATAGCAGTGACGGGATGTTCCTTTGTCTACCTGAGGAACTGTATATTTTGTCCGCTTTCTTTGTCTGTCATGTTCATAGTGCCATCTATAGTAATGTACCCTATTTGTTTTCTTCTTTTTAATAATATTAGAGTTATTGTTTTGTTACTTTGTTTAATTGAACTCAAGATCGATCCCAAAATCAAATTTTCGTGCACATTATTGAGTACTCTTCATTTATCTTATAAAGTTGTTCTTAAACCACCGTGTATAATTCTGCTGCAATAACATAATTTAGCTCAAATTCAATTTAAGATGTAATGTGCATGGAAACTCAACAATTATAAGAATTTGTGTATGCTCATAGGCATTATACATCACTTTATATGAAATGCTTTAATGATATATTTTTAATGTAATAATTCCATTCAACATAATTTGACCTTATATACCTGGCACACAACAGACACACCTGCATTTATACTTTTTCAGTCTATGGATCTCATTTTAACAATTGCAATATAATAATATCCTCTCTCTCTCTCTCTCTATAATTATAAATATATATATATATATATATATATATATATATATATATATGTGTTTTAATAAAATTTGTATTTAAAGATTATTTTTACTTGCAATAATTAGTTCAATATTTTAAGTTACTGTTATAGGTTGTCCATCCATCTATTATCATTAAAGGTAATACAAAGTTTTGGTATGGGGTCGTGAATTTGGTTCAAATGAACATATTGGAAGCATATGCGATCCTACAATATTCACTGATCGTTGTCGCGGTCGAAATCGACCCTAAAGTTATGAAATTGTAAATAATAAACACTTTATGTTGTATAGCTCCCTCTCAAGGTCAAATATTCATTAAGCTGTAAAACAATGTTTCTTGACTGAAATCGACTGATTAGCTATTCCCGTTCGGAAATTATATACCACAACTACATATTCTGAGATTTTCATGGTCGCAGCTACCATTGTACGGCCGTAGGAGCTATTTGAAATTTTTCAAAATTTACCGGGAGCACCGGTAAATCTTTATATTCAATTTTTCTCGAAAGCAGAAGTGTTTTAGGGGCTAAAATTTCTAGTCCTTTTAATTCATCCCCAGAGGCATCCAAATATATCAAAATTGTAAAGAATCACTATCCACCCATTTTTCAAAATTTCCCAAAACTTTGTAATACCTTTAATATATGTATATAACTTTAGGTACGAACAATAATGTTAACTTTATCTTTTATCATTTTTATTGTAATATATGATCATTCCTGTTTTATGCACATTTATGTAAAACATTGCATTATTGGTCCCTGGACTACTGCATTGTACATTGTATATGTTGATATTTATAAACCGAAATTAAATTGAATTGAATTGAATTGAATATAAAACCGTTTGAGTCGCTTCTCTGCACAGTATGTATTGTGTAGAATAATTTCCATTATGAATTGTAATAGGATATCTCATAAAGGTTCAGAATTGATTAAGGGTGTAAATGAATAAGCGTTAGCTCCTCATTGGCACAAATTCTCTTCTCATCAAATCAGTCAAAGTCCACTCTGTCAATGTACACTGTCGCTCATAAAGGTGGAATATTTTAGTTTTACCCCAATTTGTGGAATTATTTTAAAAATTATTTAAAAATAATAGATCTAGATAATAGTATACATTCTCAGATTTTATTGAATAATAAATTGCCAATGTGTGTTTTGCGGGACTGCTAAAGCATGTGCATGCTACTATGCTTATTAACTAGGGGACCTATATGCCCTCAAGTCATAAATGACAGTAATGAGGATTAGTGCCCCACAAAAGGGCACTAATAGCATATCGACACAGTTTTTATCCTGGGGCTTCACAGTTACGAGGCCATTGTTTTGTCACTGAACCATGACTGTACGCAGCGGGGGCTAGGGTAGGGGGCAGTTTCCATAAATAAAAAAAAACACAGAAAATGCAATTATTGCATTTTACCCCGGTCCCCAACATATACAAATCCTCTGGACGGCCATGCATTATGGCTCAAGGATTATGGCTCAATGATGTTTGAATAAAACAATCGGGATTTGGGTATTAATTCGGTCTTTGCAGATCTAAATAACATCCCTAACAAATTTAATCATGCCACACATGAATATCGAATATCAAATATCAACGAACATTTTGTGCGCGTGTGTGTTGTTGTAGGTAATAGTTTAATGGCGTTCATTCAATATTGAATATATACGCCATATCTTTAATTTTATAAGAAAATCAGTGTGTTTGTGTTTGTGACTTTGCTTCTGCAAAAAGCATTTATTATGCAATCAGTACCGGTATGCATTTCATTTGATACATTCAATTAATTCTCTCACTCTGCTAATCCCAACATAATACATGCTGTAGGCATCACTTTGGCGCACTCTCGCAAACAATGCCTCATGTTCATCCAAGCGTGAACATATACTACACAAAAATGATACCCAATGATTTGGGATAAAATACTCTTTCATAAGATGTATAATAATTTACTGTTTATAGATGATTTTTTAAATAATTAGCAATTTTCTAGGTGTAAATTTTTTGTTGACGGTATAATGAAGTTAAAAGATAAATTAGAAGCAAATTATAAAGATAAAGATAAAGTGGATTATATAATTTGCATGCGGCCCGTACATAAGAATCGATGTATACTGTGAATATATTCCCCCCCCCCCCGGGCACTAGACAATTTGGACTACGGGGGGGGGGGGGGGGGGGAGAGAGAGAGAGAGATTGGTTTTATTGAAAAATCATTTGCAGCCAGAATGATGGCTGAATTGCAGAATTTTGTACATTGCGTAAAAACATAAATAAACTACAATAAAATTATCCAGCAAATCGTAGACATATCACACAGTGAATGAATTTTCTAAATAAATCAGTGTGCACCTATAAAAAATTAATACAATTTGCTAAACAGCTACAGTTGCTTACGTCCACTCCAAGAGAGAGAGAGAGAGAGAGAGAGAGAGAGAGAAAGGAGGGGGGGGGGTAACATTTCTCACAAAGTCATGTTTTGCAAAGTTTGATACACCCCCCCCCCCCTTCCCATTCCCATTGACCATGACATGACCTTTATACTGGTCAGTCATGATGATAAAAAAAAGGTTTTTCTTTGTTCTCCAACGAAGACGTGAGATCTTTTGTAGTTCGCTCATTTCTTACAAGCATTTCCAAGGGAAATTAGAGAACATTCTGCCGGGTTCTCTTTACTTACACTCTTTTTCACCACTCTGAACTCTTCAACAAGTCGTAACAAATTTGATAACATATCGAATCGGTGTCCAATGGCAACGGATAATGATATCATCGCACATTATTAGCAGGAGCAAGTCACTACTAGCAAAATTTATTGTCAGTCTCCGAAAACCCACGCGCCCGCCTTTTTTGTAATTCTACATAAATCCATATTCATATCCTCAATGGGCCAATCGTCAGTGTGAATCGAGGGATAATGAGCCAATCATGACGCGAGTTTGCTTTGCGTCAGCTGCATATATTTACATACAGCTGAACCGCGAGTACGGGTTAGCACACGTCTGTCATAATAAATTGTACATTGAAAGAGGATTGGAGTGTTGGGTTTTCAATGACGTCATAGAAATATTGTGCCTCGGCTTCGTTTATATTTTACGATGGTTTAGGTTTCTTTAACGGTGATAAATTATAAAGAAATCTAAATAAATGAGAATTTATAGAAGCAAAGGGGACATGTTATGGTTGACAATTCATACAAATGTCACAAATACAAGCAATGATGTAGCGGCAAAGGTTGATCTGTCGCTGTCTTGACTGACCAACGTCGCACCTCTTCACTATGGAGCACTAGCTACAAAGTGATCTATAATAATAACCTGTTACTACAGACTTAGTGGCGTAATGAGCAAAAACTTTTGGGAGGGCAGAAAAATTAAACCCTTGAAAATCATGTAATTTCAGCGACATTTGTAAATCTCTGGTATCGAATTAGAAATAAAATGAATTTTATTGGGAGGGGGCTGCCCCCAAGCCCCCCATTTTTTCTGGTTCCCCCAAACTGCCCCTTTTTACATAGGAAAATTGCCCTTTTTCTTTTCTAACAACTATCTGTTCCCCCTTTAAGTACCATACTTCTCTAAGTACCATATTTCATTCAACGGATAAGTGCCCCTTTTCCTTATTTATATGAGTACTACCCCCTTTTAAAAAATGCCTCTTTCAACATCTGATAAATGCCCCTATTAAAGTCTGAAAGGTGCCCTTTTCCATCAACAGAATCCCCATTTCGATTCTCACACGTCCCTCTTTTCATTTCTGTTGAGTCTCCCTCTTCACAGGTGCAAGAAGTGCCATTTTCACCTCTGATAATTGCCCTTTTTACTCGGACACGAGCACCTTTTCTTTTCTAATAACTGTCCTTTTCCCTTTTGATAAGTACCTACTTTTGCTTTCTCCATAACATGCACCTCTAATTCAAACGACTTAGAGCCCTCTTTTCTTTAATTTCCCCTTTAGAGCTAGCTCACATATTTTGTAGACTGATGTTCTTGTCTTACTCATAAAAGAACTTTTCAGTCTTTCTTCATCAGGGTTTGTTTTTTTGTCTTATGTATAAGATGTGATTTTTAAAACTTGGACCTCACATATCTTAATATTTTTGCTCGCTCGAAAATTAATATTCAGGCCATCACAACCAACTGCGAAGTATGTTGCTTCTTGTACCACGTAAAGAAAGAATATTGATGTCAGCTCTATAGAGTAATCACAATCATGACGCTGTATAGGGGTAGGCCTATATACCAATGTCTTTTTAAAAATAAATTTTTCCTTTGTAGGTGCCCCCTTTCCCCAGAAATGGCCCCTTTTTGTTGGTGCCCCCCCCCCCCCCTACTCTGGAAGAAGGCTCACCGCCCCTGCATTATGCTACTTGGTGGTGATGCGGATTTTGTTCTGCCCCCCGAAAGTTTTTGCTCATTATACACCACTGCGTATATATTATACACAACATCATTCATAGTCTGTGTTTTTTCCTATACTCCCTGGATATTTCATGGATACTTGGATAGCAAATTGCTATAGGCCCTCGGAAAGCGGGAAAGTTCCTCAAGAATGAGTCACTTTTCTGGGGAAAATGACATTTTTTTTATCTGATATTCACTGTTTGTGTTGAAATGAGAAGGTTTGTGACATTACCGAGTCGTGTAGTCTAAAGTGTGCCACTAAGCCCACTAGAAATTTCAAATATTTGTGTTTGTTCAATTTTGTTCAAACTATATAGGCAGTCTGCTGCTCTGATTTTTGTCTTCAGTTTTAGATTTCTCAAAGTTCTTCCTTGAAAAGTGACCAAGCTTGAGCTTGCGGGGCATGTTTCGAGAAAGCGAAGAAGAAGAAGAAGAAGAAGAAGAAGAAGAAGAAGAAGAAGAAGAAGAAGAAGAAGAAGAAGAAGAAGAAGAAGAAGAAGAAGAAGAAGAAGAAAAAGAAGAAGAAGAAGAAGAAGAAGAAGAAGAGAAGAACCCAAAGCTAGAAAAGGGAGAGTGACACTGACGAAAAGGATGAAAAAAATTAACCGAAAAGGGGGAGAAGAAGAATTAAAGAGGAGAATCAGCATCAGACTATGAGGCTCCGCCCCCCCCCCCCCCCCCCCCACTCCGAGAACGGACGGACCCCATGCGTGTTACCAAAATGTCCGGTAAAGGGGTACTTTTCGTGCGACAAAGTCCGGCCCGAGAATTGTAAAAAAAAAAAAAGGGGTGTATTAACTTTTCACCCCAGAGATTTCTTTAAAAAGGGGGTGTTTTTTCTTTTTTTCTCTCATCTCTTTGGACTCCTGAGAAATTATTCCGAATTAAGGGGGGTACATACTACATTCAGCATTTTTCATGATTTAGCGGGGTTTCCAAGGCAGGAAAAGCCCGCGAAAGGGGGGTTCGGAAATGTTGGCAGTCCTCAGATAGGGGGTGCTTTCAAAAAGAGGGAACAAGCTGAGTACCCTAAATAACACTGAGTAGGGGGGGGGCGGGGCTCCGGCGGAATGGTCGAGAGAGGAAGAGAGAGATAATGAAGAAGAACCGGAGGGGAGAAGCCTGCATGTGAAGAACCAACAACATAAAAATAAAAAAAAATAAAAGAAGGAGGAAGGGAAGAAGGAGAACAAGAATAAGTAGGAGATGGAGAAGAAGAAGTATATGGAGAAGAAGAAGGAGATGGTGAAGAAGAAAAGGTGTAGAAAGAGGAGACCCCCGAAAAAGGAGACCCCCGAAAAGGACATAAGAAGAACTGAGGAGCTAGGCCTGAGGACACCTGAGTACCGAATCCTACTATTGACTATCCTGTCCTGGCGAGGATCTAGGAGGAAACTGTGTGTTCATTCATTCTCATTGACAATCCTTTGTGTGTGACTGCTGTGCATCTCTGGAAATATAAAGATTGCCTGTTCTTGACTTTTTACTCTTTAATTTTCTCTTGTCTTACTTATCGCACATCACAAAATATGGAAGTCAATCCACCAGAACTTAAGCGCGATGGAACTATGCAAGTCACAGCAAAGGTAAGAATTTGGATGCATTTTATCTCCTTTTTGTGTTGAGATTTAAAAAAATCGACATGTTCAATGTTGTTTTGCATTGCCACTGTCGCGAGCTAGTACACACACGTGTGTAAGTCTTCGCCGATGTGCCTTTGCTCCTTACCAATACAGTGAAGCGGCCTTGGTTTGTAATTGTAGGGCAACAGAAAAAACAGGGCTTTGTTTGAAAGAAAAAGTAGAGGGAACTTGTGGCCTTTGTTTGCAGTACATTCTAGATGTAATAATATCAGTAAAATAGCTTTGTAATTGTAGATTCTACTTTCTAGATCTAGACTAGGCCTAGACCCTAGATCTAGATCTAGGCTACATTTCTTGATCAAACTAATCTAGATTCTAGACTCTAACTTTAGACCTAAGCATGCTAAGTTAACTTCTAACTTAATCTAGTCTAGGGTCTAGATCTAGCTGTCTAGTCTAAGTTGTCAACTGATAATGATAGGCCTATAGATTTCTAGATCTAGACCTCTAAAGTGATATTTAAATAATTTCTAGATCTACACTTTAGACTAGATCTAGAAAGTCTAGATTTCTAGAGTGACAATCAAGTGATATGAAGTTATTTAGAGACTAACATTAAGTTTCAGGTCAATTTATTGTAGATCATGAGATGTAGTAGGGGGTCTAGACTAGATCTAGATCTATGTTGTAGTAAATGTAGACTAGCAGCCTTTTCACATAGTCTAGGCCTACAGCTAAAATTCTATAAACATGATTTTAAACGTGTTTGAAACGTGTTTAAACTAATCATGAGCCTTTCACACACAGAAATTTCGTTGCGATCGTTCATAGTTTCGTGATTAACTACTGCTCGTAAAATGCACAGTAGTGCCATTGCGCATTGAAGGTCATGTGACATCAATCAAAGCGCACGCTCGCGCTCCATCCAGTTTAAACACGTTTAAACACGAATTTCCTTTCACACACAAAATGTCAAGCTCTCTACTCTAGATACGAACTTCGTATCTGCAGCCTGCATTTAGGGGCGTATGAATCGCGACTTCGTATCTATCCCAACATCGTATAAACAATGTTCACACGGGGAAATTTTGTCTATAAACATGTTTAAAACTGTTGAGTGATTCTAATCATCTCTAGATACGATGAATTTTAGCTGTGCGTGAAAAGGCTGTAAGTCTAGATCTAGACTCTAGGTCTGTAGTAGTGTAGAAGTAGTCTACTTAGACTAAGTTAGAAAGTTAGACTAGAGTGTTGGCCCTAGAACTAGTAGGCCCTAGTAGAAATAGAATAGATCTAGAGTAGACTACTAGATCTAGACTCTACATCTATTCTTGAGTCTAAGTTAGATCTAGTCTATATCTAACGTAAACAAGTTATAATCTAACAAAAATATTATTATTAACAACAACGTACCCTTTCACTTTTTTAGTCTCTAACTTGATCTTTGACTGAAAGTCTAGGGTCTAGTATTGTTGGACTAAAAAGAAGACTAAGAAATATCTAAATTTCAGGGATGTAATATAGATCTAGGTCCAAAATAGACCTAGGCCTAGTTCCATTGTTCAACCAAGACTTCACTGTGTGTGTGTGTGTGTGTGTGTGTTTAATTGGGTTTTTACAGATGTACATCAATCTGTCTGTAAATGGTATACCGTATTGTGTATGTGGACATTCCGAGTGTCCTACCGACTCTTTATGTACAATGGCAAGCTGAAATAAAGTCACATTACTGTCCACGACATGCAAGTTAAGATTTTGATTTAATATGTCCACCTAAAATGTAATCACTTTACAGACAAGATTTGGAATCTATCCATCAATAAGTTATCAACACTTGAACAGGAAGATAAGCCTACTACGCTTTTCCATGTGACAACGATATTAGTGTTTTAAACACTGCATTCTCTTTGCTATTTGATATGATCATTCCATTTCCCGCCAAACACTGTTTGCCATTTTAATAGATGGGTATCGACTTTATCGAGTAGTCAAAGTCCATGGTTCATTCGCTTGCCTGCACTTGGTAGTTTGAGGAAATGAGCATGTACACGTACACTACAGGCCATGCGATCTTTCTTTTTATCAAGTAGTTCATGGAGCATGAAAACGGCATTGATACTTCAGGAATGTAGAAGGAATTTGTTTTCATTTTCATTTGCTTCATTGGGAAATGGGAAATAGTGGTCTCACATACACAGTATATTTTAATATCAAGGAAACTGGTGTGTGATTACATGTACTATTTTTAAAGGCTTCCCCTTTTAGTATCATGTATGAAGGAAGCGTTTTTAGATTGACCACATACTTCTTTTCAGGGAAGACATAAGAAAAATAATCCTAGTGTATATAGATAAGCTGATTCATTTACATTTTGACTGGGAGTATTCACAATGAAGTACATACAAACAAAAACTTTTGCAGATTAACTGATGAACAAATAATCGTAGAAATATCAACATGCAAATTACAATCCTATTTCATTGGCGTTTGCCTGATTTCAGGCCCTGTCACCTTTCTGCTTCAGACCTTTTCATGTTTTTGATTGTACAGAAAATATGGGGATCCACTATGTCTAGGTTACTTTTCAGGCTAAACAGGAAAAACAACTGATGGTATTCTTGTGTAATGAGTTCATACAGGTTTGTCATTGGTACTTTGCTAATGTTGGATTCCTTGCAATTTAAATGATCCATGTATTTTCATATCATACTGGAAAATGCCTTCTTTAGGGTAATATCACTTGGAACTGTGAGGGAAGTTGATGATGAAAATGGATATTAATAGTGTAGGCGGTACTAGTGAGGTACAGTAGGCTATAATGGAGGCTATTATCACAGAAATTATCCATGCAACTTGTTTCAGTTTTACATTTAGCAGGTGACAAAAGTGAAAGTAACATAAATACTTTCACATTAATAAGTTAAAGTGTCTTATGAATTAGTTTGATATTCCTCATTTGATGACTTTTTAGCACAGCTGATTAACATCTTTATGAGTGTCACTGTTATGTTGTAGATCACAGTAGATTGGTAGTGTTGCAATAATTGCACAGATTAATTTGAGTTTCAAAAAGGTTCTAAACTTTTGGTTGTTTGGAGAAATACTCACTGGTATTGTTGGTGTCTGATTGTGTCCTCAGTTAGTCATAAAAGAATTGAAAACTTCCTGTTCCATTTGCACTTTAGTCACACAAAGAGCCCCTAAGCTCCCCAACTTGCCATGAGCTCCCTCTTGTTAATTTACATGGATTGTCTCCTGTCCTATCGAATCAAGAGTCATGACATTGGATGGGATACAAACCCAATCTACAGGTGGAACAAGTGTGTATATGATCTAGTCATCCAACCTGCAAAGAACTACAATCACTACATGTATGACATTGAGAGTAAAGTCACAGATTTGTTTGGATTTTCTTATACACTTGAGTACTTGACCCATCCTTTTTTCAGAGGGGTAGTAGGGTGTAGCCCACTGCTACAAACAGTAATTGTGGAAATGAAATTATTTGATGGAATGCAGCACTGTACCGATGTATCAGGAGGGGTCCAAATAGATCAGGAAGCGTATTAAATGCAGTGTAGGCCCGCTCAAGGAATAACTAATTACCCAAATTGATTGAATGACTGTTACAATGTGCCTTTCCAAGTAACAAGAGTTCATGTTCAAAATGTCAATTTTTCTAGGCCTTTTTCAGTCCCCTTTGATCTTTCATTACGGCACAGTTTGTATCCCTAGTTGCCAGTGCCATATAAGGATGTACAGTAAGTGTCCTGTTTGAAATGTGCACAGACTGAATTATTGAAAAGGGTCTTGCCCAAGAAAGCAAGCAGCATCTAATGGGAATCCATATCTAGCAGGCATGGACCGAGCTTCCTGGAAGCTGGAGAGGTCAGTCTCCTTCCAGACCTTTCTTAACCATTAATTGAGTAGGGGTCCAACTTCCATCCTTTGTGTAAGTTCATGGTTTCATTAAGTGTCAACGACCAAGAGCTTGTGAAGATGTCACTGGAAGTGTATATGATTACAAATACAATATCAATGTTGACAACGATATCTGAAATACACAGCTGTTTTCCTCATCCTCTGTCTGGTAGTTCTACCTAGCTAGCTAGTCTACAAAATATAGACTGTAATTAATGTAAAGTGTAAACATGTTCTGCCTTGACCAAAGACTAAGAATTTTGATGGTCCAAATCGTATCAGAACAATTACCCCTGGACAACCACCCCCCCCCCCCCCCCCCCCCCCGGAAAATCACTTCCCAGAAAATTACCTCCCTGTTCATTAAAGGGAAAGCCCACCCTGATTAAGTTTGTTTTAATAACAACAAGGGGGTAATTATCGGGGGGGGGGGGGGGGGGGTCATTTCTGGAAGGGTAATTGTCCTTGTGGGTTTATTTTCCAGGGAGGGGGGGGGGGGGTAGTTGTCCCGCAGGTAATTGGCAGGGGGGTGATTGTCCAGGGGGTAAGTGTCCTAGAACTGGTCCAAATGACAGTAAGGTAATACACTTAAATTTAATGTTTTAAAAAAATATTTAAAAAATAGGAAAGTTGTTAAAATCTTAATAGTGTATACAGTACACTGGGTTAAAAAAACAGAACTCCACAGTCCACCCTAACTTTTCTCTTCTATTTTTGGCTTTGAGCATCTACAGCTATGCATATAATTTGAAATTTAAACGGTCCAGACTCCAAACTTGAATTTGGGCCACCCATGTGCAATTGTGCATCATGTCTGTTAGTGTTGAACCCTGTTCTAACTTCAAACACTGATGGGGCAATGTGACATTGCTTGAAACTTCCAATTCGTTTTTTCAAGCTTTGGACACTTTCTTTTTCCGTAAGAATGTCAAATAAAAGCCTCCTTTGTGCACCCGTAGATAAATACATGAAATCTAACACAGTATCCATCAACATTGATGTAAATACTAAAGATGCGAATGAGTCCATCCAAGCATCCTCAATCAAGGCGATGATACACACGAACTTACTTATTTGTGAAGAGATGCACATCATTAGTTAGAAGAAGAAATCTATTATGGAACAAAGAAAGCTTGTTTGTAGTACATGTACATGTATGTACTTGATATCCTCCTAAAGACAATATAAAGGTACATGTATACACTCAGTTGTGATGTGTACAATGTACTCTTTAACATAGATTTTAGCCGGGCCACTGAAATGTGGTATTCATTTTAAATACTTGTCTTTATGATGCATTTGTTTCTTCTACTACCTGTACACGTGTACACAATATTGGCTTGAATGTCGCTTTTGTCAACACACAGCTTTATGGGCACTACACGCTCCAGACTTTGCTCTCATACATATTTTATATCCCTTTCAAAGTGTGATTTATCGTTACATGCCAACATGCTGGCCAATCCTAGCCTGAATGTTAAATCCTGCAGCATTAGCTCATCACAATAAATGTATCACCCGTAGCTGTGGGGATCACAGACATTTAAGTATAACTTCCTGATACAGTACCTGCAAAATTGCTAGAGAATAGGGGTGATGACAAGATATTGGTGTGCTGTGAATACTATCTTGAGGGGTCATAATTTTGTAACAGGAAACTATTTTTAGTATTCAGGCACATCAATACGGAATAATGTTATACCAGTACCTATTCAGACCCATCTTGGAAGTCGGAGCTGTACTGAAATGTTTTCACTTATCAAAACAGGATCCCGGATTGTCCTGTTGCTAATAGTCTTGTTTACATGTATTTACAAACTCCCCTAGCCCTGAAATGGTCAAAGCTGGCACATCTGGGGCCTAGCTAGCTCACTACCTTGTGTAGGTTGTCCTAAATTACTGTATGATAAAGAGATATTGACTTATGCAAGTAATTTAACAGTGTGTCAGGAAATGTAACAGAAATAATATTTGACTATCTTTGACAAGTTACTAGTAACTACTGTAGTTAGTGATAAAATCATGAACAAACAGTCAAACACACACATTTAAATTGTGAATTTATTCACGATTTAAAATGAGATCATGATGAGCACGTGAAGAAGGATGGTAAGATGTACAATGCTTGATGTCAGTCAGCCAGGAATCAGTGTAACTCGACTTGACAGAACTATGAAGATTTAGATGTGAACAGGGCGTGTGATGGGTTCAATGTCTGGGCCATCTCTCCCTGTGCATCTGCATTACTTGAGATGAGCGGCTTCCACATTCATTATCATACATTATACGCTCTTCCCCAGGTTCATCATGCCTTATCAATATTGCATGTGTGCAAGGAGAAAGCTTGTGTCAGTTGAATGTTGATGATTTCTGTTTTGAATATCACCTTGCAATTGCATCTCTGCACATCCTCCATCTTTAGATGCGCTCCATGGCACATGCATTACACTTTGTATGACTATGAGCTCAACATTTCTTTTTGCTACATCCTTGAAGTCTAAGCTTTAGAGGTTAGTTTGCAGTTTGAACATTTGTGGAATATATATTTAAAAAAAATTCAGGAAAGAAGTTTAATACAATATTTGGTAAATGCTTAAAAATTGTTTTCATACTTCTGGCCTTACTTGTTAAAACACTGAACTATTTTCCAAACACTTTGAGAGAAGTAAACAGAAAATAGAAAGAGAGAAATGCAGAAAATCTGCCAGTTAAAAAATACACAGGAGCTGTTGAAGCAGATACATGTAGCGTAACAGCTCATAAAAAGCTCAAAAGAGCTAGGGTAACTGTTGAAATAAATTTAGCATTGCTTATCGGAAATTTCACTTTTACAATACTGGTAACTCTAAAAAAGGGCACCCGAGAAATAGAAAAGAAAGATTTTTAAAACTGGTATGGTATGTTTTCATAAGTCCATACTCCCTATAAAGTTATGAACATGTCAATTTCAAATGCTCTGCATGTAATTTAGTTTAATTTGCCTTTTGAGAATAAAAAATGTCATGCTCATAGAGACTCAGAGACATAGAAGGAAAAAATGAGAAGATTTTCTCGAAAAATATATTGTCATGGCGGATGCTTGTATTATAACTTTGCACAGTGTGCATCACCATTAGAAAAGCTTCTCTGTTTATGAAAGACTTACTTACCCTTGTTGAGGTTTATATCGCAGCCTTATAGTTCCATTTTCTCTTCATCCTGACATCGTTTTGAAATGAACCATACTTCTTTCAAAAGAAGGAAAGACTGTCTACTGCTTGATGTATAACCGGCCTTCTAGGCTTGCATAGTGCCATGGTGACTGCCACTGTACATTGTGAATGAAAAGTTAATGCTATATTCTAAGCTGAGCTTTTATATTGTGGCCCAAATCTATATGTACCTGTACATGTATGGTTGTTTTGTTTGTCTTACTGGGAATCATTTGTAGAGTTCCAGATAAATCAACAAAATTAATTCTTGCTCAGAATCCTGACTTGGAATCAAAGTCAGTGTAATAAAGATCCTGAATTCTCCATACATGTATGCAACACTGCATTTTATGCTCATATTAAAATAATGCACATCGTTAGCTGTTTGGAAGGATGTTACTGCCATAGAGAATTCATAGCTCCCAGGCTATAGCTCCCAGGCTATAGCCTTCTTGAGGACAGCCGACCGTCGACATGTATATTTACAATGCATGAAGTACTTCAATATGTTCATGTGCATGAAATGAAAATGACTTTAGTAGTGTTCCAAGGATGGAGCGTTGAGCAATCATTTATTCATTGTGAACCTCTCAAGGCATACATGCAGTATGGATGCATGCCTGCCTCCCTGCCAATTCCTCTGTCAAACCTACATCGTTGCTGTCCGATAAATCAGCATACAATGCACCCATCTGTACAGGCAGGTTACCATGCATGTAACAAGCTATTCGTCCACGGGGAGTAGGGAGATGAAACCCCATCGAGGGGCTTTTCAAGGCACTATTAATCTCATCAGTGGTAATGTATGTTGATGTTCATTTACGAGATTAGCAACTAGGTTCGTTGCTCTAGAAGTGCAGAAATGTGGATGTACATTACATGTAGCTAAGATGATTACTGATCATATCTCCCATGTTAGTTTGGTTATTCTGTACATGTGTCAATTTATATTGAAAAGGAAGAAAAAACTTCATATACTTCTGCAGATTTATTGTCAATTAAAAGTGGACATAATACTGGTCTACATGTACATGTAACATAAGGAAAGACAGAAAGAGAAAGTGATAGAATGATAAAAACAAAGAATAACATATTAAGAGAAGGTGATAGAAGGAAGAAACAAAGGACAGCGTATTAAAGGAAAGATTATAGGAAGAGAAAATTATAGAATAGAATAGTAAAAACAACGAATAACATAAGAGAAGGTGATAGGAGGAAGAAACAAAGAATAACAATAAAACATAAGGAGGAATGATAGAAAGAAAACAAAAAAATAACAAAATATAGCAGGAGATAGGCACTCTATTCAGTTTTAAATTCTGCGCGAAACATATGACTGCTGACCTTCGCTACCCCAGCAACAGTAGTGGTCTGGCTCCTTCCCGCTATACCATAGCAACAAGAGCGGTCTAGCTTGTGAGTGTGAACATAACGAAGCGTACCTCAGGAACGATCCAGTGGTCTAGGAAGTTAGTGCGAATGGGGTCTAATACTTTGTATGTTTTCTTTTATTTTTCTCTATCTCAGGAGGGAGCTGAATTCTTGAAGAGGTCTGGAGCAGAGGATCTTATTCCAGCAGTGGATGGTGAGGGAGATGCTAAACCAGATCTCAAACGAGATACCACAATGGCTGCCACGCTAAAGGTATGACTTCCTAATTGTATTCTAATTTTTTTCCTTTTATCCTCAAGACTCTAACCAGTGAAAAGTATGCATGGGTGTGGTAAGCGATACATACAACTCTAGAAGTTTGGAAAAGATGATCCAGGATAAAACAGGGTTGTCAAAGATTTGTTGAAAAGCATCCCTGTACCCCCCCCCCCCCCCAAAAAAAAAAAATGGTACTGTTCCCATGTTTCCTACATGTTGGAGTCTATCATATCAGAAATCTGGTGTGTGACGGTCTGGTATTATACATTAAAGTAACTTTCAAAATTCATCATTTTTATGCATTCACAATGCAGAATAGAGAATATAGACTCGTAGACCTACCGGTAAGTGTACATTAAAGGTAATACAAAGTTTTGGTATGGGGTCATGAATTTGGTTGAATTGAACATATTGGAAGCATATGCGATCCTAAAATATTTAGTGATCATTGTCGCGGTAACGCGGTTGAAATCGAGTCTAAAGTTATGAAATTGTAAATAATACACTTTTATGTTGTATAGCTCCCTCTCAAGGTCAAGATATTAATTAAGCTATAAAAACATCTTTCTTGACTAAAATCGACCGATTAGCTATTCTCGTTTGGAAATTATATATCACAACTACATATTCTGAGATTTTCAAGGTCGCAGTTACCATTGTACGGCCGTAGGCGCTATTTGAAATTTATCAAAATTTACCGGGAGCACCGGTAAATTTTTATATTCAATTTTGCTCGAAAGCAGAAGCATTTTAGGTGCTAAATTTTCTAGTGCTTATAATACATCCACAGGGGCATCCAAATATATCAAAATTGTTAAAGTTGATACTCTAAGACAATCCCAAATACTGAGATAATTACATAAATAGAAAGCTTTTAACCCCCATAATAACACCAAATGGTGTCCACTCGACAAAACAAGTTTAAAATAATGAATTTATTCGAGTAAACTCTACCAAAATATCTAAGTCTGAAACCCGGAAGTGCACGTAGAGTCGGGCCTCTATCCGTGACGTCACGAACGGGAGTCATGGGCTCAGTGAGAGTGAATGGCAGTGGTAAATGCTATCCTGTCAGAGCTTAGATTTGTTGTTGTTAAGGAGTATATTTGATGGATTTTCTGTTTTCATTTGAATGAAGAATAACGAAGCAACATTTTCCAGTCGCTGATTTCTTTTTATATCCTCATATTCACCTATTTGGTAGAGATTTAAGACGAGTTTACTGCTTAGAAATTAAAGTTAAATCGTGCACTTATGAATAGGCGGATGCATTATATTGTCATCAGATGTACATGAGCAGTTTTGTAAAACGAATAGGTCTAGAACTATGATAGTACTTATCATAGATGTGTGTGACTGCCTCAAAAAAGGATACAGTACCAGTTAAACATTTTATGTTGTAAAATATTGAACGAGATCATGCAAGCGCGCGCTTCCTCTATAATATTTTGGCGAGTGATGCGGCTCTTGCATGAACGTTCGTGGAGCGAGCAGAATCGGGAGGTAAGACCAAGCCGCTGCTCTAGGCGCTGCTTGCTTGTGATGGAACGTACGTGCGCTAGTTATATGTTTATCGGCAATTGCAAGAGAATGAAAGCGACGTTGCCAGCTAAGAAAAACAACTAACAAAGACTTGCTCCTGACTACCGGTGTCAGAATTGGTAGATGAAGGATGTTCAGGGCCAAGGAAGGCGAAAGACATGGGAAAAAGGAAGAAGAAACCATCGGGAGATCGCTGTAGTGTATGGTAATGAACTGTGCATGGGTAGACAGCTACTGTTCACTCCGTGCCTGGGCCGATTTCAACACCAAAACAAAAATTACATGGTGAAAATATCGACTAATAGCACATCGTTGGCATGTATATGTCATAATTTTTAAAAGGGGAATTGATATTAATACTATGAAGTACTAGGGGAAGGTAAAGAATTGTACATAGAATTATGATTTAATAGACTTTTCAGCCTTTGAAACAAAAATATGCAGAAAATCGTATCACTCTGCACATGTTTGCTATGGAACATCCGGGTACGTGAATATACTCTCTCCCGGACGTGAGGTCATAAATAGTAGACCAGCGTCGTGACTGATTTTCTATGCAAAGAGAGGCGGATATTTTAGACATTTCAATTGAGGATTTCGAGAAGACAGAATTTTTTTGTGATATACTAAGTAATTGAAAAACTTTAAAATAACATATACTTGCCGTAGGTAACAAATTAAGGGACATTTATTTGCTTAGAGTATCAACTTTAAGAATCACTATCCACCCAGTTTTCAAAATTTCCCAAAACTTTGTATTACCTTTAAGTTCTGTTGCAGTGTAACCCGATAAAAATGAAAACAGGAAAAGAACAAAATATAAAATGAAATTTAAGAAACTCAGATGAAAACTCAAATGAAAACAGGAAAAGAACAAAATATAAAATGATGAAATTTAAGAAACTCAGACTTGTGCATCAATTTAATACTACAACTGATGTTCAGCAAACTAAGCTCATAGATATGGAAATTTTTAGTTTTTTGAAATATTTCTCCCATCCTCCACATTTTGTCCTTGGTTTTTAGTAAATACTTCCTCTTTGCACTCTACTGCAACAAAGACTATATATTTTTATGATACCCTCTACATTGTTCCTCACAGACCAACCTTGGCTTTGTCTGAGGTCACACACAGTTGCTTCTCAGTCCATGCTACAACCAGTGACCCCTAGCAAACCACAAATGTAAAAATAGATTTCATTTTCCAGCCTTCTAACCCTCAAGAGACATAGTTAAAACTGTTGGGGGGCTTTCTTGAAAAAACATTGTCAACATCATATGACTGCATTTGAAAAGGTGTGAAAATGCAAAGCAAAAGAAAAATATTATAAATTGCTAGATCTATTAATTTCTTATTTATTTTCATAAATAGAGAATTTTGTTGAGGTTAAAAGTGTCACTTGGGTCTGCAATTGCAGACTACAGTTCTCAACCCACATGGTAAAATGAGGTCATGTACAGATGCATACTCCTTTCTGTTTTCAAACAAAGACCATCCAGTGTGTGTGTGTGTGATTCCAATTCAAAAGGTCAAAGATGGATTGATAAATCAGCAGCGGGACACTCACTGAATAGGGGTCAAAAGTGTGAACCATTTTTTGGCGGGCATTTTGTTCCAGTTTCTGGTTCCTTCGTTAATCAATGTGCTTCTAGGACACATATTAAGCATGCAGAGTATGAAACATGAAGAGGAGAAGGAAGGGGGGGGGGGGCAGAGAAATGGCAATAAGTGACATTATTACTGTATATGCTACAAAAATGCATTGTGCATCAAAAATCTTAGACAGAATTACAGAAAATCAGACTCTCATACTGCACCAAGCAAAGATTGCACTGAAATCATAATAGCATGTTGGAAGGACCAATATATATATATATATATGCTAGCGCAAAGGGCATAACAAATGATTAAACATTATTGCATTTATTGCATTCTTGTGACGTAGACGTGCACCCAATGATCCCAATTGGAGGTAGCATATCATTATTGTTTGACTTTGACCCCATCTATAAAAGGTAATTACTTTGGACTTGGTGTGTAGACATAGACAAGGTTTCTTTAAAGGTAAATCAAACCTTGATATCATACTACATGTACTGTACAGACTAGAGCAAAGCAGAAACATCAGAAAAGTAGACTGGTGACAGTTTGGATGAAATCTGACTAAAAATTTAAAAAATTGTTAACACTTTAGATAATTAGGTATGGGATTTTCAAATTGTTAGAATCAATAATGTGTCTGTGATGTAGTGGCGGACAACTTTGCTCTTACTTCCAACGCACAAAATGACTAAATTTCAATTCTTCAAAAATGTATAACTCAGGACCTATGGAAATATTATTATTATTATAATATCCATAATTCTGTTTAAGTAGTACTACAAGGGAGTATGTATCGACGAGAAAAAAGAAACTAATGATATTTTTGTACGCGATAAACGAGAGAGTTATCCACAACTACTGTATGTCACAATCCACTGACCAAACTGCCAATTAGAGATTTGCATAGATAAAGAAAGATCTCATATTTCAAACATTCATAACTTTTTTATAAATGGGTCTGATTTATTTAAAATTTTGCTGTTCTGTTTATCGCCTTTCCTTTTTCCTTTTTTCTTTCATGAACTTATTACAGGGGTTAGATTGCCCTTTAAATATCATTTATGTTAAAAATAATAAAGGTACATGTATGTAAACTACATATGAAACTACTAAAATAAATATTTGACCAGACTAGACAGGTAGAGTACAGTACAATGTGTACATGTTATAAAGCAATTATGACTGAGCGATACTGGAATTATATTATCTCTCACAGAGTTTCACCTCTTTTGATTGATACATTAAATTGCATATGATGCATGCAATGTACAATGTACATGTACATCCTAATTAGTCCATGTCATCTTATTCAAGTACAAGTATATGCTGTATGTCTTTCCTAAATTGAGAATGCATCATCTTTCCCATGTACATCACAGTACATGTACTTAACATGCCCACAATATGTACAATGTATGTACATAGCAATTCCCTAATGTCTCATTTCCACTGTTGGTCATATCAATAAGCTCATTAGTATGATGGGTGCAAGTACAATGTTGGTCTACATCTGCATTCAATTTGTAATGATTACAAGTGAGCTGAACAGTGTTGTATATGAATCATAACGTACCGGTAGGCATACACTTATATTGTACCGATATACAGTATGTCATATTTCGTTTGAAAAGAGAAGTTATTTACAACTTATGTATTGTTATCAAAGCTATCTATTAACAAGTACAATGTAAATAGTTTGTTTTTAATTTAATTTATAATGATGCTAAAAAATGTGCTGTTGTCTAATATTTGATTAGGAGAGGTCCAGAATCAAAGTGAATTGTATTAAACTTAAAAAAACCTTAATGTACTTCAGGATTGAAGAACAAAGTTTGGCCTTCTCGGTCTGATTTAAAGTAACATCTTCAATAATATGGAAAGAGTGACCTTATCTTATAATGGAGGGAATGGGCTTGAATAGTCCATGGTTACATGTATAACAGCAAGAGAACAGTGAAAAACTCAATCATTTGAAGCGGAAATGCATTAACACCCCTAAACTCTAACAAAGGAAATTCCTAAAAGTAGGTAGGGTGAGGGAATGCAGGCTTGCACACTGTCATTGAGAGTTCGGAAATGCCCACTCTCTGACCACTCTCTGACCAGTCACTGACTGCAGGGGTCCATGGTAGCTTTCAATTACTGGTCATCTGGTCAAAGAACTGACTTAGTTCTTTAGAGGTCATGAACTTGCAGGTCAATATTGGCAGTTTCAGCTTGGTATGACAAGGGTCATCAGTTATTGTAGTACACATGTAGTTGAATTCTGAGATATTTATCTCAAGCATTACAGTGAGTTAAAAAGGCTTTTTCTTTTTAACACCCGTGGCTCAACATGGAAAATTGTCCTGTAATATTATCCTCCAGGGCCCATATTCTTCAAACCTTACTAAGCTAGTAGTCAACTAACTAAATACTGAACATGTAGTTAGTTGAAGAAAGCTAGGCGTACAGTATTAATAGTATAGGTTTGAGGAATAAGAGCCCTGATCTTGATATATATTTTATTAAGATATTTAGGACTCCGTTCAGATTTTGCAATATCTCGAAATGACTCCTTGTTAAAATTGTAAAGCTAACAACTTTTTGTTACATTGTCTGCTGCGTATGCATGATTTATACAAACCTCTACAGGTGAGTTTACAGTGTAGGAATATCTTACCTATAGCTTCAATTTGGCATTCCTGAAAGATATAATTATTTACTCCAACATTCATTGGAAGTAATAGATCAAACATCAAAATTTCTTGCATATACCAGTACATGTGTATGTATGTGAGACTATATTCACTGTGATTTATTTCTTACACATGTATCATTTCTACAATTAGACACCATTTTCAAGTTCTCAAATGACCTTTCTTTATTCAGGAAGGAGAGGCATTCCTAGAATCGAGTGGCAAGCCAGACGAGACGGCAAGGACGAGAGGAGAGCAGGAGCAGATTGATGAAGCTCTCGCTGCCAGTGAGATCCCAGCCATCCCTAGGGATAACACCATGCAAGTCACAGCAAAGGTGGGCAAAACCAGAGCTACAATTACAAAGCTTCAATCTTTCATTCTCGGGCAACCTCAAAACATCTGCCTTTCTTCCATTTATTTCTTCCAAAAACTTACAAATATCTTGTTAAGACCATTTTAAAATATAAGTGATACCAGAACTAACAGAAAGAATCATTCGTTAATAATTGATAGTCGTATCAAGAGATTTTCATTTTTGATGAAATAGGTGGATAAATTTTTTTATACTGCACAATGTTGCAAGGAACAGCCCTCTTGCATGTGAGAAGAATAGTAAAGGTTTCATGCACTGATGCACAAAATGGATTAGGAAAGGACAATCAAACCCTTTTAGCAAGTTGAATTGTTCAAAAGTCAACACCTTTAACAAAAAGTTTGGCTGAAGAAATTTGAAACAAATTGCATGTAAAATGATAGGAAAGTTGTGAATGTTTGAAAGCCAAGATCTCTAAAATTAATCACATACCCGGTAAATCTCAAATTTGCAAATTGATTATTTGACCAAGACATAATTCACAAAAACTCTCATTTGCTGCACCTTCTCTCAGGGCTATATGTGAGGTATATTTGAGATAGCATATTGCTTTACATTCTCAAGTTCCCCAAAATCCTGAGAGGTAATGTAATCAAATGTAGAAAGTGATTGTTAATCCCAACCATTCATGCTTTATGTTCAATTATTGTGGTTGTGTGTAGGAGGGTAAGGAGCTTTTGGGAGATGAACCGATCGGATCAACACGAGCAGAAACAGAAGCCCTCAAGGAAGTAGCAGATGGTAAGAATCAACTTCCTTGGCTTTCAGTGCAACCTGTATATAAAGACCCACTCAAGGGAGACAAGGATAGAAGAATCAACTCCCTTGGCTTTCAGTGCAACCAGTATATAAAGACCCACTCAAGGGAGACAAGGATATATGTTGTTATCAATAATTGAGAAAGGAACAGATTCATTTAGTATAGGTTTCAATAAGAAACTCTTGAGCAGGGGAATTTTTTTTTAAATTGGTCTTTATAGACAGTTGGTCTATTTATGAAGGTGGTTACTGGAGCAAGTTTCACTGCAGATACAGTCAAACCTATTATAGTGACCACCTGTATACAAAGGACACCTGCCTATAGAGACCACTTTTCTTGTATTTCTTGTGTTTTACACAGGTTTCACTGTAACCTCAAGTAACCTCATTATCATCATCACCAGATTATAGACCATCCCACACTCAAAATTATGAAGTGTAAGATTTATGAACAAATCATTACTTCCCATACTTATCTGTTGGTTCCTGTGTTCATAAACCATTACAGTAGTATCAAAAGTTGTATAGGCAATAAAAATCAGATAAAATCTGAATTTTTACGTCAAGCTAGGCTCCAACTGATATTGCACCCTCGAATTTGATGTAAATCTCTCCTCCACCCACCCCTCAAAAAAAGAAATCCTGATGTCTCCCATATACCAAGAAAATATAGCGGTAATGAAAAAAAAATTTGCACATTTGTAATTATTTATTAACCAAATCATATCATATCGATCATGGAATGTGTATTAAAACTTTGAATTTTTGATATTTGTTTGTAGATGCAGAAGTTGTAGAGGGTGAAGACGATGATGAAGACGACGATGAAGGTGATGAAGATGAGGAGAACGGTGATGAGGAGGAAGATGAAGAAGAGAAGGCCAATCTCAAACGAACAATTACCATGGCAGAGACTCTTGCTGTAAGCATCACTAAAACAAATCTGGAGGCAAGGAGGACTGGGGGGGGGGGCAGATTTTAACGGTTTGACCCAGTTTTGTAGACTGAGAAACTGAATTTTCAAATAAGAATCTCTCATATTAAGAATTTTTTCTATTATTGTAACAAACTTAATTAATGTGATGCTGAGTGTGTTCTTCCATGTTAAGATAAGAGCCCATAACTAGTGTATGAAGTGCATTCATCTTCATACTTCTCAGAAAGGGAGCAGATGGTCCCCCCCCCCCCCAAAAAAAAAAATGTAGACGAGAATATTGTAGTTGCTGTAAAAAAAAAAAAAAGAAGCTTAAACACTTTTAAAATGTAATCGTCTATTTTGTTGCATTCCACTTGTCAACTTGCAGGAAGGTGAGGAGTTCCTGAAACGGCAGAAGACGAATGGAGATGCGAAGGAAGAGGCACCGCAGGCAGAGGCTGCGTCTTGAAGAGCGCCCTCTACCCAACGATGGATCGGTACCTCAGTCACACTATGGCCTTCATTGTATATTCCCCGGCCAAGAAGCTATTACGAGGTCACACACACACACTTGTACAGTCTATACAAATTTACAAGAACGAAACAAGAAAACGTAGTGTAGTTTCTTGACTTCGGTTCACTAACAAATTTAACAAAAAGACTCAGATGTTTTAGATGTACTGTATTTGTAGACATTGTTCGTTTTACGTGTTTGATGAATTTTTTACTTGTAATTTGTATATTTTTTCACTAGAGTGGAATTTGCAAGCTTTCTAGTTAATGGTAGTATTTTTCAACTGAAACTTTGATTTGCCTAATCCCTCATGTATAATATTCATTGTTAAATTGAATTGGTATCTCCACCTATGATAACTTATATTTATCATGATATTTTGAATTACATGTGATAGTTAGATATGCTTGATTTGTTTTCTTTTGTTATGGACAAACCTTGTATCGTCTTGCTAGATGCAAGATGCAGTCCCACAGTGCAAGTTATGATTTTCTAAGAATTTCCCTTCCCTTTTTGTATTTTTTATCTGTTCAAAGGCTTTGTAAATTAGCTCGGCTTTGTAGATGAGCGCTGGTCGATCATTGTGTTTGGGAATCAGAATATCTATCCATGTACAAAAAAAGAAATAAAAGAAAAAATTGCATGCCCAAGTATAACATGTACGTGTATGTGCACAGTGTTTGTATACCATGTCGACTGCAAGAACATGAAGGGTATTGTCAAATAGAAAATCAAACTTCAAATCATCTCATTTTTATCCATCATCTCACTGTATTTATTCTCTGAAAAATCTTACGATTGTAAGGAAACAGATTTAACCAATGCTGCATTTTCAACTGAAATGTTGAAAAACAAGAAATTTCACTTGTCAATTCATTGCCCATGTGATTATGATTGTTAGCATGGATTTACATTACAATGATCCTATTGTACATACTGAAAGCCAAGTTTGTCTTGTGATATGTGCTCACTTTTTCCATCGCTATCAGTATTCATTTAGGAAATGTCGTAATGTACAAACTGATCCATATATAAGAAGTGCTCATTATCATATCAGTATTTATTCACACGTTACATGCTCACAATTCTTACTTCTACCTTGAAAACCAAAATGAAACCATTTTTGTACAGGTTTGACATATATTTGGAAGTATGCAAATCTATGAAAAGAAACCAATGCATAGCAAGAATGATGCCCCGATCGTTCTTGGTCAACTTTTGTGTACCTTGCTTTTACTTTTATCCAGTTTTGTAGGTAAGCAAATTTTAAATGTTGTAGATTTTCATGAAATATTATCAAACTCAATTTTTACCTACCGGTACACATAATGTGAGTTTGAGCTCTTATGCTGAAGGTGTATTAAGAATTTGTGGTGCAAACATTTGGAGAGAGTGTATGTAGGAACCTTTTATCTGTACAATTGTATGCATGAATGTAATATATTACTTGCCAAAGGTTTTTCTTCAAAATGAAATATAATTTATTTTTATTCATTGTATTTGAGAGAAAGAGAAGGACAAGTCAAAATTTGACTGACAAGAATGAGAGAGAGAGTAGAGTAAACGTATTGTAATTTTATCTGTTCATTTAGCCCTTATATATCCCACCAGGCAATCATCTTATGTATTCTAACTTAATTTATTGATAAATTGTATGATAAATTTTGTAAAAGCTCCATGCCTTTCATGTAACTATTATCATATATCGTGAAGAACTAACAATTGCATGTATGTGAATGCCATATTGGCATATTGTTTTTAAAAGTAGAGCAAGATAAAGAAGTTGATCAAGAAAGAGTAGGGCATCGTTAAATCAGCACTCTTTATTCCATGGATCTTTTTGTACATTTTATTGCACTTTCATGTTCTGTTATTGTGAATTTTTATGTGAACTGTGTCCTTGAATTCCAATGAAAGCAAAATATCCTTATTCCAGTTAGTATTATCAATGCTTTAGCAGTTGTAAAACTTTGTATGATGAAAAGTTGTCAGTCCTGCACCGTTTCTTATGTGGATGTGGATTGTTAAATGCTTTTTTTTTTCCTTTGCAAATTTGTCATTGTTTTTTCGGTCACATGGTTTGTTTACGGCAAATCTTTAGAAATGGCAAATTCAATGATTACAGAATTCATAAATGCGACGGTGATAGTGAAATAAATGCAAACAAAATTTTGATGGTATTAGGCACATATGTAACGCACTGTACGACTCTTTTATTGAAAGGACGTATTGTGACTTGAATGTAGGTCATGTGACTTGATGATGAATGGGCGATGATGTTAATCAAGATAATGATTGTAATAATGCTGACAGCAATGGTGATGATGATTATGAAATTCGCAAAAGCAAACTGTGTTACGTTGAACTATTCAATTAGTGGATCTAATAAGCACAGCCAAATTAATGGTTTTATAATAAACAAACTTTGTGAGACGGTCCTCCCTACCTCCTCTGTTGGACCATTCTCCCCAAGATTTTGTCCCATTTTTATTCAGTTTTATGGCAATGAGTTCGTAAATGCTATAAACATGGAGGAGGAGAATATGAACACTAATCCTGGCTCAGAAGAACTTTAAAAACTTTGTTAAAGAGCTCTCTTGAACGAAAGGGGCACAGGCTTGTTTTCCCCTACCCCTAAATTCCAGTGTTTACTAAAAATTGTTAGTCCATTCATTACTGTACGAAAGGATTCTACACAATGTTTCGTAATTTGCTGCATCATAATGAATATGTTTGAATGCTTTATCGTTTCCTTTGAGGTTTAGTATGTTACATGTTAACATGCTAAACCTCAAAGGAAACGATAAAGCATTCAAACATATTCAGTATGATCATTGATGCAGCAAATTACGAAACATTGTGTAGAATCCTTTCGTACAGTAATGGATAGACTAACACATTTTTAGTAAACACTGGCATTTAGGGGTAGGGCAAAACAAGCCTGTGCCCCTTTTTAAACCAATGGGCATACTTCAGTATAGCTCAAATATTCGTCCTAAATGCTCTTGAATATGATGACAATCACATGGTTCGGAAAACCTTTACAAACTTTATTACTATCTTTGAAGCTCAAAAATCCTGCTATGCCTGGGATATGTATGAGTCATGCATAGGGTGACTTCCTGCCTCCCCTTCTCTATCTCCTCTCCAAATGTAGGGTTTCAAAACGCAAGGCTTGTAGGGTTTCCGTGTGGTCAACTCTCACAGGGATTTGACATACATACGGAATAATATATATTTTTTTAAAAATCTGCTCCAGATTTGGGAAACGTACTTATCAACGGTTCTTTAGTAGTGGAGATTGTTTAGCTCAATACTGTCTTGTAGACGTTTCAGTAGAACATTGTTGACTTATATAGAGTGGCATACTTGTAAATAATCTCCTGATAGATAAAGTAGTCAGTGCTTCTTTTCACTTGTTTAACTCTTCTCTAGATTTAGAAACTGTCACACTGATCAATGATTCCTCTTGTATTGGAGATTAGTTAGCTCGATACTTTCGGTAGAATATAGTCGATTTTATGAAAGACATCAATTGAAACAACTTTTGCAACCTTTATTTTCTCAGTAATTTGTGTTATTTCATGCAAAGCTATGAACTCTTGCATGATTTGAAAAAAAATCCTGATAGATTTAAGATGTAGTATTCAAAGCTTCTTTGAATTCTACATCAGCTTTGCTCAAGATTTAGAAAACGTAATTCTGATCAATGTCAATGTTTCTTAGAATCGGAGTTTGATATCGAGCAATTCTACTGTTTAACATTATTGAATTAATAGAGATGCGTTCCGTTGTAAATAATCTCATCAAAGATGTAGAATTTACAACTATTTGATCTCATATACATTCGCTCTATATTTGAATTCAAAGTTGGTGTACAGCGTTGTCCATGTTTTTTTAAATGAACATTACATTGAACCTTGATTTAGCCAATCACTTTTTTGACCAAAATAATCATTAGATTTTCTGCCCACTTGATATCATTCGATATGTTCAGCAATGAAAACGTTCAATTTGGGAAGTGGTCGCAAAGCTCGGCACACGGGTAATAGTGTTGATGAACTCCAACTTCTAGTGGTTCTCCTTTGTGTGTTCTAAATTTCCCGCCCAAACCGTTAAAGAGTTCAAGGAACTCATAATTACGTCCCGTTATACCCTAATCGTATCTCGTTAACACTTATTATCATTACCCGACAATATGCTAATTAAGTTTTTATGGACGTCCTGTTATATACACCTACAGATAGGTGCATTCGGTAAAGTGGCATTGGTCAGTTTTAAATTTGGCGTCCCTCATTTTTCGCTTAAACTCATACTATGTTTTCAAAGTATTGCTAGAACGTTCTTTTACGGACGGGGCCCACAGGGGCATCTATAGGCAGTTTCAATTTGGAGTCTCTCTCTCTCTCTCTCTCTCCCTCCCCCTCCCCCCTACATTATCGATACACTTTATAGCGGTCATCATCTTCCACAACCCTCTGTCTCTGCGAGTGTTAAACTCGCAACGAGGAAAAAAAACTTCATAACTTTCTCATCCTTTCTCACATTTTCCTAAAGCATTAGTTAATAATTTATTTCATCATTTCTGCTTTCGTTAACATTAACTTGGCATCAGAGTAGAGTTATACCCTTCAGAGCAATCAGAACACGCTCATGAAAGCGTGAATAAAAAAGTTTATAAAGCTCTTCACTCTCCAAAAGAAAGGGAGGGGGGGGCACGCCAGTGATTTTGTTTTGTAGTATTTTTATTGTATTCATTCAATACATGTACATCATACAAATACAAATTATTTCAAATTTTAAATTGCGTTACATTACATATAGAGTACACAGTATACACAACTCAATTATATTGAATGAATAAATCTTATCGTAATAACCCCCTTCCCAAAATTAAAACAAACAACAATGACGAAGCCTAAACAAAATTTAAAAAAAAAATAATAATAATAAAAACCCTAACCCCCCCCCCCCCCCCCCGCAAAAAAAAAAAGCTGATGACTTGTTAAGGAGCGAATATCGATTAATTTAAAAGTCCTCTCTAAAAAGAAAGTGAATTTAACGCTATTTTCCCTATACTTTCACTACCCAAGGAGTCACGTTGGTGGTCACTCGATTTTGATTTCTTTTTCTTTTTCTTCTTGTTGAGAGGGTAAGCAATAATTCGCGAGATTTCGTTGCTTCATTTTGATCAGCTTTATCTCTAACGGTCATTAGATTTTGCTTACTTTGCCCATCAAACTGTGCAGTGCATTATTCCTTAAAGGATTGCTTTAATACCTCTCAGAGCAACAACTGATTTGTTTTCTTCTTCTTTTTCTTCTGTTGTTGATAGTTCAAATAATCGTGATCTGGGGACCGTTAGAATTTCCTGAATTACGAAAATCCTGAGCCTGAGAAGGAAAGATTGCGTGGCAAGTTGGGGACATAAAGAATGAAAGAGTTGCTGAATACGACACGAATAAGATTTCGAAAGAGCGCCCTCATGCACTATGTTGCAAACGCACCCTTTGTTGAATGCTCGGTGACAACAAAAAAAAGAGATAAGAAAACAAATTTCGCACTATGAACTTTGAAATACGTGTAAAACTAGTCAAACTACACATACAATACAAAATATATGCAGCCTAAAGTAATAAGTATTTTTATATAACAGAAATGCTGTTCTTTTGTTTATGAACTTTGGAAACTACAAATGTTTCGTTTGGCATTCACACAATTTTTAAGATTGATATGGAAATCACCCAAAGATTGAAAAGAGAAGGCTATGGTAGGCTATGAGGGCTAAATAGTATGATGTTTAAAAGGTCTTCAGTGATTAAAGATAATTATTTCAGAGAGACTGAAACCGTATTATGTTAGCTTTTGTTTTTAGCAAACGAACCCATGTCACACCATGCTGTCCAAGGGCGGTTTGAATACTGGTATAAATAATAAATAATACTGAATAAAAGGTGTGGAGTTTAAGCTGATCAGTTTTGTCAAGCGTTTATACCACTTCTTTTCTGACAAATATTTTCCTCAACCTTACTTCGGGAATCCTTGGGAAACGGATCATGGTTACATGTACATAAGGAATGATGAGAAATATACTAAATGAGAACTAGACTGGTTATTTTGAAGAATAAGGGAAGGAGGATGAGTATAGGAAGAAGAATAGGGAAAGGGGAAGAAGCTAGAAGAATGAGGAGGAGGAGGAGAAGAGGAGGTGGAGGAAAAGGGGAAGAGAAGGAGCGGTAAAGGGATGAGGAGGAGGAGAAGAACAACAACAACAAGCAGAAGAACAAGGAGAAGGAGAAGAACAAAAAAAAAGAAGGAAAGATGACAAAACTAAAGAAAAAGAAACAGAAAGAGGAGAAGATGACAATGGTTGTAGTGTTGTTGGTGCTGCTACTTCTGCTGATGAGGATGATGGTCATGATAATTCTAACGAAGATGTTAATGGTGTTGAAAATGCGAAGATGAGGACAGTGAAGAAGGAGAGGAGGAGAAGAGGGAGAGGAGGACAGAGAGAGAGAGAAAAAAAAAGAGGCGCAAATTATATATTATACGACACCGAGTGCAAAATATAACCAAGAGGAGCAGAAGAAGAAAATAAAAAGATATGAAGGTGAACAAAAAAATGAAGAGAAAGAAGAGGAGGGGAGGATGAAATAAAGAGATGTCATGTTGACAAATAAAAAGAAGAAAAAGATAGGAAAAAATGACCCCCCCCCCCCCCCCCCTCATCAACAAGTTGATTCCTTGTGTTGGGTGGTCTCTGTTTGGAGTAGCGGAATGTAATTGAAACGATTGGCTTTGATACCCCTTCTATTCACCTCCACCACCCCAAGATAAAGAAACCAATAATTGGGTGCTTCTTTTGCCGCCATTATGCTCCCGTCTTTACTTCTTCCAACTTTGTTGTATTCTATTAACCCCTTTATTCTGCGTTCATAATGAGTCATGCGTGCTTACGTTCCACTTAAACCATACGTTTTTATCACCCAAACACATTCTTGTCAGTCTTCCGAATAAAAGAAAGCGAAGTCATCGTTCTTCTTTTCTTTCTCCCCATAATCGATTTTTACCCCTAATTTCATGCCAGGTGAGACCATGAATGAGGTCCTTTGATTCCTGGGGTAAGAGGGTGGAAACATCCTCAAGCTTTGTCACTATGTCCCAATCATCCAATAATGATTTGTCATTAAG